AGATGAATACAGCACAAGTGCTGTTGCTTTTCTTTAAGGCACAGTGGAATCCTGCCTTGAAATACTCTTTATTCCAACATCCGCACCATGCTTACAATAAGTGACTTTGAATATAGTTCAAAGTGGGTCAATAGTGCTATGAAGTGAGAAAATGGGGTGGGAGTGAATAGACAATTTATCCTCTCATTTGATACAGAACCTTATCACACCAAAACTTTACAATGAATTTCACAATCACAGCTGCCAATTTAGATAAAGCAATGTCCCGCAATGGGCAAGAAAATGAAAGACCAATTTTAACTAGAGGATTGCTGGTATTATTGAGAACTAAGTTAGAACTAGGTCAGACCAGATTTTAAATGCAAGGATTTCTGATTTAGCTCCAAGTCCACCCTAGTGATTAAACTCTTTTCACTCTATGATGATAATACCGTAGTGTCAAAATATAAAGTTGTATAAAATCTGACACTCAAGTGAGCCATAACTGGAACAAATGAAACATGATGCTAATTTCTTCAAATTAATATAATATTTCTTTACTGCTTGAAATACAAGATATTTGCACAAAGCAGTACCACATATAAACACATTCTTGGTTTTCAAAAACAGCCTTTCCTAAGTCTCGACAATGCTCCTTTGTGACAGGTATGGGATGTGCCTCTAACTCAGATTCCATTTCCCTTTGGAAAGCGATTTATTTACTGACATTGAACTCTGAACTCCAACTCCAAAATGTTACCTGCGTGAAGCGCGCTATATAAATGAATATTGTTGTTACTTCTTCTTGATGTCCTAGCACAGAGCACAAACTGAATCTCCAGGAAACTATAGGGCCAAACCCACATCTCACTAGTTGTGGAACAATATTTATAGGAGCAGATCCAGCTGCATACACCATAAGTGACAAGTTGTCAGAGGGTTTGGAAAAAACCCTGAAACAACATAACCGTTGCATAACTACCATAAAAGGTACCCACCACATATTCATCTTTCAGCCAGCAACACCACCACCACCAAACATTTGACAACTTATATAGTGCCTTTCACATCGGCATAATGTTTCAAAGAGCTTCATTAAGCCAACTGGAAGCCCAGTCTAGAATACTATAGAATGCTGACAGTAAATGTGAATTGAGAATGCCTTTCATTGCTCAATGACAAACTTGATATCCACACAGAAACGCATCACCCACGTAACATTCAATTTTGCATTTCAACATAATGAAATGAACAAACACAGTAGCAGTTTCAAGACTTGGAATGAAAAAAAAGGACAAAGATTTTTAAAACATGGAAAAGTGATAACAGAATGGAACCATATCAAATAAAGGTAATATGGCTGCTCAAAATATGGTGGATATGGTGAATAGAGTTCAGATTTTGAACTCTATTCCCGCCTTCAAGGCCCTCCACGGCCTTGCTCCTTCCTACCTTGTGACCTCCTGACCCTATATCAACCTGTCCGCTCCCTCTGCTCAGCAGACTGTGACATGCTCCATGACCCCCGCCCAGCCCACCCCACCTTCGGCGGTCAAGCCTTCAGCCTTTCTGCCCCCACCCTTTGGAACTTCATCCTACATTCCCTTTGCCTCACTCCCTCCCTTGCCTGCTTCAAGGCGTGTCTCAAAACCCTCCTCTTCGACCATGCCCTTCGACCACCCTCCCCGATCCCGACCCCCCAGCTCAGGTTTGAATCCCTGACGTCCTCCCGACGTGAAAGGCGCTATACAAATGTCATTTTGTGTTGTATTGTACTCTTCTCTAATCTTTACACATCACTCCTGTTTCCAATGAGTCTCCAAGTATATCCATCACAAAGTGAAGAAATGTCATTGACCACTTCATTAACTCCCCTTGAGTGCAATATACACAAACCATTTCAGAACACAAAGTCAGCAGTGTAGTTGCGTAAAATTAGTAACTATTCTGTTTCAAATATTTTGACTCCCTCTCAGACAAAGCAGATATTGTTTGCCTTGATAAATTCCCTGAAGGACATTGTGCAATTTTTTCAGCTTGTGGTCTGTTGCTAGTGGTACTGTAACAAGCCAAACACTATAATATTATATTATATAATATAATATTATAATATAATACACTATAATATTACTACAGGGTGATCAAAAAGTCTTATTTTTCAGCTAGCCTATTATCTAAAAAAAATCATAATTTCTTTAAGACTTATTGTAACGGTATCACTTTTTGGTCATCTGTATAGTGACATCTAGTGTCAATGAATATGAATAGTTTTCATTCCAGCAGTCCTACTTGCTATTAAAAAATAATCTGCACTAATTATGCTAACAATAACTTTGAATTTGAGGTGTGTTTTTCTTGACTGTTTATATAAAGGTTAACTATTTAATCTTACATTATGAACAATTACTATCGTACATTTCATAAAATGACTATGTTTAATGGCCAACTATTAAAGTTGCATCTTATCCACATCACATATTAAAAAGCTACTATTTAATAACTTTTGGTACATTTACATAAGAAGCCCATTCGATACACCAAGCCTTCTCCCCCACAAACAATTCCATGGCTCCCCATACCATCAGATGTCAGTCTGGCTTGGTTTGTAGAACGCTTGCCTCTGGGTCAGAAGGTTTGGGTTTCAAGCCCCGCATTGGAACTTGAGACGAGACTGATACCCAGACCTTGAGAAGGTTGAGTGTTACACTATTGCCAATCTGCAGAAGGTCTGGTCCACTTGTTCAGGCAGATAATAATAACAGCTTTTCATGTTGTCAAAATGTCTGAAAATGTCTCAAAGAATTTTTACTATAAAGTGCAGTGATTTTATTTGTGGATGAATACAGCAGCCAGTTTTCACAAAGCAATACCTCATACAAACCCTTTAGTTAAATTGGTCATCCACCTCCTGACTGTGGAACATTGCAGTTCACAAATTGGCTGTCAACAAATACACAGTTGCAATCAAACTGCATATGTAGTGCCTGAATTGTACTATCACAACTTCAAAGATTTGTTTGGAGAAAAGCTTAGCGCAGTGTGTTGATTAGGATGTGCCTGCAGTCTTGACCATAATCTACATTAGCATTAGACATTGATGTCTCCAGTGTCATATGTTTAACCATCCTCAATGTGTAATTTTGTAGTGAATTATAGAGGCAAATGAAGTACAACAGCAAAATGCATTGCTAACAAGTGAGTTATTCATGTACTGTAGCTTAGTGCATTAAAGTTCACAATACATTAGGCATGCGTAGTAATTGAAACTTACTTTCATCCATATAAAAGCAGTTCTATTGGAAATTAAAGGCTGCATACATTTTTGAAAATGAGATGAATTAAAGGCAGCACTAACATGCAATTTGACTTGCACGTTTTTCTTATTTTTCTTTGAATGTATTAATTGAACACGTCAGATATTTATAAATGATAGAGTGATTATCATAACATTATCAGCTTCATTATGCAGAAGTAAGCTTACATAGGACAACCTGTGATAGCTACTGCCAGAATTACAGCTCCCAGTGCTCTCAGTTCCACTGTCTCACCCCTCCTTATCTGTGTCATCTTTCAGTCCTTTTCTCCTGCCCCTACCCTTCACTCTATGGATTCTGATTTGTAGAGTATTTCTCACTCCTATTTGAGACTACAGATACCAATCACCTGCCCTTCAGAGGCTCTTGCAGAATTTTTCAATTTGCTTTCTCTCCCTCTACCTTCAAAACCCTTTTTAACCAATGTTTTGGTCAACATTTGAAAATCTCCCCCACCCCTGCTTTCTTTTATATCTGAAAAAGCTCCAAGATGCTCACCCTTTGTGAAAGATGCTATACATATGCACGTTATGTTGATCCTCTAGTCCCGCACCGTCTCATGCGGCGTTTTTCAGGGCTGTCCTTGGTCTCCTCCTCTTCAATATCTATGTGCTCCCTCTTGGTGACATCATCTGCAGACATGGGGTCAACTTCCATATGTATCCAGATGACACCCAATTGTACCGCTCTGCCTCTACCCTTGACTTCAGGACCACTGCTGTCCTGACAGAATATCTGTCAAACATCAAGTCCTGGATTAGAGCTAACTTTCTACAGTTGGAACGTCAACAAGACTGAGGCTCTCCTGACAGCATTCACCATCCATTCTCGCCCAACTCCATTGACTCTCTATCCTTCAGAGGATCCAGTTCAAGATCCTGGTCCTCACCTACAAAGCCCTCCATGGTCTCGCCCCACCCTACCACTGTGACTTCTAACCCCCTACCAACTCCTTGCTTGTTGGCCTCCCCAACTCCTCCCTCCATAGGCTGCAGATCATCCAGAACTCTGCAACCCATGTCCTCTCTCGCAACAGGCTCCGTGACTCTATCACCCCCATCCTTGCCCAACTCCACTGGTCCCCTCACACAGGGGATACAGTTCAAGATCCTGGTCCTCACTTTCAAAGCCCTCCATGGTCTTGCTCCCACCTACCTCTGTGATCTCCTAACCCCCTACCATCTTGCCCGTTCTCTCCACTCAGCAGGCTCCAGCCTGCTTCGCGTGCCCCTCCTCACTCACTCCACCGCTGACGGTTGCAAAATCAACTGTAGAAAGTTAGCTCTCATCCAGGACTTGATGTCTGAGAGATATTCTGTAACAACAAAATCACATTTGTATAGCGCCTTCCACGTCAGGGGGACGTTCCAAGGCGCTGGACAGTCAGAATTTGAGACCCGAGCTAGGGGTCGGGATCAGGGAGAGTGGAGAGTTGGGAAGCAGAGTGCTCGAAAGCACAGTCGAAGAGGAAGGTCTTGAGATGGGCCTTGAAGGAGGCAAGGAAGGGGGCAATGCGGAGGGACTGCGGGATAGAGTTCCAGAGAGTCGGGGCAGTGGCAGATTGCCTGCCTGCCAATATTGAGGTGGTGAGGTGGGGGACGTAAAGCAGGCCAGATCCCGCTGAGCGGAGGACGGTAGGGGGTTAGGAGGTCACAGAGGTAGTGGTTCGACTTTATATTTTGACAAAATAATGGAAACTGAAACATTAATTTAAAAAGAAATATTTTATTCTCATCTTTCAGACAAAACATACAGTCAATCATGATTCACACCTCACTTTAGAAACTATTTTTTTCCATTCAAACATAAAAAATAAATGCAAACTTCCTGAAAATAAAAAATAAACCTTTTAAACATTTGCTTTAAAAAATGGTTGTAATAGTGAAGGTGAGAAGAAAGATTGAACCGTAGAGACTTAGAACATCATCCATTTGAAAGTCTGGGGATCCACTCATACTTCGGGACCTTCACCACCAGGAATAAGCTGAAAGATTTAAAGAAATTATTAATATCAGAGTATAATTACAGTAAAATGCTTTACATCCACAAACTCAAAAGGAAAAAATGTCAACAACAACATTACATTTGTATAGCGCCATTCACGTCAGGAGGACTGCCAAGGCGCTGGACAGTGCACAGCACTTCAGACCCGAGCTGGGGTCAGGGGGGAGAAGGGAGGGGAGGGGAAGGGGGGTGACCAATGGCATGGTCGAAGAAGGTTTTGAGGTGGGACTTGAAGGAGGCTAAGGAGGGGTTGAAGCGGAGTGATTGGGGCATGGAATTCCAGAGGTTGGGGGCAGAGTGGCTGAAGGCTCTTCCGCCAATGGTGGGGCGGGTGGGTCAGGGGACGTGGAGCAGGCCGGAGCCGGCTGAGCGGAGGGAACTGGTGGGTTGGTAGGGGGTTAGGAAGTCGCAGAGGTAGGGTGGGGTGAGGCCATGGAGGGCTTTGTATGTGAGGACCAGGATCTTGAACTGGATCCTCTGAAGGATAGGGAGCCAGTAGAGTCAGGCAAGAGTGGGGGAGATGGGGTCTTGGGGAGTTTGGTGCGGGAGAGGACACGGGCTGCAGAGTTCTGGATTATCTGCAGCCTGTGGAGGGAGGAGTTGGGATGGCCGACAAGCAGGGCGTTTGCATAGTAGAGCCTGGAGGTGATGAAGGCATGAACAAGAGTTTCAGCGGCCTGAGGGGTGAGGTAGTGGCGGAGTCGAGCAATGTTACGGAGGTGAGGGAAGGCAGAGCGGGTCATGGCTTGGATGTGGGGAAGAAGACAGTTGAAGGTCAAACAAGACACCGAGGTTCCTGACTGGCTTGGTGAATTATAGTGTGCAACCATGGAGGTTGATGTTGCCAGAGCCTGAGGTGCTGAGGCGCTGGCGCGAGCCAATCAGGAGGGCCTCAGTCTTGTTCACATTCAACTGTCGGAAGTTTGCCCTCATCCAGGACTTGATGTCCGACAGGTAGTCTGTCAGGACAGCAGTGGTCCTGGAGTTGAGGGTGGAGGCAGAAAGATAGAGTTGGGTGTCATCCGCATACATGTGGAAGTTGACCCCATGTCTGTGGATGATGTCACCAAGGGGGAGCATGTAGATATTAAAGAGGAGAGGGCCAAGGACAGAGCCCTGGGGGACGCCATACGTGACAGTCCGAGGGCTAGAGGAGAAACCATTAGAGGCAACAAAGTGGAGACAGTGAGAGAGATAGAAATCGAACCAGGCAAGGGCAAGTCCGCAAAGATTAAGTAATGAGGTGGTGGTGTATGAGGATGGAGTGGTCGACAATGTCAAAGGCGGCAGAGAGGTCGAGGAGGACAAGGAGCAGAGGGAGCCCTGATCACAGATGTTCAGAATGTCACGTTGAGGGAGATGAAGTGGTGGTCCGAGATGGCTTTATCGATTATGGATGCTTTACCCAACCAAAGTCACTGTTCCTTTACAGAATGTTTTTATATATTTTCCTGGTTTTAATGAATTTGTTGTTCACATTCCACTGGAGAAATTTCTCACATTGATCCAGCATTTCCAATCATTCTTTGGTCCTCCGAGCGTCACTGATCAATTTATTCCCGTACGCTGTCAGCACCACTGAACAATTTCCATGTTAACCTCATGCTTTAGCTTTTTTTTTTTAACGACGCGTATCAGCGTACCTGAACATTATGCACATTTTAATGGTTATTGAACCAGACTTGAAAAGCAGATTTTCAGGCAAAGAAAATAAAACTGTTTAGAAATATGTCCCTCCTCACCCCCTCCAGATTGTCAGTGTATCCATGGTGGCAGAAAAAGGCAAGTAAAAAGATTTTCAAATGAAGATTAGACAGAGAAAAAAAAGTAATAAACTTAAGAGGAAATAGAGGAAAAAAGATGGAAAAAAGAAAATAGAGCAAGGACAGGGTGAACCTTAAACTTTGTAAAATTGTTATCATCATTTAATTTTCTTCTTTAATATGAATATTACAAAAGTAAAATAAATCTGATCTTTCAGTAGCTTTACTAATGCAAACCTCACTAAATCTGTGTAGTTCACATATTGTAATGATTTTAATCATCTTGGATGATTTTTTAAGTCCACTGCATATTGAATCTATTAAATTAAAAAATGCTTGAACATTACAATCATTATTTCACTTCCACACTACATACCATTGTTATGTTGTTTCCGTTCAATAAGATTTGATCTAGCTTTGTAATTCTTCTGCCTTCTGGTGTGATCTCACTACAAGGAAACAGGAAAACTTTTGGAATAAATTTACATCATAATTTATACAAATCTTTTTAATGTTGGGCGGATGTCTCAAAACACCAGACAATGCTGGCTGGGCGCCCGAGCTGGTAAGAGCCAATGAGCCAACAAGGGAGGGAACGATTTGGAGGGCTTCTGGTATGGAGACCCAGAGAATGGGGATAGAATAACTGAAAGCTTGCCATCAATCGTAGTGCAGATAAAACGGGGAACATGAAGTAGGCCAACGTTCGCTGAGCAAAGGGAGCAGCCAGGACGGTATGGGTGAAGAAGCTCGCAATGGTTGGATGGGGCGAGTTGTGGAACGATTTGAATTAAGTATTGAAGCAGCAATTATTTAAGGCTGAAATAGTTTATACTGCATATAAAACTTAAAACTTGCATTCATAACACTTTATCGTAGCAAAACACATCAAACCTTATTATAGTAATTACTATCAAGTGTGGTAACTGTAGATAAATGTGGAAGTAATTTGTTGCAGTCATGGGATGTTTGAAGACTTATTATCCAATAGAGATAAATACAGTCACGAACATAAGATTTAATAATTTATGCAAAATACAAGTTATGCACAAGTCAGATTATATACGACTTACACATAACTAATGCATCTGTACAATGTGCATGTCCTCATATGTTTTAATGAGCAATTTTATTTGGGAGATTGTTGGCCCAGACGCTGGGAGAAACTCCCTTATCATTTTGAATAGTTAGTGCCATGCAATCTTTAACAACCACCTGAACAAGCAGTCGGGACTTCAGTTTATTCAAAGGACAACATCTTCAACAATACAGTGCTCCCTCCAGCACTTACAAAGAAGCAACACTGTAACTAAATTAGTATTGAGTATTGAAGGCTCGTTTAATGATTGAAGGCTAAGTCAAACACACAAGTAGAAATCAGCAAACCTGTACAGTACACTAGTCTGGCAGGCAAATAGTACTATACATGCTGCACTTTGTAATAAACTGAAGTCCCGACTGCTTGTTCAGGTGGTTGTTAAAGATTGCATGGCACTAACTATTCAAAATGATAAGGGAGTTTCTCCCAGCGTCTGGGCCAACAATCTCCCAAATAAAATTGCTCATTTATTTCATGGCTGCTTGTGGAACATTGGTGTGCCCAAATGAGCAGCCACATTCACCTAGAAATACAGTCACAATACTTCACAGTAATTCCAGTGAAGCTTTTTAAGATGTCCTCCTGACATGAATGGGGCTACATCAGATGCAATGATTTTTTGTAACCAAATTACTGTATCTATATTCTGCTCATTTTTACCATTCGACATTCACAATTCATTTATTTCTTAGTGTCTTTCACCAATGTGTTTTCTCTTTCTATCTCCCCACAGACTGATTATTTCTCTCTGCTGTTTTTCTGGTGTAATCCTTCTTCCCCCCATCCCCCCAAAAAAACTGCCTACTATTTAGGACTACATTCTACAGCAATTTATGATCAGAACTGTACAATTCGAGCAAACAACTTTAGTGAAGGAAAACTCATGTGCTCATCCCCCCTTGAGGCAAGTGTGATCTGTATATTTTTCTGAAAAAGCACTGAAGTCAAGTTGACTCCCCATTAAAGTTACAGCCCTAATATGAAGCTGTCTAGTATTAGATGTTACCCTACCATCTATTAATAAACTCAAATACCTAAAGAGGCAAAGGAAATACTTACAATTCTGTGACATCTTCAAGTACCATGTCTGAGAATCAGAGTTAAGACAGCATATTTTTCCCTTAAGATCAGGCATTTGATTAACTTTTACACTACTGGAAGATCTGGGAAATCCCAGGCTCCCCAATCCAGCCACTTTGTATGTTTCTGCACTCAGAAAATGCTGTGTGTAAAATCAAAGGGTGGCAAAGAACAACAACAACAACAACAACAAGATTCCATTTGTTGAGCGCCTTTCACGTCGGGAGGACGTCCCAAGGCGCTGTACAGTTGGGTCAGGACCCGAGCAGGGGGGAAATGGTCAGGGTGAGGGGAGGGAAGGGAGGGAGCGAGAAGGGGGTAGAGAGTCGAGAGGGGAGCTGAAGGCACGGTCAAAGAGAAAGGTCTTGAGACCGGCCTTGAAGGAGGAAAGGGAGGAGGCGGCGAAGGCACTGGGGGATAGAGTTCCAGAGCCTCGGGGCTGAGAGGCTGAAGGCCCGGCCACCGATGGTAGGGCGGTTGGGGCGGGGGATGTGGAGCAGACCGGAGCCAGAGGAACGGAGGGTACGGGCGGTTAAGTAGGGGGATAATAGGTCGGAGAGGTAGGAGGGAGCAAGGCCGTGAATGGCCTTGTAGGTGAGGGTGAGGATCTTGAATTCGATCCTCTGGGGGATGGGGAGCCAGTGGAGGTGAGCGAGGGTGGGAGTGATGTGGTCCTGGTGCGGGACAGTACACGAGCTGCAGAGTTCTGAATGACCTGCAGCTTGTGGAGGGAGGTGCCGGGAAGGCCGGCGAGGAGAGAGTTCCCATAGTCCAGCCTTGAGGTGATAAAGGCGTGGACCAGAGTTTCAGCAGCGTGAGGGGTGAGGTAGTGCCGTAGTCTGGCGACATTCCGGAGGTGATGGAAGGCGGTGCCAGTTGTGGCGCGGATATGGGGGAGAAAGGACAGCTCAGGATCGAACAGAACCCCGAGGTTTCTGACTGGCTTTGAGAGGTGGAGAGTGCAGCCTTGGATGCTGATGCTGTCAGCGCCTGAGGTGCAGAGGCGCTGACGTGAGCCAATCAGGAGGGCCTCAGTTTTGCGTACATTGAGCTGGAGAAAGTTATCTCTCGTCCAGGACTCGATGTCGGACAGGCAGGCTGTCAGGACATCGGTGGTCGTGGAGTTGAGGGTAGAGGAGGAAAGGTAGAGTTGGGTGTCATCCGCATACATGTGGAAGTTAACCCCATGTCTGCGGATGATGTCACCGAGGGGGAGCATATAGAGGGTGAAGAGGAGGGGACCGAGGACAGAGCCTTGAGGGACACCGCACGAGACAGTGCGGGGGCTGGAGGAAAAGCCATTTGTGGAGACAAAGTGAAGACGGTGGGAGAGGTACGACCTAAACCACTCAAGGACAGGGCCTTGAAGGTTGAGGTGGGAGGACAAGCGGTGGAGGAGGATAGCGTGGTCGACCGTATCGAATGCTGCCGATAGGTCGAGAAGGAGGAGGAGGCAGAGGGAGCCCTGGTCACAGATGGTCAGGATGTCATTGGTGACCTTGACCAGGGCAGTTTCTGTGCTAATGGCAGCACAGAAACCCGAATGAAGGGGTTTGAATAATGAATGAGTGGAGAGGAAAGAGCACAGCTGGGAGGCGACAACTCGTTCAAGGACCTTGGACAGGGAGGGGAGGTTGGAGATGGGCCGGTAGCTTGATAGCTGCGACGCATCAAGGGAGGGTTTTTTTAAGGTGGGAGTGATGGTGGCAGTTTTTAAGGGAATGGGAATAGAGCCAGAGGAGAGGGACAGGTTGACGATGTCTTTGATATGTGGGGCAAGGAGGTGGAGCTGGGAGATAAGGAGTGGAGTGGGGATGGGGTCAAGGGAGCAGGTGGTAGGTTTCAGGGAGAGGATGAGTTTGGTGACAGAGGATGGGGAAACGGGTACGAAGGTGTGTAGGGGAGGATGTGTAGGAGTCGGAGTGTGGGAGGGAAGGGGTGGGTGGTGGGTGGATGTTGGAGGGGAAGTGACCGTGGAGCGGATTCCCTTGATCTTGGATTCAAGGAAATCCAGCATCTCCTCGCAGTGAAGGTTGGAGGAGATGACCTGCGCGGGGTGGCGGGGGAGACGGAGGAGTTGGGATGTGGTAGAGAACAGTCGCCTGGGGTTGTCCTTCGCCTCCAGGATTATCCTGGAGTAGAAGGACGACTTGGCCGAGGCTAGAGTGGAGCGGTAGATTTTGAGGAGGTTCAGCCAGATTTGTCGGTGGACCGTTAGGCCAGATTTGACCCATGCTGCTGAGGAGATTGGAGGGACAAAAATGGATAATTATTTTAGGATTGCACAGACAGGGATTTCCCAACCCAGGGAAGCGATTTATGAGATGGCTGATTCCCTCCCCGCACCCAAGCCCATAGGAATACATGAGGTTGGTGCTCAAAATCATATCAGTGAACCAGTTGACCCCAGGAATCGAATCCACTACTCATAAAGCATCTGCATGGAGTGAACTACAAAGTTAAGCATGAATCCTGCAGAACTTTTGTCACACAAATTATTGATCTTAAATACTGTATCTATACTAATCTAGAAACATTTGTTTTTCATTGAAAGGATACTGACAAAGTCATCAAAACCCAATAATGTTCCTACAATTTCTTTATCATTCTTCATAACAATGTGAATTCTTGAGCCAATACATTTGTCCACAAGCTCTGAAAAACAAAATATACAGTATAAATCCAACATAAGCTAACTCCAAGAAGACAATAAATGAAACAACCTTCAGACTTTTACATATGGTTGCATGTTCTGGTCTCAACCACTAATTGCTCTAAAATTGTCCCTCACAAGCTTTGAATCATTGCCCTCTTCTGCTGCCTTTCTAAAAGTGGAATGTGGGATGGAAATTAAAGCATCACTTACTTTGCACTCCAGTCCTCAACAATATTCAATTATATTCAGCTTGCATCAATCAATCAATGTAGACTGTGTGGTTTCATAAGGCTATGGAGCCTTGTTTTAAAAATAAAATACTTGAAACCACTGTTAAGAGATCCGTTACTCAGCCTTTGAGGAATGGCACCAGGAGGGGATGTCGCCAAGGTCAACTCAGACAAAAAAATACAGAATCTGGAAGTGACTTTCACGTCTGGTTTGGAATCAGCAGCCACCAGGGCTTCAGTTGGTTCTGTTTTAACATTAAAATACTCTCACGTTTGCAGGTTAGAGCACGCAAACAACTCCAAATTCATTAAGATCCCATTAAGAAAATGAATTGTGGAACAGGAACAATTAATCGAAGCTTTCCACTTATTCTATTACCAGCATCAATGCAATGCAGGGGAAATGATACATTTTTAAAAAAAAATACAGTAACAAAACAGGTGTGTGAGTGAGTGAAGCACAACGCTGGAAATTTCACTAGTTCAGCAACTATAGCAGTACTGCTAAAATGACAAATATACAGGGAGTAATTGCACTCTATTTTCTTAGCATTTCAGTGCACCCAGAATTTGGCAAAGTCGTAAACAGTCTTTTGATGTTGGATTTTCTGTTAAATTATTTTAAGAATTTGCAAATTCTGGATATCCTGAAATGCTAAGAAAACCCCGAGCCAGGTAAAGTGACTCCCCAATAAAAACACCAGTAGCGATTATGGAAATTGATAACAAAACTACATTGGCTGCTCATCCGACTGCACTCTCCCTCCCCATGTGCCTCTCTCTCTGTATTTCTCTATCCCCCCACCTCCGCTTTCTGCGTTTCTCTGTCCTTTTTGCGTTTCTCTATATTCCTCCCTCTCTTGCCCTCTCGATGTGTTTCTTTATATCTCTCTCTCCCCCACCCCTGTCTCCCTCCCCATCTCTCTCTCCCCTCCCTCTCTCCCCCCATCCATCTCTCCCCCCCCCCCACCGTCTCTCTCCCCACACCCTCCCTGTCTCTCCCCCCCACCGTCTCTCTCCCCACCCCCTCCCTGTCTCTCCCCACCCCCCCCCTGTCTCTCCCCACCCCCTCCCTGTCTCTCCCCACCCTCTCCCTGTCTCTCTGACTCTCCCAACCCCCTCCCTGACTCTCCCCCCATTCACTGTCTCCCCCGTCTCCCCCCCCATTCACTGACTCTCTCCCCCCCTCCCTGTCTCCCCCCCCCCCGTCTCTCTGCCCCTGTCTCCCCCCTGTCTCCCCCTCTCTGCTCACCCAGAGGCAGCAGTTGGCTCGGGTTGGTAACGGTCACCGCCATCTTGTCTGAGACCAGAGCGAGGCTCAGACTCGGCTAATCGATCTCAGACAAAAACGCCCGATCAACTGAGAGCCGATAACACAGGCGCCTGCGCACAAGTGGACAGATCCTCTCAGCCCCAAATAGTGTCAAAGTTGTGGCTGAATCCCCACTCACCCTTTTGTCACTTAGCCCTGAGGGGGGGACAGCTGCTGCTCAAACTCCACACCTCCAATTGGTGGAACCACCACTCAGTGGGAAGGGATGTGGGTCTGAGCTGCGGACAGGAAGATGGTGGCAATGCTCTCGTGCATTTCACGCTGAGTTGCGTTGCCCACCGGGAAGCTCCTTGTGTCCCACCTTGAGTTCCTTGTGTCTACCATCCACCTGGTGAGGCGCAAACCGCACTTGTCGAATGTTGAACGAGTATCGTGACTATCCTCCCGGAGGGGGGGAGGTAAGTGGAGTCTCCTCGAAGCTGGACTGGCTCCAAGGTGACATGCCTGGCAATGGAATGTCGGGATTGGGCCGACCTCTGTGGTGGTCTCTAGTTCCTGAGCCGGGCAGGTCCACAGTATTCCAGGGCTCTGCTGATGACAGCACAGCCAGCCTGGCTCATCGGCAGGACTTGGAAGGGCGAACCAGTCACTCGGGGCAGGGTTCTTCCCACTCGGCTCCTGTTAACCATGCAAGTCAAAGCCCTAACGGGTAGGGTGGTCCCCGCTGGACAAGCAGTGGGAAAACTTGTCGGATAGCGATATCAATGGCAAATTATGCTGTTTTAGCTGATTGGACTCCAGCACTATCCCCAATGCACACTCGGGTCTCAAAGTGTTGGCTCTTGCCAACCCACGACTAATTCTTTACAGAATTAGGTAAGCAGGGTGCAGCCCTCCAGGGAGAGAGTACGCTTTCCATTCCAACAATCTATCTTTGGGATTTCAATGTGTAGGTGGGATACATCAAAACCTCAGCTTGGTTTGGATAGTCTTAAGCATGGTGATGGCTTTCTGCATGCCTTACCCCACATACAATGATACCTCCTTGCCCTTTCCCCAGCTTACCTCTATGATCTCTTCTACTCCCTTGATATCTCTCCTGCTCACTCTGACAACATGTTCCTACTTCACGTTTTCTGCTCACTTCACCTCACCATTCACAACTGAACTCTCAGCCACTATATCCACACTCGCTGAATCTCTGGATTTCTTGCCTTGCACCTTCCCTCGCTGGTTTCAAATCTCTTCTAAAGAAACGTACCTCTCTACAGCACTGATCATATATCTCTGTTTGGATTTCCACTCTTTGTATAAAATGCTTTGAGATGTTATTCTACATGAAAGATGCAATTTTAGCCCAAGCTGTTGTTCACTGCCACAATAAAGAATAGCCTTGTCTCCATGGTGTTGGTTTTGTTTTTGATCACAGGAGAAGACGCAAAAACAACAGAAACTGATTTTTAAACCAATAGTTAATGGTAAAGATCAGGAAGGCTTGAGATTGCAATCTCACCGCGGTAAACTTCAGCTGATTGCGGAGCATTGGTCTCTTTCTAACCCACCCACTCCGGCCTCTTGGTGGGGTCTACTAGAGCTTTCGAACTGGAGAAGGTGATCCACTCTTAGGTCCAGGCAAATAATTATAAGGTACAAAATAGATCACATTTCAAATCAAAAGGTTTCAGATTTCACAGTCCTGATATAATTTGATGTGCTAGTAATTGGAGTTGATGTCACCTGCTTCAGGTTTAAACTTTTGGATGAACTTAGATTTAGGGAAAGTGCATCAGACCCAGATTTAAAATGGCGGTTGCCACAAAACTGCTAAAATAGAAAACCAAACGACAGCAAATTTCTTTCAGTCCTGTCACTATTAATGAACAGTCACATTTCTTAAACCCCAAGCTTTGAACAAAATGTTCATTACCTTTGGAAAATGTAATAGACTGCTGTTTTTATAAAGAAATGCGTTTCATAAGGAAATAAAAATTAATGTTTATTTACTTTGCTTGTTACGTGCTGTGTTGTGGCTGAGTTATTATATATTATACATGTGACTAAGGAAACGATTGTCAGGTTTCAGTTGAAAATACCTGATTTAAGAATGGCTAGTGGTTCTGTGAATGCGTCAAATAGACTATAGATGGCACTGTTATATTAGGACTTATTGGAAAACCAAAGTCAATGCAGTTCTACTTCGTGCAGAATGACCATTAAAGCCATTCTTTATCCCCAAATTTAACACCTAAGTATTTTTCAGGTTATTTCAGAGTCTATGACTGTTTTGGGGACTCTGTTGTGTGCAATTGGCTGCCACGTTTCGCCTACAAAACATAGTCAAGTCACTTTGCAATATATTCTGTGAAGCGCTTTGAGACATCAAAGTGTTATATCAATGCAAGGATTATTATTATTGACAAACAAAAACCCTGGGTATTTATGATGAAATTTGGTTTAGTAGAATTAATTTGTTTTGATTTGGTATTGAATGCTGTTTTTGAATCAATAACTATCTTGAATTACAAACAATATGTTGTTAATTCCTTTTTGCCTGAGTGAAAACATTGGAATTAAATGGGATTTAGCTCAGCACATCCTTCGTCCTCTGACATTAATTGCTGTAAAATAGCCAATTAACCTTTATTGCCAAGACAAATTCCTTGGGGACAATCTGATAATATCTCTGCTAGATTTGGCCTGTATTGATGTCAGCTTCATAGTACATACTGACCTGCTGGATATTCTCAGCAATTTCTGTTATATTTCAAATTTCCAACATCTGCAGTATTTTGCTTTCAGTTTCATTGTATTGCCTGGTATTCTATTTCTTCACAGGCTACATTGCATCAGTTTGTAACCCCCATAACCAGTGATACAAGTGCAACACAGACCGCGATATAATAATAATCCTAAACATCTCAAAATGTTTCACAGAATATACTGTAAAATAAATTCACTGTGTATTTTGTGGGCGAAACGAGGCAGTCAGTTGCACACTTGTCCCATAAACAGTTGTTGATTGGAAGTGACCAATTTATTGCTTTTTTCTTGAGGGATTATTATCAGGCGTGTGGTGTAAGGAAACTTGCCCAAGGTTTCGCTCTGCTGGGAATCGAACCCAGGCCTCTCGCTTGAGAGGTCAGGGCACTAACCACTGAGCTACAGGACTCCGTTTAATGAGATTGTACTTGTTTTAAAATCCATTAAACCCACATTTACGTTAAAGTGCCAGAGAAAACCTAATCTGCTTTTTGAAGTTTGCCACCTAATGCTTCTTGGAATTGTGCCAAAGGAAGTACTGTGACACAGGAATCTGGTCTTTACCTCTCAGGAGCTTAATTAAGTCAGGCAATATTCCCAGCAAAAAAGTTGCAGGAGAAACATTTTAAATATAAGGCTTTTGTGTTCAACTCAGTTACAATATTGACTTTAATTAATTTACTGGCTGGCTCGCTGACCAACTCATTCACTGACTAACTTATTAATTGGATGTCCTATTGATTGACTAACTCATTGGCCAGCTGTTTTAATGACTGGCTGTCCTATTGAATGGTGTCCCCTCCCGCACCAAACTCTGTGACCCCATCTCCCCCATTCTCGCCCCCCTCCTCCCATATCCTTCAGAGGATCCTGGTCCTCACCTACAAAGCCCTCCATAGCCTCGCCCCACCCTGTCTCTGTGAGCTCCTAACCCCCTACCAACCTGCCCACTCCCTCCACTCAGCCGGCTCTGGCCTGCTCCACGTCCCCCGACCCACCTGCCCCACCATTGGCGGGACAGCCTTCAGCCACTCTGCCCCCAACCTCTGGAATTCCATCCCCCAGTCACTCCGCCTCGCCCCTTCCTTAGCCTCCTTCAAGTCCTGCCTCAAGAACCTCCTCTTCGACCATGCCATTGCTCAGCCCCCTTCCCTCCCTTCACCCCCCTGATCCCAGCTCGAGTCTGAAATGCTGTACGCTGTCCAGCGCCTTGGGACATTCTCCCGACATGAAAGGTGCTATACAAGTGTAATCTTGTTGTTGTTCACTGACTGATTGTTATATTAAATAACTTATGACTGCCATATTGCCTGACTAACTGACTGGTTCTCTGGCTGACCAGCTCATTGACTTACAATATCTGACTGTGTGTCTGACGAACTCCTTCACTAGCAGATTGACTGACTATCTGGCAAGCTCACTGACTGACTGACTAGCTGATTGACTGACTGATTAGCTCATTGACTGACTGACTAGCTGATTGACTAGCTGAGTGACTGATTGACTAGCTGATTGACTGATTGACTAGCTGATTGACTGATTGACTAGCTGAGTGACTGATTGACTAGCTGATTGACTGATTGACTAGCTGATTGACTGAGTGACTGATTGACTAGCTGAGTGACCGATTGACTAGCTGATTGACTGAGTGACTAGCTGATTGACTGATTGATGAGCTGATTGACTAATTGACTAGCTGATTGACTGATTGACTAGCTGATTCACTGATTGACTAGCTGATTGACTGATTGACTAGCTGATTCATTGATTGACTAGCTGATTGACTGACCGACTAGCTGACTGACTGACTGGCTGAGTGACTGATTGACTAGCTGATTGACTGAGTGACTGATTGACTAGCTGATTGACTAGCTGATTGACTGATTGACTAGCTGATTGACTGATTGACTAGCTGATTGACTGATTGACTAGCTGATTAACTGATTGACTAGCTGATTGACTGATTGACTAGCTGATTCACTGATTAACTAGCTGATTGACTGATTGACTAGCTGATTGACTGAGTGACTGATTGACTAGCTGAGTGACTGAGTGACTGATTGACTAGCTGAGTGACTGATTGACTAGCTGATTGACTGAGTGACTGATTGACTAGCTGATTGACTGAGTGACTAGCTGATTGACTGATTGATGAGCTGATTGACTGATTGACTAGCTGATTGACTGATTGACTAGCTGATTGACTGATTGACTAGCTGATTGACTGACCGACTAGCTGACTTACTGACTGGCTGAGTGACTGATTGACTAGCTGATTGACTGATTGACCAGCTGATTGACTGATTGATGAGCTGATTGACTGATTGACTAGCTGATTGACTGAGTGACTGATTGACTAGCTGAGTGACTGATTGACTAGCTGATTGACTGAGTGACTGATTGACTAGCTGAGTGACTGATTGACTAGCTGAGTGACTGATTGACTAGCTGATTGACTGAGTGACTGATTGACTAGCTGATTGAATGATTGACTAGCTGATTGACTAGCTGATTGACTGATTGACTAGCTGAGTGACTGAGTGACTGATTGACAAGCTGAGTGACTGACTGACTAGCTGATTGACTGAGTGACTGATTGACTAGCTGATTGACTGAGTGACTAGCTGATTGACTGATTGATGAGCTGATTGACTGATTGACTAGCTGATTGACTGATTGACTAGCTGATTGACTGAGTGACTGACTGACTAGCTGAGTGACTGATTGACTAGCTGATTGACTGATTGACCAGCTGATTCACTGATTGACTAGCTGAGTGACTGATTGACTAGCTGAGTGACTGATTGACGAGCTGATTGACTGAGTGACTGATTGACTAGCTGATTGACTGAGTGACTAGCTGATTGACTGATTGACTAGCTGATTGACTGATTGACTAGCTGATTGACTGAGTGACTGATTGACTAGCTGATTGACTGAGTGACTAGCTGATTGACTGATTGACTAGCTGATTGACTGATTGACTAGCTGATTGACCGCGTGACTGACTGACTAGCTGAGTGACTGAGTGACTAGCTGATTGACTGAGTGACTGATTGACTAGCTGATTGACTGAGTGACTAGCTGAGTGACTGAGTGACTAGCTGATTGACTGAGTGACTAGCTGATTGACTGATTGACTAGCTGATTGACTGAGTGACTAGCTGATTGACTGAGTGACTAGCTGATTGACTGAGTGACTAGCTGATTGACTGAGTGACTAGCTGAGTGACTGAGTGACTAGCTGATTGACTGAGTGACTGATTGACTAGCTGATTGACTGAGTGACTAGCTGAGTGACTGAGTGACTAGCTGATTGACTGAGTGACTAGCTGATTGACTGATTGACTAGCTGATTGACTGAGTGACTAGCTGATTGACTGAGTGACTAGCTGATTGACTGAGTGACTAGCTGATTGACTGAGTGACTAGCTGATTGACTGAGTGACTAGCTGATTGACTGATTGACTAGCTGATTCACTGATTAACTAGCTGATTGACTGAGTGACTAGCTGATTGACTGAGTGACTAGCTGATTGACTGAGTGACTAGCTGATTGACTGATTGACTAGCTGATTGACTGATTGACTAGCTGATTGACTGAGTGACTAGCTGATTGACTGATTGACGAGCTGACTAACTGACTGACTCGCTGACTGACTGACTAACTGACTGACTCGCTGACTAACTAACTGACTGACTAACTGACTGACTCGCTGATTGACAGCTGAGTGACTCACTCACTGACCATTCGACTGAATTTTCGATGGTCTGGTGAGCAGCGACGTCACCGCGTTGCCGGGGAGACAGGGAACGTGTGCGCGCTGACGCCGCCAATGACGTCGCTGTCGGGCCGAGGCGGAAGTCTGTGCGAGCGCGAGCCGCGGACTGAGGCTGGGGATGGAGTCGGGCGGCGAGGGGGCGGCAGGAGGGGTGGTGCTGCACATCGTGGTGGTGGGCTTCCACCACAAGAAGGGCTGTCAGGTGAGAGGAGGAGGGGCTGAGGGGGCGACAGGAGGAGGAGGGGGTGAGAGGTGTTGGGGGGAGTGGGAGAACATTGGAAGCCAAACGGGGCATTTAAGCTCCAAGTCGGGGCTGTGAGATGTCCAAACGAAACACATAACTCCCAAACATTTTTTTTTTTTGGAGATCATTGTATTGCAGAGAAACCGAAGGCGATTTATCAATAAGTCACCGGTCAGTCCGATGTCAATAGAATGTTTTTCTCTCAGGAGATACCTGTGTTTTGGGCAGCTCTCTGGTGGACCTGTGTATAATTTGTCCCAACATATTTGGCAGATAATAGAAATTCCCGAGAATGGATTGGAAGCAGCCTCTGGATTGGCCCTGTAATCTTTATATAACAGTTAGTCTTGCACTGTGATCGCCATCTCAGCCTGTGCTCGCTGCCGCCGTCGGCAACAGCGGTCCTTGTCGGCATAAAAACACAACCGAAGCAGTTCAATCATTTCTCCTGAAGCTGTACGGAATCTTTTGTACGCTATGGTCAAAATTAAGATGCATCCCGCGGTCGTTTCCAGTCAGTAATCTAATCTTGTGTTTCAGGTATTCAATGGTTATAAACTGCTTGAGTTTTTTGTTCTGCTGGAATGGCGTGTTATCTCTACTTCTAGTTTTTGGGATCGGCCTTGCCATTTTGAATTTGGCACCGTGGTGTTTGTTTTGGATTGAAACAAAGCCAAATGTTAAAAGGAGCATCAAATTCATTCTAGCCCTGTCAGGTGTCAGTATAGTGTCATCCGTTTGTTCAAAATAATGCAAGTGGACGAGGTGCGAATTGTGTCTTCTTCTACCCCATTAGTTTTGAGATGCTCAAAAATGGAAAGAAACTATATTTTAAAGAGTTGGTTATTAAGGGGGGGAGGGAATAACCAGGCTAGTAATGACTGGAATAAAAATTCATTTTTGTTAGTTATTCGGATATTCCAGCTTTACTTGTGCACATCGTTCTTTTCACTATGATCTATTGTCTGTTGTATTCTGATTTTTTATATGAAAATCTGAACCTCAAGCTATAATTTCCTGCTACAAGATATTCGCCTTCATTACTCAGAATTAATCCTTAACCAGCTATCAAGTCCATGTTGATTTGTTTTTTCGCTAGTTCAAGCTCTGTACTTCCAAAAAAATATGATAACAAGTGACTACACAAATATCAGGAGTTTTATTACTGTAATTGATTCCCCACGTAACCAAGCCTCATTTATACCACTGAGCAATTCTCCATCACTTGTAGCTAGAGTGATTTTAGAGCAGGAAAGATGATTTACATTTCCTGCTCCAAAAACAGTCCAACCAGGGTTGAAGAGAGCTCTGCTGACCAGCACCAACAACAATTTGTTGTTTAATGTTAAAGAGCCTGGTGTCAAGATTAGTTTTTTTTGAGTTCAGTGTTATGAAGGTCAATTCAGGGCAGACACCAGGAAGTAATCCTTTACACGGCAGGTAAAAGGTTACTAAGAGACGTAGGTGCCAGGCCATTGGAATCATTCAAAAAAAATGCTTGACGTGGACATGGGAAGACTTTAGGGTGAGCCTTTGGAATAGATTACATCATATGGTCGAAAGGCCTTCTGCAAAATTGGAGTTGCGGTACAGATCAGCCACGATCGAATAGAGTGGCGGAACAGGCTTGAGGAGCTGAATGGCCCACTCGTGTTTCTATGTTCCTGTTTTGTAAGAAGTTTCCAGACCAAAACCTGCATTCATTGTGAAAGATGGAGTCAAAACAATTTAAAATGATTAGTGGGAGAGCTGATATAGATGTAAGCAGCTATGCGAATTACACTTTAATAAAGGTGAAAAGTTTTTTTAATTTAATTAATTAAAAGCAATATCTCCCCTCCCACCCTGAAGTATTGTAGTTGGACAAGCAGTAGGAAAAGTGCCAGACAGTGGGTCCCAATGGGTCGATTTTAGACTTTTAGGGTTCTCAATGGCAAGCTATGTACCTTGAGCTGGATAAACTCCAGCAGAACTGCAGCGCATGCTCTGGGGTCTCAAGCCTTAACTCTCACCGTTGTGTGCCTAATATTCTCTGAAATTAGGTGAGGAGAGTACATCCCTCCAGGGGCAGAGTGTACATTCCATTACAGACACAGGGAAATTTCCATATGTAGGTGGCGTACCTTTGTGGAACTTTGTATGTTTGGGACGTCCTCCTGACATGATAGGCGCTATACAAATGTAATTTTGTTGTTGCTATGAAGTCAACTCCTAACTCAAGTAGGATACTGCTAATTTTTTTTATAAGCATAAATGAGTAATAAAAGGACTTTGCTTTGTATACATTACGCACAATGGCAGATGGTCAGCAGGTGTCTTCTGTCGGTTGTTGGAATCATACACTGTAACTGAATAGTGGTGGAAATTAGAAATACCTGCGGGTGGGGGATAGACTGCTTGAGATGAGGGGGATGTTTTGCCAGGAATAGTTGCTGCATTGTTACAGCATAATTTAAAGAATTCTGTAAAGTTCTTTGTATAGTAAATAGTGAACTATTTTTTATGGAATTTGTTTACATACTGGATTGTTTTGCAACCCTAATACTTTACAAAATGAATACATTTTATATTTTATAAAGTTTGCTCTTTTGCAATTAAACCAATGAGATGTCAAATGCTGTCTCTGAGTTACAGATTTTAGCTGAAAGTATTTAGTCTGGCAGCGTCGACAAAATTATGATTACTTTAATAAAATAATTGCATTTAATACAGCATTGGCATAGATTATGCTGTCAAAACATCTCAAAGTACTTTACAGGATTTATTGTAAACTGTAGTGACTGTATTTGTAGTTGAACAGAGTAGCCAATTTGCAGAAACAGACCTATTTTGCAGGGCTATGGAGAAAGAGTGGGGGAGTGGGATTGAATTGGATAGGTCTTTTCAAAGAGCTTGCACAGACAAGATGAGCTGAATGGCCTACTTCTGTGCTTATAATTCTATGATTCTATGAAATTAAAGACCAATGTTATCTTGGGAATTGTTGGTCAGAACACTGAGATCAATAACATACACCTGAACGAACACATGGGACCTTGGTATAATGTCTCAGCCGAAGGATGGCACCTCCGATAATATAGGATCGACCACTGCATTGGAGTGTCTGCCTGGACTATGTGTTCAAAGTCCTGAAAGAGGGCTTCAACCCACAATCTTTTGACTCGGAGGCAACACAAATCTCATAGATTGCATCACCTCTGTAACGGGGCAACAATAATTATATGATCTTAATGTGTATCAGATCCTAAATGTGTGTGTGTGTGTGTGTGAAAGAGAGAGATAGTGGTCCTGAGCAAAAAAAAATACATGCAGCACGTGGAAACAAATCACAAACTATGGATATTTTCTTAACTTGATAATTCAACCATATTTGTCAATGAAGGCTGATGCAACAGTCATGAAGTGGGTTGGAATTTAAATTGATTACGTTCTAGTTAATTCAGTATTCTTTTTGGTAGAATGACATTTTTTAATGAGAGTTGTATTTTAATTGGTGAAAATAGTATTGAAACATGTTAAGAGAACACATTGAAGTGCAGCCAGTGTGATGCACATTCTACAATCCGATTTCATTCAGAAGAGTTTGGTAAAGTTTGTGATAGGCATCTAATGTCAATAGAGAAGAATGCTCTACTTCTACTATCCAAATTCTGCAACAACAACTTGCATTTCTACAGCGCCCTTCAAACGGGGTAGTGTCTCGAAGTGCTCAGCACAGAGTAATGCTGTGCTCCTTTGAGGATTGAATTGTGAAACATAAATATGGATGTTTTTATGATGTAATAATAATAGTTATGGCCAGTGTTGATATTGGAAGATTTGCCTTGTGGGGGTTTTCTCCTGTAAGGCAACAATCTGTTTTTGGTATGTTAGATCCTATCTTTACCATCTGCTGGAAAACTGCATTGCTGTTGACGTGTTTCAGTGGCCACTCCGCTCCCATGTTTTGTGATGGAGGCGCCCCAAATTTCAGATTTAAACAGAAGCAAATTTTATAATTATCTGATATATCAAATGCAAGGATTGTTGTTGTTTTGTTGTTTGTTATTTGAAATACAAATGTTTGTCCTCAACAGGATCCACTTTATGTTCTTCCTCATCCTTTTAAACTTTAAAGAAAGCATTGAAATGAAGCATTGAAACAATATTTTACTACTGTACTTTACTCCCAATATTTTCCCAAGAACCAAAATATTAAGTATTTACACAATTTATTATCAAGTTTAGAGTTCAGCACTGAACACTAAGACATTTTCAGAATTTGTATTGATGTAATTGAAATACACAATACAAACTTTTGAGATAAGCCGTGAACTTTCTGAAAGGCACTTTCTGAAATTTGTATTTCTGTAATTGAAATGTGTACTTGAACTATTGGTGCTCTGTCAAGAGTCAGATGACTAACAGTGCAGTGTTTGAAAAAGGAAGTTGAGGCCCTTTGGACTAGCTCCAGGATCTTGCCTTTGTGATCGCTTTGTTGAAAACACAATTTTACTTCTCTTACTACAATAATTAAGTTATTGTGTTTCTCACATGATGTGCTGTCGAGCATTCTGTGCTGGGAATTAATTTTCCGTCAAGTAACTTATGTCCTTTGGTCCTCAAAAAGGAACAGGTTTTGGTTTAACTTTTTTTTCAGTGCCCACTGTATGGAATACCCTTGGTTTCAGAGTTTAGTGGATCATTTCGACATTAACCTAACTAAAGTTACCGTGTTTAGTTAAAGGGAAAAAAAATGCAAGAGGAAGACTTGCTCTGAACAACTGCCATGACAGCAACAAGCTGTCTGATTTATAAGTTGTGAATTAATGATGCCATTCCTGGTAGCACTGCAGTACAGTCTGTACAATAAACCAGCAAATAGGCCATATGCTTATTAGAGCAGGAGGAATTAAATATTTAGCTCAGCCCTGAGATTGCAGCATCTGGGGAGTACCATATTAGTTCCTATTTTTATTCTGTTTCATTTTATAATGACAGCAGCTGCCAGTCGAAGAGTTTCCCAAAGTCTTTGATAAGGTGCTTTCCTTTGTTTCTGTCAGTTTCTGATGGCCTCATTAATATTTTAGGATTTTACTGTGAATTTATTTTAAATTAAAAAGAATGTAATTTTATTCTGCATTTGTGTTTTAAAGGTAACATCTGTTCCCCTAAATGTTGGGCTAGAACCAACATCGTTTTTTCACAACCACCCAAGCAGCTTTCCCATGATTTTTTTGAAAGATTTTGGTACACAGTAAGGGCATTGATAATTTGAAAGGGTGAATACACATCCTATTGTAGATTTTCCCAACTCAAATATATGTCATTTCAAAGATGACTATAACAGTTATCGTAATTTGAAGTGTTCATACTGTGGTTTCAAACAAATGAAAAGCCGGAACAATTTGTTTCCTGAAGCCAAGTAGAGCTACTTTGCTTTTCTGTAATACAGCACATGGGATATTTGCTGGAATGTGATTATTTTTGCATTTAGTTGACAAGGTTATAAGTAAAAATTATTTAAAGGATTAATTCTAAAACAAAATTCCCTTCAATATTACATTTCCGTAGGCAAATTGACTTGTGACAAGTTTCATTGAAGATGCCTTGTATTTTAACGTATTTTTGATGAATTAGAAGTCATTGTTAATTTAAAGAATTATCTTACAATAAACCATATCCATATACTATTTGGGATTGTCACAGATCTGTCGGGAGAACTTCCACTTGGGTCCAGATTTAATTTTACCTGGGTAAATTTACAGTGGAATTTATACATTCATTCTTGAATGGAAAACACAATTTCACTCTTGCATGACCTTGCTTTCAATCCTTACAGTAACCCTCACATAATTCGTATAATTTGGGACCATACAATTCATATGACTTATGAGTTGTCAAACTTGCATAAGTTTCTCTGTGCTCTTCCTCACTCACTGTTTCTCCATCTTACCCCCTCTCCCTCATGCTCTCTCTCTCTCGACTGAACCCTTAATTCTGGCAACTCATGTTCAGTACTTCTGACATTTGCTTTAAAGAACTCGAATGTTGTGAACCCTTTCCAGCTACAGAGATGCATATCACTGGTTCTGGCTGTCTCCAGTGCTGTAAAGCTTACTTACTGTAAAACCATCTGCCATCAGACATCTGAACTAGGTTTATCATGATGAAAAAGGTCCATAATTTCTGATATTTCAAAACAAACCCTAGAATGTAGGCCACAAATTGGATTTCGATAGATTATTCTCACAAGTGATCTTGAAAGGAAGCTGTGATTCCTCACCAGACTGGAATCAGGTGTTGGCGTCATGATGGTAGATTATAGGAAGAAGGGAAGACCAAGGAGGATAATATTTTTTGAAGTGTTATTAGGAATATGAGCTTGCACAATACTGCAACATTTAAAACAAATTCATCGAATGAAGAGAAGATAAATTGCATTGAAAGATCAGCATGTAGTATAAGTAAATAGAAGGAACATTTTGGACAAGTTTCAGGATGTACATTTTCGTTATTATTGAGGTTATGCATAATTGAATTTGATTGCAAATGAAAATCCAATATTGCTTGAATGCTGATCCTGCAGAGTTCTGTGGGAATCCTTGTGTTTGATATTACGCCTTTCACATTGGGAAGACATCTAAAAAGTCCTCTACAGGATTTACAGTAATTTACGTAGACTACAGCACGGAAACAGGTCAGTTGGCCCAAAGAGTACATGTCATTGTTAATACTCCATATGAGTTTCCCCTTACTTACTCTTTACTCCCTCCCATACCCTTCTGTCTCCCTTCAGGTCTTCATTAAAGTTTACACCGGGTAATCACGGCTATAAAACTGTGTAGTGACTGTATTTTGCAGGTAAAGGCAGCTGCCACTGTTGCGCACAACAATGTCCCACAAATACCCATAAAGTGAATGATCAGTTTTAACTGAAGGATTGTTGGCCAGGATACGAGGAGAAACTGCCTTCTCGTTTTGAGAAGTTCCATGGGACTTTTAACCTGAACAGGAAGACAGGACCTAGGTTTAATGTCTCATCCAAAGGACAGCACCTCCAGTAGTGTAGTGGCTCCCTTAGCACAACATTGAAGTGACAGCCTAGAGTGACTGAAAAGTCCTTCTATGGAGCTTTGCAACAACAATGACAATAACTTGGATTTATATAGCGCCCTCCACGCTGGACGGCGTCTCAGAGCGCTTTACAGTAACGGATCCCGGGGCCAAGCCAGGGGAGGAAGGTGACCAAAGGCGCGGTCGAAGAGAAAGGTCTTCAGCAGAGACCTGAAAATAGGAAGAGAGGGAGCGAGGCAAAGGGAGTGAGGAAGTGAGTTCCAGAGCCTCGGGGAATAGTGGCTGAAGGCACGGCCGCCGAGTGTGGAGCAGAGGACTCGGGGGACGAGGAGGAGGCCAGACCCGGAGGAACAAAGGCAATGGTACTGTTTTGAGGAGAGAGGAGGTCAGAGAGATAGGGGGTGCAGAGGAGTGGAGGGATTTGAATACGAGGGTGAGGATCTTGAAGTCGATCCTCTCTGGGACCGGCAGCCAGTGCAGTCTGGCAAGGACTGGAGCAATCGGGGAGCGGAGTTTGGTGCGGGTGAGAATGCGGGCGGTAGAGTTTTGAATGATCTGGATTTTATGGATGGTAGTGGATGGGAGACCGGCGAGGAGGGCGTTAGAGTAGTCCAGCCGAGAGGTGACAAAGGCATGGACTAGGGTTTCAGCGGCTTTGTCTCAGGCGAGATGCTACCACTGAGCCAGGCTAACATCAAAACAAAACATAATGAATCATTATACAGACAATGTAACTTTTAAAAGCATTCATCAAGTACCCTATTTTTTAAAAATTAATGTATAATCTACATACTTATTTCCTGGACCAACAGATAAGTGTGGAAACATTTGCCAAAAATTGCAGGGAGATTTGTGGGAAGTTACCCGGGAAATTTTTGACATTTTACTGCCCACCTACATTTTTTCACTTTATTGATAAAAGCTAAACATAAGGAAATAAAGCATATTAGATTGTTGTAAAAGAAATATTAATTCTTTAACATAAACTGGGTGGCCCTTTTGAGCGGCAACCGGTGAGGCTACAGGAGCTCACCACCTCCTGCCTCTCAGGACTGGCACTGCACACAGACACAGATACCCTAGAGAGACAGACAGAGAGAGAGAGACAGACACTCACAGACAGAGAGAGACACAGACACATACACTCAAACACATAGAAACACTCACAAACTCAAGAAACACACTCACAAACTCATGGAAACACACAGACACAGTCACATAGAGAGACAGACACTCACTCACAAACACATAGAGAGACACACACAGACACTTACAATCACACAAGTACACAAACAATCACAACAACGTGGTCTCCGAGTGAAGCCCATTTGCCGCTTGCGCCACAACACCCATGCGCATCCGAAACCGCTCCACCCATAGTGACGCCGGATAAACAGCGAGTGGCCCACGGGCCAGAATCTACATTGATAGGGGGTTTGTTGCTGCAGGGGATGTTTATAGCGAATTCCGCAGAAAAAGTGCGGCTGCACCTTTCTATTGGCATACCTTATTTCCCATTATTGTACTGTGGTTTCTTCACTGACTGAAGCTTCCATAATATTTTCTGTTTCTCTTTTCCGTATAGAAGGAACATGATGTATCTTGTGGTTTAACAAAATCCAATTTATTTAACTGTTGCAAGATGGAATTCAAAATATGAAACGACGCTTACTGAAATATTTTACATATTCTAACTTTGCAGAAATGTTTTTTTTTGGTCAGCCGGGTGTCTGACACATGACAGAAATCATCAGCGTGCTTAAGAGTATCCAAACCAAACAGAATTCCACGCATCCTGCTAACACATGGAAATTCCAGAGTTAGATTTTTGGGATATAATGCGCCCTCTTTCCCTGGTGAAGTCCTGTAGCTCAGTGGTTTGAGGACTTGCGTCGCAAGGGAGAGCATCTGGGTTTTATTCCTGGGCAGTGGGAAACTTTAGGCATGTTTCCTTACTCCACACGCCTCTGTTTATCTTGCATTAAACAGGAACTCATTTTTAGTTGATTGGCAGATTGCTTTTCTGGGGGTAATAATCCCTTCAAAAAAAATTATAATAATAATTTGGTCACTCAGTCCACGACTGTCTGTGGGATGCTGCTGTGTGCAATTGGCTGCCGCATTGCGCCCACAAAATACAGTCAATTCACTTTATAGTATATTCTGTGAATCGCTTTGAGAGTCTTGAAGATGTGATAATGCGCTTTGTCAAATGCGAGTATTATTATCCTGCTTACCTAATTGCGGAAAGTATTGGGTGCAGATTTGCCTGGGCCAAGGCTTGGAGACCCCAGTGTGTGTATCGTGGTACTGCTGATGTCTAAAACCGCATAGCTCGCCATTGATATTACTGTCTGGCAAGCTTTCCAGCTCTTTGTCCAACTAAGACCACGCTGCCCATTAGGGTTTGGCTTGCAGGGTTAACAGGAGCTGAGTGGGATGATTCCCTGATCCCAGTAGAAATGTTTAGGATATGAGAACTCTGGTTTAAATGTTGTAAACTGTTTCCTGCAAACTGTGTACAATACAACTTTATTATATGCTGCTCATGCTCAATATTTTCTTTCTTCTTGTAACTTCAGGTTGAATTTTCATATCCCCCATTAGTTCCAGAGGAAGGGCATGACAGCCACAGCTTGCCCGAGGAATGGAAATACTTACCATTTCTGGCTCTCCCAGATGGAGCCCACAACTATCAGGAAGGTAAGTTAGACAGAGGTAAACCTGGGCCTAATTTCAGTATTAATTTTACTTCTGCTTTTCTCTTTAGTTCCCCTATAGCAGAGTAGTTTCCCGTAGCATAGTAGTTAGTGCGATCGTCTTGCATGCAAGAGCACTCGGGTTTGATTCCTGTGCGAGACAAAATCTTAGGTGGGTTTCCTTACTCCTCACACCTTTGTTTGCCTAGCAATAAGTAGGAACCTAGTTGTTAGTCGATTGGTGGATCGCTTTCCAGGACTAATAATCCCTCCAAAAAAAATTACTCACTCCATGACTGTTTGTGGGACACTGCTGTGCACAATTGACTCCCGTGTTCTCCCACAAAATGCAGTCAATTCACTTCACAATATATTTTGTAAAGTGCTTTGAGAAGTCTCAATGACGTGATAAGGCGCTATATCAAATTCAAGTATTATTATTATTGTTTATTATTATTGGTAGTCCTGACCTTACTTCGCATCTCCACAGCCCATCAGTGAAAACACCATCATTCCTTCATCGTTGCCTGGCACTAACTGCACACACTGATAAATTCTATTGGAAATCTTTACCCCTTCTTGAGCTTGAATGAGTTGCAGATGTACCTGCCCAGCAACCGAGAATCAATAGTCTTCCTATCCAAGAGTTACTTAAATCTGAAAATGAATTCATTTACTTAAGTACTAGAGTACAAATTTATATCATCCACAAGGAGCAATGTAAGAATATCCTAAAACATATTGTCCCTTTTTTAAAAAAAAAACATACCCTACTATTCCATTTTTACCAGATGTTCTGTTACTAGATTTTGTAAATACTAGGAAAGCAGAAGAAAATGGTTTGGAAAAACTTCTACAGCCCATCTCTGGAGATGAAAGTCCCAGGGAGGTCCAGTGTGAATTCCCATTCTCTGTAACTACCAAACGAGACTAGCGGTCAAGTTTTTGTGCCTTGATTGAATCACCCAATTTATCTTTTGTTGGTTTAATTTCAATTTATTTCCGGTAAAGATATTAGACTAGGGTAACTTGTGCTGTATTTCCTTTTTGGAAGCTATTTTGGTTTCAGGTTTATATTTCCAAATAATACTTTTCACCTTCACATATAAGAATTTTTCAACCCAGTCTGGCTTTGTTCTGTAATTTACAAATGTATTTGCTTTGTATTTTGCATTTCATTCAGATACAATATATTTTCACTTGCCTCCAAGGAGTGCAAATCGGAGGACAGTTTACGGCATTTCCTGCTACCGACAGATTGAAGCTAAGGTTAGTTTGCCTTTAGTGAGATGGAGCTCAAACCATTGAATCACATTTTCACAAAATAAATCTATGGTGGTAACATTGGCTAAGTAGTCGGCCACTATAGACCTAAAGGAGATCTATTTCTGCACAGCTTTCTGGCTGAATCAACATTATCTTAGATTTTGCTTCTGGGGTTGCAACTTTGCTTTGGCCTGTCCTTGGGCCATCCTGAAGTATTTACTAAATACCTGTCTGTCAGAGTAGCCCATTTCACTAATTCTATTTTCATTTCTGTTTCTACTTAGCCAATTGACATGTAAGGGCTCCTTTCAAAAAGACTGCTTGGAATGTCGTCAAGCAGGTCCCAAAAATCCACTCACTCAGGTTTCTTATCTCTCCAACTTAGAGCCAAACTATGAAAACGTGGCACATCCTTTTCACAAATAACCTTGACAAAAGGTGTCTGACATTTTCTGCTTCATCACTCCATTTTATGAAATATTTTTCAAATTTCACATATAACTTTTTTTTAAAAAATGGCACTGTAAATTTTAGTTTTCTGGTATTACTGGAATCACTTGGCTGTCACACATCAATGCAGACGAGATCAAAATGTTAATGTTTGCAGATTTACAGGAACTGGCATATGTGTGGGAAGAGGCTGGATGGGTTGGAGCTTTTGTTGTGGAGCACACAAGATTAGGAAGTTATTTAGAGATTTTTACAATTCTGGGGGAGGGCCATGACAGTAAATGGGGTTGGGAGAATCCTTTCCTTCAGTTGGAGTCAATGACAAGGGGCATAGTCTCAGGAATGAGAGTTGGAACTGTAAGGCAGGGTTGGAGGGAATTTCTTCACGGAGGGTGGCTCCTGAGTGTTGTAAAATTGGGGGATGTGGGGAAGGAGCTGGAGAGTGTGTTGGTAAAAGGGTTGACTTGAAAACCCGAGATTGGGAATGGATCAGACAAAGGGACAAATTACCTTCTGTGTTGAAAATTTCTGGGTTTCTCTGTAAATATTAAATCTAATTACAGGTTATCCTGTTGTATGCAATGGCTTCAGTCTATAAAATTAGACCTTGTATTATGACCAGCCTGTGTATGTATGAGGCGTGCACTTCGGGTCATGAACTCTTTGCCGATGTTGGTTCTAGCATGGACTGGCAGGCTTACTGTGCACGAGCATGCAGGAAACCAGCTCAGTCATCCATTCCCATGAGCATTTCCAGGGCTGGAAATTCCCGTGAGAGTGGTCATATCTAATCTATTCCAAACATTTTATTTGGAGAATGAAGGTCCTATCTGGTAGGCAATACTTTCTTATCCCTGTTTATTTGGTTTCCTTTTCCCATTCCCTTCAAATCACCTCTGCCAGATAGTATCCCATATTTGTCTGAATTTGGGGAATTGCTGTGTGCAGAGTACAATTGATTTATCACTCCATGATCCAATGTTTTGATACTTTAATGCATTAAATTGCTAAACAGATAGTGTATTGTTTCGTATGTGGGATTATTGATGTCAAATAAACATCTGATACTAAACACATACTTCTGTAAAAGGCACATTTTAAACAAACTTTGACTGCTCTATCCTTTATCTTTCCCCTCCTCACCCCCTTCAGCTCTCACCCCTAACTTGGGATCCAGCACTGTGAATGCGTTTTAGGTTGTCCTCCCGATGTGAAGGCATACATAAATGTATATTGTATTAAAACTGAAATCTGAATTTTAGGCACTCAAGGTTCGACAGGCAGATGTCACAAGAGAAACTGTTCAGAAGAGTGTTTGTGTCCTCAGTAGTTTGGTAAGAATGTTCTTTTCCCAAATATTTTTAAAACTACTTTTACTGTATATGGGTGAAAACTTGATGATTTGAAATACTCAGGTGCTATTTTATTTAACGTCTCTAAGCATGTTTCCCATTTCATGTGCTTTCTCCAAGATGGTAATTTGTGAACATTTTAGGTTGCTTTTTTTCATCCAGTGGTAGTCATTTGCCACATGTTCATGTTGGTACAAGCCTTTTTTCCCTCTGAGCTGTGGTGAGGATGGTTCCTCAGGCCTTTGGCATAGCTGCACTGAGCTGCCATTAAGGGGTACCAAACAGCTACTTGATGGAAAAACGTCTTCCAGTTCTTCCCTCCTTTTCTTCTGGGGAAGTATCTGGTCTTCATTGCAACCTCTCTAATCTTTGTGGGAGCTTTCCACAATAACATGTAACTTGAGATCAGAACCTCAGTGCTATCGCTAATTGAGTACAAACCTATGTCCCACTTTCTATTTTTGAAAATTTTAGCCAACTTTGTACTGTTTATTGTAATGTCGGAATTGATTACATTTGTTTTCTAGAAGCTGAGAATCTTGCTTGTCAATCACTAACTTAAAGAGCATTTTACAGAAGTTACCTCATGTTTATATTAAACATAAAACAAAGTTTCATACAATTTCAGGGACTTTTTGTTTTTCATTGTTAGTGTCAACGTGCACGATATACAAAAAGGTTGAAAAGTTTTATATCTTGTATACTGATGTGTAATGCATCTTACCACCTCTTTCCATTTTTACTAAAGATGATTTCTCGTTATCTATATAACATAACTGTAACTGTTATAACATAACAGTTCACTGTACTTTAAATGACAGATGGGTAGATGCAAGATTGTAATGCTAAGCAATAGTCCAGTTTGTTGTTATCTCTCACTTTCAATATGATTTTGAGTCCAAATTAAACTTAATGGCTCAACTGCAAGGCTCTTCAAGACGCTAGCCTGGGTAAAGAGCATTATATGAATGTAAGTTATTCTTAAATAAAAATGTATTATAGTACAGTCTATTGATTAATGCAGTGACTGAGAAGGTATTACTTGTGCTCAATCAGTTTATACAAATAACTGTTAATTCTCTTAAACATTAAAGTTTTGTGTTTTGCTTTTGTTAGCCGCTCTATGGATTACTTCAAGCAAAATTGCAACTTATCACGCATGCTTACTTTGAAGAGAAAGATTTCTCACAAATTTCTATTCTGAAGGTGAGATTTTCTTATTTTTAATCTCCATAACAAACCCCTTTGACTTGTTTTCTACAGTTTTCAGTACTCTTCATTCATATCCTTCACAAACCACTAGCGTGAACCAGGTTACTAATACGAATAATCTTGAAAACAGTATGCTTTTAAGAAGCTTTGAGCATCTGTGATGTCAGGGTGTCCAATTACTGTGTCTCTCTTCTAAACAATATTAAAGGTATGTATGCCCCTCTCAGGTGTCATGTGATATTTTCCCCCTTTTCAGCTTCCCACATTGGTGGGAAGTCTTAGCATTTGAGTCTGTTATAATTTGTTTTTAATTCTCTTTAGGTTTTCTTTATTGTCTTAAAGAAACAAGATGGGTCCAGGCTTTAAGCATTGGTTATTAATGTTATGGACATCTCATCAAATTAGATTTTCACTCTCCTGTTTTGCCACTGTAAAGTATTTGTTTGAAAGTAATTCTGCCGCAGCTCTCTGAAGCTCCATTCCGGAGAACCTCTGCCTCGCCCTTCCATCTTCAAAACCCACCTTAAGACCTTGATATCCTGATGTGAAAGGTGCTATACAAATTACAAACAGATTCAGTTAAGGCTTTCTTTTGAGCTTAGTCTTAAATATTCTGTCTGATACTAACGTATGATCTTCTAGAGGGCAGACTATTCTACCTTTCTGGTTCATACTTCGAAGGCCTAATCTGTGTTGATTGTATTCAGCAAAGATCTAGAAAATTACTTCTCATACAAGCATTCTTTCTCTTTGATGTTTAAAAACCTGAGTAAAATGATACTACAGCTGTGCTTCGTTTTGGTCTTAATAGCATATGAACACAAAATATTCTTTGTAGAATAGTGTTTGCTTTATTTTTCAAGTGGTAACTCTCCTACATAAGCTGAATCAGACCAACCAGCCCATTAAATGTTTTCAGTCTGATTGCAGTTATTGAAAAATGACATAACTCAATTTCATCTAAAAATAGCTACTATGCTTTACAAAAACTTGTGAGAAGTTTTGATGTGATGAGAGCTACGTCAAATACAATGATCGTATTTATTGCCGTGTTTCGTCAATAAAATATACAGCCAATTCATTTTACAGTATATTCTGTGAAGCGCTTTTTGAGACATCTTGACGACCTGATTAGGTGCTATATCAATGCAAGGATTATTATTAAACCTCACCAGTGCTCCAAATTTCTGAGGTACATTTGTAAATCTTATTCCTTTCTCCCCTGCCCCCATGTAACCTGAGTTTATCCTACACCATGGGAGGTGCTTTCCTTTAGAAAGATTTTTTTTTGATCATCAGTTGGAGTAACATCTGGCTCTTGAAGAATGAAGGTTAACTGTTAGGCAGTAACGAGATCTTGAAAGATTTTTCTTTATTGGCTTATTAATAATGAATGCCATTCATTTGTAAATAAATGAAACTGTTTAATAATAATTTATTTTAGTTTTTTTGATACACCCAGTTAAACATGCAATTTTCTAACTTGCAAGGCAGTTTGTATTGACAATATATTAAAATCAAGCTTTATTACTCTTATCAGAGCACGTAATACAGTTATTTAAAAAAAACCTATATTGCTTATTCACCTGTTCTAACAGACTCAAAATGTTTTTCCAATATTGAACTAGGAACTTTATGACCACATGAATGGCTCTTTAGGAGGAAATGCATTGGAAGGATCCCAGGCTTGCTTGGGTAAGTGGATTAAAATCACATTACATATAACTTCCCTTGACGCAAGAAACAAGTTTACAAATGTAATTTAGCAATAAATGTTATTTAATGTTAGGAAATCAGTATTCTTCAGAAGGTGCATGGGCCTCTTCCTACACTTTTCATTTAGATGGTTTCAGGATAGTTATATTATTGAGAGATGGAATTCAATTGTGTGTTTATCTACTATCTTGTACCTCAGAAGAAGAATATAGATTCTGCTGAAATGATGCTTGTTTTTTTAAACCAGAACTAGCAAAATGCAACTCAGTTAACATGCATGGCACCATCCACATCAAGTCTTCAAAGGATTATGTTTTTGACCTGGACTTATCCAGGTGGTATATGGGAGATGCTCCCATGTCAGCTGATATTTTTAAGGTTAAGGTTATTTTTAAACTATTGATCACCCTGAACCTATAAATGATGTTTGATCTCAGCAACAATCATTCCAAGTGTCCCTAGGATGATTTCTAAAAAAAATTCAAATTGTGGATGTTGGATGAGATTTTATTATTTTTGAAAAAAAGGACTAGCAATGGTTCTGTCTGCAGTTTGTAGAGGTTTTCAAGATTTGGAAAAAAANTCTGAACAATGCCCGCGCATGTGGAAGTGTGCTTCCCAATGTACATTACTAATCATGTTGGGATAGGGCTTTAGATTACTTACAGTAAATTGCTGTGCACAGATCACATTTTTAAGCATGTTTTTAATCCATTAAATTGGTGTGGGACATACAAGCTGAAAGCTCTTTTGCCACCTGACAAAGTTACAGGTAGCAATACTTTGTGCTACTCTACACTGATTTTGCTGTAACTGTACCTGATCAGTCAATTGGGATTGTTGATCAGCATTAGGTTGTCCAATTTGGGAGAGCATGTTCTAACAATCTTACATGAAATTTGGCATTTACCATCACTTACAATACAATTGGAAATTTACTACCACTGATTGTGTGACTATATTTCATTCATCATATGAAAGTAGAGAGAGCAGTAGGAGGTTATCATGTATGTTGTCTTTATTGGAAAAACTGAATTCAAGCACCACAAAATTTACATCTATCATCGCCTCTTTTACATTAGGAGAATATCTCAAAGTGCTTTACAAAGACTGAGTGGGAGCTCAAGCTGAATGGGGTGGGCGGACATAAGTAGCCGAAAGCATAGTCCAAGAGTAAGATCTTCAGGCGGGATTTGAAAGCTGAGAGGAAAGGGGCGAGGCAAACGGTTTTCAAGAGATTTCCAGATGGTGTGGGCAAAGTTCAAAAGACTTGTTTGCCAGGTGTGGGGGATGGAGTGTGTGTGTGTGTGTTGGGGGGGGGGGGGGGGGGAGGTGAGGCATAAAGTAGGCCAGCGTTGTCAAAGCATCATATAAATTTGATTTTTTTGAAAATTCATTAGGTCTGTCTCCACGAGACCTAATTCTTCATTTAAGACACAAGGTACAGTAACTGGTTTCCATTATTTGTTGAACTGGATTTATTTTGCTTTTTAGTTAAGAGTATTCTGACCGTAGAATTTCATGATATGATGTGAGAAACGGACATTAAGGTGCTTATCTTACACATCGTAAGACAACATATAAAAGGGAAAAAAAACTTGATTAAAGGAAATAAAACTTGAAATGGTCTTATTTGTATATCTTCGCCGAAACTGTGTTTCAGTCCACCTGCTCAGCAAGATGTCCGATATATGTGGACACCCATCATAGTGCATAAAGAGTATCCAAACCAAAGTTCCCTTTATGTATTCCACCTACATGTGGAAATTTCCCTATGTGTGGAATGGAATGCACTCTTCATGGAGGGAGACACCCTGCTTACCTAATCCCAGAGAGTATTTGGCATAGTTTGGCAAAATCTGAGATTTAGGGACCTAGAGTGGTGCGTTGGGGTACCACTGAAATTTAACCAATTAAAGTTGCACAGCTTGCCATTGAAAGCATTGCCTGGCTGGCTTTCAGCCGTTTGTCCACCGATGGTCACACTACCAGCTAAAGCTTTGGCTTTGGTTGAGTATTCTGACATTCTGTTGCCAAATGCCTCAAAAGCAGTTCATCTCCAAGAAATCCTTGCCTACCTCCCCCTCCCCTCCCCACTCTCCCACCGGAGGATGCTTGGGTCCACTGAACTATACAGTTGACTATCATATAAACCGAACAATACCAGTGGACATTTGTAAATTATGATTGGCTCTAAATCACCACAAAAATGATGATGTTTTGGCTATGAATTAAGTGGTTTTGTACAGTGATGTATTATCATACTACCTCTTTCTCCACCCCTTTCCCACTCACACAGGCATGACATATTTCATTCAGTCTCTATCTTACCTGTTCTGTCCAGTAAACTTCAAAAGTTATTTTTAATATTTCTTTATTTCCATTGTCAAAATGTTCTACGTCATAAAATCCAAACAGCTACCTCAAAAAAGATGTGTGCACAGCTATATGTAATGCCTTGAAAGCACTCCAAGACGCAGCTCGGCGTGAATGGCACTATATAAATGCAGGTTGTCGTTCTAATAATAAACACATTGCTTGGCTTTAAGATCTCTCGAAGGCATTCATTATAGAGCACTTCTGTTTTTTTAAAAAAAACTTAAATGTAAAGTTATTTAGACAATTATACTGTAAGGTATGTTAACAAAGTGCTTTGTTTGCTTCTTTTTCCAGACAGTAATTCTATTTAAGTTGATTCTCTTGGAGAAAAAGGTAAGAAAGGGGCTCAGTGACTACAAAGAGCTTCATAGTCAACACTTTATAATTATATGTTCAAATTAATTGTGCAAATGGTCATATTAGTGGCTTTGGTCAGGGTTCTCATATTCAGGAGAGTGGGCTGCTTGAAATGAGTTGGATGATTGGAATGGATTGAGTTTGTCTGCCATGTGTGTTGCTGAGCAGTTTGTTGACAGTATCGTAGCTCATAGTAAATCCTTGTCTTTGGGTGAATTACCCCATGGTGCTCAGTCTTGGGATTGTACCCCAGTAGAAGGTAAGATGGAGTTGGTATATATTCAGAAAGGGAAAGTGAGTGGAGAGAAATGGCAAGAAAAGGAAACCATTTCTGCATTTAATTCTGTATATATTGCCTTCTGTACACAATAGGTTTTATGAAATGGTTAAATCTTCCTCTAACTGGTATGGAGAATTTAACAAATATTTTGTTCTATTTACTCTTCCGGAGGAATCTGAAACATGTTCAATAGAAATGCAGAAGGAACACGCCTCACCCTTGTTGTTGAATGGATATAAATTCAGAATGAGTCATTCACAGAGATTCTATCTGAATGAAAACAGTGTTGTGTAAATGCCAGAGGAAAACTTTCTGACTGGTTCAGAATTGCATTGCTTCATAAAGGCCTCGTCCACTTCCAGTTTTAATGGATTTGACAAAGTCCAAGGCATCCAGTGAACATGATGTGATTGACTTCAGTTTGCTGATGAGGCAATGGGTCTAATTTTTCAGCTGATTCAATGGGAAACTGGGCCGGTTTCACTAGAAATTTTTAAAATAAAGCAGAAATACATCATGTTACATTCGTTGGATATTAGACCTTAATACTTGAATGATGCAGTGAGGATTTAAAGTAGTTACTGATGATTCAAGCTGCATTTCCGAGGCCCTCTCACTGACATAAACTTGTATTTGGAACTTAACAAAAACGGAAACTTCATAGCTTTAATCTATTTCTGCTATAACTGATGTAATTTTCATTGCAAATTTTAATTTGCAAAGCTGTGTGGAAGTTTTGTGGATTCATAAGAATTTTAGCTGAAGGAGTAGCAGAGAAAATTTTTTTTTTTGTCCCCCAAGATTTAGTGTTGTTCCAAAAACTGTTCGTAATCAGAATTGTTTGAAATAATAATAATAATAATAATCCTTGCATTTGATATAGCACTTTTCACGTCTTCTAGCCGTCTCAAAGCGCTTCACAGAATATGCTGTAAAGTGAATTGACTGTATATTTGTGGGCGAAACGCGGCAGCCAATTGCGCACAGTAGTGTCCCACAAACAGTCGTGGATTGAAAATGACCAATTTATTATTGTTTTTGTTTTGGAGGGATTATTATTAGGTGTGTAAATCAACCATTTGGAACTGTAGGAAGCTTGTCCAAGGTCTCTTCCTTGGAGTTTCCTTCCCTCCAGAGAGAAATGACTTCACTCAGTTTGGCTTTCTTGTGATTGAATTACTGACCTTGTGGAGAATGAAGGATTCAAACTTATATTCTACTATTCTGTTAGACAGAGCATTTCAAACTCTTAATATGCTGCACCATGGTGTTTCCTCAGCTCTGCACAACATATTTTATGAGTGTAGGAAATGTTTTACGTAAGCTTATATTATCTCATTTAGCATTATGGTTTTACCTTACAAACTGCTGAGAGTTTACCATTATGAGTTTAGGGTATCTAAAGGCTTTCTTAAGTGTTGAAGGGAATAATTTACGCATGCTTTGAGTTTGATTTTTGAGGTAGAAAAACAGCTTGTTTACTGTATTTGTGGTTTAAAAAGTTGCCGAAGCCACTTGACAGCTATGTGATGGTGTGATGTATTGGTTTCAAATAGTGATTCTCCTGAAAAGTTAATATTGAGTTTTACTTTGCTGATTCTGCAGCACAGTGTAAATGGAGAAAGCTTTTCTGATGCTTAGTTTCCTAAAACGTAAAATTCAGCTTAATTTACCTAAACATTGATTCAGTCCTACTTCTTAAATGCTTCTCTTAATTAATTTCTCTCGAGTGTCATATTAAAGTATCTTTCTTTTCAGCTTCTGTTTTATGTGGCGCCAGTAAATCGACTCGTTGGAACATTGATGACAGTTCTATCACTCTTTCCAGGTGAGCATTTCGGGAAGAATTAAAATTATTGTATTAATGATTTATCTTTCTAAACACTTATTTTGAATTGTATGAATTCATTTTTGATGCAATGAATTGAACTTCTTTTTTTAATAAAATACATTGATCAATAAGAAATGACAACAGGAAATCTTAAATTGGGTGGCACAATTTACCTTCATCACCCCCCTACGTCTATTCCACGCATTCATCACTTTGTGTGAACTAAATACTAAAACAATCTGTATAAATTCTAGGGAAAATTTCTAGTCCTTTAAGCAGTTTTAGCGTTCACTGGCTACCTATGATCTTTAGTCACTGCTTTAAATAGACATAAGAACTAACATTGAATACAATACAGATTTACAGTGCCACTTTGACTTGGCAGCCACCAGATGTAAATGCAGTGAAAAACACAAAACTGAAAATAACTTGTGAACGATAGGAGATACCCAAAAACAAATATGCCAATTTTACTCCCAGGTACTAGACCTTTCCAATGAGTTGTAACTTGTGTCTCTACGTCAGTCGGTTATTGAGATCCTTCTTGAAATGCAGAAAGACATTGTTTTATTAGTATATATAATATATATGCATATATTATATATATATATACACACATATATGAAGAAGATAGACGAGTTTGTGGAGGACTTCTCTCAATGAACGAGGAAGAAAATACCTATTACTCATTCTTTCAAGATACTTCCTCATTCTTTGAAAAAGCTCCCCAAACCAAGTTTCGTTCCTTTTTTTCCTTTGACTTTGACCTCTGACTTTGTCCACTAAATTCTATTTGTGTCAACTTTTTTTAAAAAAAATTAGTGTGAACAATTATTCTAATTTTTCATATGTCATTCAAATGTGCCACGGAAGCAAGTGTGTGGAAAGAAAGCTGTCTGGACATGAATGGGGCTCACATCCTATTTGCTTTGTAAACAAACTATGCTGTAATGAAGCACATTACAATGGGGCTACATTGCAACAGTTTCAAGCAGGAATAATAATCGTATTTGACATAGCACCTTATTATGTCTTTGCAACATATATAGTGGAGTGACTGTGCATTTGTGGGTGAATACTGCAACCAATTTGCTCAAGGCAATGTCCCACAAGCAACCATGGAGAGAGTGACTAATTTTATTTGGGGGATTTGTTGGCCAGGGCACTGGGATAAACACCCTTTTCAAATAGTGCCATGGGATCTTTTACATCCACCTGGGAAGGAACTCGTTTCAACATCTCATTGGATGGATGGAACCTCCAGCAATGCATTGGAGTGTCATCTTTAGACTCCCTTATATAGGTTCTGGCCCCTGACATGGGACCTGAACCCACAATCTTGAAATCTTTTCTAGTTTCTTGTTCCACTGTTTGAACTGTTGTACAGCAATATTTCAATTTGTTTAAAGTTTAAGAGTTTAAAGTTTGTTTTGAACCTCCATATATAAGAGACAAGATCCCCAAATCGTCGCTCTACTCCAGTTTGACCTCCGTATTGCATTAAAATGTTCTATTTCTGCTTTTTATCACTTGTCATAATTTTGAATTGACATGAGGAAGAACATTGTATCACAAAACTCTTTTTATGGCTCTTTTTAATGTAGTTTTACATTTTTTAAAAGATGTGCGATATATTTCTAAAACAATACTGCTAAACAAAGAGACAGTGTCGAATTATTCAAATGTTTTGTTGATAATATTCCTTTGTGCCGATTCAACTGTGTTCAGAGAATGGGGAAGGCCATGCAATCTGTTTTTGTTTCTAGTAATTTTTTTTTATTTTAGGAATGGTAGAACATGGTTTGGCAGATTCATCTCAATACAAGCCAAGAAAGAGCACCTCAGAAGATATTAATCTTCAGGAACTTAGTATGAATACTGAAGAATATGTTTCTATTTCTGAGGCAGACATTTTAAACCCTAGTCCAGAATTCAATGATGGAGCTCAAGATGGAAAAGATCAGCAGATTAAAGTTACAGCTAAGGTTGTGAAATTTTCAGATCTTCAGAAATCTGACCAAACAGACAGGCCACAGCAGCATCTGCAACCTCCGCAACATGCTTCTCCAAACTCTTCAGAGAGTGACTGGGAAACCTTGGACCCGAGCATTCTAGATACTGACAATGGACTAAAGGAAGAAGGATTGGATCAAATAGAGAATTCAGATCAAAAAGAAGTTTTTTCAGCAGAGTCCGGTTCTATTCCAGTCACAGTACAACCACAGGCTAACACGGGACAGACAGTAATAGTCCCAGGATTAATTTCTGGTCTTGAGGAGGACCAATATGGAATGCCTTTGGCTATCTTCACTAAGGTAATGTTTTTGGAAAATGTTTTCAAAATTTGCCGTAAGCCTTTAATTTTAATCTTGGTACAGAGAGCAAGCATATAAAGTACATACAAGCATAGAAAGTCTTAAACACGTTGAAGAATATGAATGCGAGTATTGTCGATGCCAGATACAGTATGAAATTGTCTGAAGCAATGAGGAGGCTTGCGGAATTTATTTTAAAATTTAAAAATTTTATGTTTGAGGAATATTCATCAAATGTCAAGTGAGATGGCTAGGTGCTATGATGTGTTTTGTACAGGAGCATGGTGATGTGGTTTTGAAATTCTCTACAAGGCTGTTTCATGATTTCAATATACCACCAAGCAGTGGCGGTCATTGAGCACTGAGTCTTTCCTACAGTGAGATGTGTGAGCCCACCAAGCTGCTATTACACACCTCCTAGCAAATGAGAAGTGTGAGAGCAGATCAACTGTGCACACTTTTTACCTAGGAATATATTTTGGCAAGCTGCTTCCTAACTCTAGTGAGGGCGAAAATGTCATAGAACCATTAAATGTCCTTGACATCTTTCCTAAAGTAGGGTGGCCAAAACCAGGCTGGAATTGGAGTTCTAATTATTTACAAGTTTTCAAATCTGTTGCCTTCATTGCTCAGCAAGAATTTATTTGAGGATACGCACTTTGAGCAAATGCCAAACATGTTTTACATATCTGGTGCTAGTCTCAACTTCCTATACTATTAACAAATGACATTATTCTCTTTCTGCTTCTCATAAATACTGGTATCGCAGAAATAAAAGCACTAAAGGAAGCCATTCAACCGATCAAACCTATGCTGGGTGCTAGCTCCTGCAAATGAAATGTAAACTCTGGATTTTGACACTAAATTCCAAAAATCCCAGTTTTCTGTTCCCAAGAAAAATGTCTTGCTTAAATTTGAACACAACAACAACAAAAAAATGCATCCATATAGCACCTTTCACATTGTGAGAATGTCCCATGGTGCTGGATGTACATAAATATACACACACATGCGCACACACATTGATGCGTAGATATCTTTTTTCTTTTCCTGCTGAACCCAGAGTTTTAATATGGCCTGCTTTTCAGATTCTTATGTATCCTTATAGTAGACGAGGATATTTTCAAGTTACTTTGGACTCTGATATAAAAGGGGTGGATTAGACACATGGAAGCACAGGGGAAGGGTGAAGTGGGTGCAAACATGGGATACCTGTAGATTTTATGAATTTATGACCTAAAAACTAGGTTGGGGGAAAAAACTATCCAGTAACATTAAGAACAATTATCGTATGATTTATCATTTGTGCTATTTCCCTTGGGGTGACGAATCATCAGAGTTTCACTGTATTTGTCTAGTTCCTCTTAAAGCCCACTATGCATTCTGCCTCAACCACCATTCCTTGTAGGGCATTCTGTATCCTAATTACTCTGCATGAAAAAAAATCTCCTAATTACTGTGACTTTTGTTGGGTCTCTGGTTCATAATTAATAATCTGAGCTACCTGAGAAGTTACATACTATAGATAAACATTCCTCTTTGTCTATCAATACAAATTTATATAGCTGAAGGTCACTGTTGGTGGGGGAAAAAGTGAACATTTTGGATTACTTAAGGGACAAATGTCTAATCATACAATTGATCACTCACCTACAATTGATTAATCACTCCATGGCTGTTTGTGCGACATTGCTGTGTTCACCCACAAAATACACACACAGCTGCACCACTTTACAGTAGATCCTGTGAAGTTCTTTGAGACATCTTGACATGATAAGTATTGTCAAATACAAATATTATTACAAAACACGGTCATTATACTTCACAGTATCTACTGTGAAGCGCTTTGAGACATCTTCCCGAGGTTCAAGACACTATATGAAATGTAAGGATTATTATGACACTAATTCCATTTTCTGATTATGGTCATCTCTGGGCGTTGTTAGATTTTCCTATTACAAGAGGTTGTGAGGTAAGGATATATGGCACAGAAATAAAGTGGACTAAATATGAAATCTGACATTGGCATTTTCAGAGCATTTATAAAGTTTAACGCTTCAATGTTTTTCAGTCATTTGAAAATTTTAAATGCTAAAGAACAATCCATTACTCCACTAATTCAAAAGCATCTTTATTTTTTCTCTCCAGGGTTACCTTTGTTTACCATATATGGCTTTACAGCAGCACCACCTTCTTTCTGATGTCACTGTACGTGGATATGTTGCTGGAGCAACGAATATACTTTTTCGACAACAGAAGCATTTGAGCGATGCAATTATTGATGTAAGTGCATGGCTTGTTGAAATATATTTATAAAAAATCTAATAACTATAATTTGGTTCAATGCTCCAAACACTGTCTTCTCCAAACAGATTTCCCATTAGTGTACCGTTTCGCGTAAATTTTAATGACCTCACGGCACTATTTAAAAAGAGAGTGAGTTTCTACTGGTTTCCAACAAAATGTGTCATTCATTTATAGATGTTTGTAGAGTGGAAAATTGTTGTATGCAAAATTGACTGCTGGATTCCCCTACAAATACAGTCAGTATGCTTTACAGTGAATTATGTGAGGCGCTATGAGATGCGCACCCCAATATCAAAGATGCTGTCAAATGCAAGGATTATTATTAATAACCTTTTTTGAAAAAAAAGTAATACTATTATCATCATTGCCAATAATTTTAAAGCTTATTTGGGAGAAATTTCAGGGTCATCGACTTTGGCAGCAAAGATACAAATTATTTTAATTTACCTGTCTTAGAGCAAGCTTTGTTGCTTTTTGTACTATGAACTCTTGTGCCAATTACACTTTAATTTTAAATTGATTGCAATGGTACTCAAGATAAAAGTTTAATCTGAATATTTAAGTTCATAAATTTTGACTGGAGAAAGTGTCTTGAATTTTAGAATTTCAGTCTAGGCCTGTTCAACTTAATCGTATTTAATATTAGAGGCCTTGTTTAAAACTACCAGCATTTATAATGTTGTCAGACAAGTCCAGGGAAGATGTAACTCCAAATATTGTTTTATATCTTCTATTAAGTCATATGTATCTTTCTTTTAACCATTTAAACTCCCAACAGGTTTGAAATCCTATCTGATTCATCAGGTTTTGCATGTTCTGCATGTTGCATGTGCACCGATGCTGAATAATAATAATAGTAATCCTTGCATTTGATATAGCGCTTTTCACGTCTTCTAGATGTTTAGAATAAGACTAATATTACAGACGTAACGCCACTCAAATTCAGGAACTGCTTTATTACTTTAGTATTAACCCTAACTTATAAATAAATTGTACGAATAGTAAGGAAAAATTCATATAGCTTGCATGAGTCGTAACTAGTAGCTAGCTGGACCAAGCCTTAACCTGGGAATACACATTGTGATTCTCTGAAGTACTATGATGTTTATTCCCTGGTTCTGCCCTTGAAATGATAATTCTTTGGGTATTTTAACTCTGAACATTCATGAAATCTCCAAGGGAATAGAATTGGAAAGATAACTTCATTTGACTTGTGTTTTCCCAGGTTGAGGAAGCTCGGATACAGTTTCAGGATCCTGAACTACGCAAGCTGTTGAACCTCACTACGGCAGATTTGCGCTTTGCAGATTACTTGGTGAAGCATGTGACTGAAAACCGAGATGATGTATTTCTTGATGGGACAGGCTGGGAAGGAGGAGATGAATGGATCAGGGCCCAGTTTACATTCTATGTGCATTCCCTTCTTGCTACTACTTTACAGCCAGGTGAGAAGTCAATTCTGTATACACTGAATAGACTGTTGTTCACAAATAGAGCAGAGATGGCATCGGAAAAGATTGCACCTCCATGGCTACAAAATGTATCTATCCATTTAGTGTCTTCCCCCTATCCTTTCCCCAAACCCTTTTATATTCTTAAAATATTTGTCCAATGCCTTGTTGAAAAAATATTAATTCTGTTCAATCACCATTTTTGGTAGGCCAGTCCATGTCCCCAAAAACATTTGTGGAAAAAGAATTTTCCTAATTTCTCCTTGGGAGGAGGTAAACGGGATTTCCTTGGAGCTAAGCTGGCTCCCAAGTTGACGTGCTCGGCAAAAGAATGTCGGAATCGATTGAACCCTCTGTGGCAGTCTTAGTGCGGTTCATGAGCCAGGGTCTGCAGTACTCCAGGGCATTACTTATGACAGTCAAGTCAGCCTGGCTCATCAATAGGACTTGGAGGGGCAGACCAGTCTCTGGGACAGGAATTCTTCCCGCTCTTCCCTTCCTGTTAACCTTGCAGGCCAAAGCCCTGACGGGTAGGGTGGGCCTAGACAGAACAAGCTGATCTCAATTGCAAGCTATATGGTTTTAGCTAGTTATGCTCCAGCAGTACCCCAATGCATACTCTGAGGTCCCCTAGGTCTTAGCTCTTGCCAATCTGTGCCTAATAACCAAGGCAGTAAAAGGGGGACTATAGGGCCACCCCGGTTACTTAATCCGAAGCGTAACATCACTGAACTCATTAACTTAACACAGATCAGGGGTCACTTCTATTATCCTTTTCTGTATAATTATTATATTATCTGTCTGGTATCACACCTGTAGGGATTTTTTTTACTCTTTAAGTTTTTGCGTGTATCAGAGGTTGCTGTTGGCTTTCTTCTACGTTAAGTTTGTAGTAATATTATGTTTTCGTGATTACTCAGTTATGCGATGGACACACTTTAAAGCTTTCCACTGAAAAATTATGTATGGAGACGATTAACAGGAGGATAAAAATAAGTGAAGTAAGGTTGAAATTATTGGTTGCAATTTTTAAAAATCAGTTTCATCCTAACCTTACTATCTGAGTACAAACTGTGCTAACTTTGTGATGAGAAGACTGTTGCATGTTACTGTTTTGAAAGATCGTGTATCAAATGCCCACAGTACTGTTCAGTAATTGTTAGTGTATATGCTCAGATTTAACACACACTTACCAAGTTCTAATTGAAAGTTAATTTCTAAGGATATATTGTGTTAAGAGTGCAAGATAATTCATCCCATCTAATAATGGCATAGCTTCCCACATATCTGTCCCATTGAACGCATCTCAAGAACAGAAGCAGAGTCCAGAATAATGATTTTTGGCTCCAAAGGTCAAAATCTTTAGTTTCCAATAGTCACTGCCACGTTACCTGTTACCTGTTAGCTTTGCAGTGTGTCATTGAATGCAATTATCAAATTATTTTGAGAAGTACATGATCTATATATTGTGTTGGATGACCTCAAACGACCTCATCTTGAATATGAATACATGGGGATCTGCATAGTTCTGAAAGGCAGTATTAATATTCTCATGTGCAATAATGTTGAGCCTAATATGTTATATTAGTAATAATGTTATATTGGCAGATGTCTGAATACCATTATTCCATAATCTGTTTGATCTGTTTTTCTACAGACAATGAAAAAATGTTGGCAGACTATGGTGCTTCATTTATTACTGCATGGAAGAATACACATAACTTCAGAGTATGGTATAGCAACAAGCACCCTGCTATCACTGAAATTAACCCAGGGTAAGCTGATAAAGTTATGTTTCTATTATGATTTTTGAAATGCACATCAGTTTGGTTGATGGATCTTGTTCAGAGGTAAGTTATTTTATGGGTTAATGTTACAAAAACATGCTGACCTTGCCTGTTTGATACTTGGAATTCACTTTGTTTTCTCATGGCCAACACCATTTGCTCATTGCATTCGGCTGTAATTTTTGGTAACGTAGTCTTTAGGTAGGATCAGATTGGGGATCTATGGAATAGATGTGTTCAGACTTGTAGCCAGATTCTGACACAGAAATAGAGGCAAATTCAATCTTGGTTTCTTTGTGCGTTCATGTCTCAGTGTCTTCACTACGTCTTCTCTAACAGCTTCTCCTCCTGTATGATTTTCCTCAAGGCTTTATCTTTGGCTATCTTTTTCATCTACTTGCTTCCCTGGTGACAGCATCCACAGACATGGGGTCCACTTTAACACATACACAGATGATACTCAACTCTACTTTTCTGACTCCACCATTGACTGCAAATCACTGTTATTTTGACAGACTGCCTGTCATACTTAAAATTCTGCATGAGGCGTAACTTTCTCCAACCTAATGTCAACAAAGCTGAGACTATGCTGGGAAGGACATTTTTGTAACCCACCTCTGAACAAGATCCAAAATTGAGACGCTCCCGCAAGCATCTCTTCACGATTTTAACCCTCCCAGTCGCTCACTCTTACCCAGAACCTCAGTGTTTTGTTTGAACCTCAACTATCCTGATCGAATTCACTTTCCTCTATCATTGTCTACCTCGTCATTATCTCACTTCTCAAACAGCCAGAACCCTCTTTCATATCTTTGTCCCCTACAGACTTGACATTTCCAATGCGTTGCTCATTACATGCATAATGTATGGATGTTTAATGTAGGAATTTCCTTTTAGCTATTTGAAAACTATAATAAAGCAAATGGTCTAAAGGATTAAGCCTATGATTCTAAAGATTGATTTAAGTTTAGATTCAAATCAACTTGGGCTACTATTTTGTCATTTTTAACATCTGTTACTTAAATCCCAAGTCAAAATGTTTAAAACAGAGATTGGAAAAACATGTTTAGCTCCAAAAGGAAGTCACCTAATATAGATTAATATCAATGAATGTTTAAAAATTGTATTGATAGAAACTAAATTCCATTTTCATTGCACAAAAAAATTCTAGTTACAGTTCTGCAAATTAATTTTTAAGTTCCAAGTTAATTTGATTTTGAAGCCCAGTGCTTACGTGAATAATGACTAGAATTGCTGGTTAGGAACTAAATTTGAATAGAATATTGAAGAATAATAGGAACTTTCTTTTTTCTAGCCACCCATTTCAGGGACAATACAATGTGTCAGATGTCAAACTAAGATTTTCACAGTAAGTAAAGTCAAAATAGAACATTTTTCTGTATATCATTCTTATCTTACGTGAAATGAATCTGTCTGCACTTGAAATATAGAAATTATATTCCATTGCTCATTTTCTATTTACTATATTCTGGTTACGTAAATTATTCCTTGTTTATTGAGGCCCACACTCCAGTGGATAGGTGTTCATTGAAATTCAGGAAAGGAGAGAGCAGAAAGGAATCAATGAGACAAATGCCTCTTGAGTTTGGCATCACACGAAACCCACCCAAATGGAGATCCCCATCTCTTGCACCTTATAATGGCTTTTTTCAATATTAAAGGAATCCTTTTTNCTCCCTTCATTGATGTAGGTTGCTAACCCAGGGAAAAAGTCCATTCGCTTGAGGATGGGGTACCCAATATAGCATACATACTTCAGATATCATTGCTATTTATGGTCCATCCAGTGCAAGAAGCTTTATGCAAATAGTGCGCAATCAGATTGTAAAGAACTCCTTTGGGTCTTGTGATTCATTTACTTTAACTTTTTTGCCCTTATGGCTTCAAGATTACACCACAGTTTTCCTGGGAAACCTAGCCCAAATTGGGTCTACATACTAGATTTAACTGACTTCGCCACAAACCCCAGTTGTGAAAACTATTTCTCCCAGCCACTGCCACCGCAAACTATAGAAATTAAGTCAGCCGTTGGTCTGACTTCCACAGTGATATAAAGATAAGAGGTTCAGGAAATTGCAAATGTGTTAATAGTTTTATTGCTTCAGTTTCCACACAAGACAATTTCAGTTTGTCGTTTTGAATCAGTTATATACCCAGAAGTCGACATCATTGAAGCATGTGTTGCAAAGGAATAGGGTGAATCAAATTTCTGTAAGCCCTTAGGTCAAATAGTGTATGCCTTAGAATCATCCACATAATGAGGGAAGAAGTAGTTGATGACTTGGATTAATATTTTTAGGAGCTCGATAACCATTGGAGCTGTGCCTGAGGACTGCAAAATGCATTTCAAAACCACAGTGATGGTTTAGAGGATAGCAGTTAAGATGATTCTGGTACCTGGGCTCTAATGTCTCATTCACACTGCTGTAGTTGAAGCAATTCCAGCTTTATAATGAAGTGGATTGGCAAGCCCAGAGGCCTGTTTAAATCTCAATACATGGATGAGTTTTTTTTTAACTCCCACTCAGCTCCTGTAGGGTTCTACAAACCAAAGCTCTAATTGATAGGATGGTCTGAGCTGGACAAGCAACAGGAAACTTGCAGAACAATGCTTTCAATGCAAGCTTTTGTTTTAGTTCGTTAAACTCCAGCAGTACCTCAACACTCTGGGGTCCAGAAACAGTGCCAACCTGCACCTAATACTCATCTACCTCATGAAGGGCAAGATCAAACTTTTAGTCTTCACTTGACACCCTGTGTCTTGAAAGGGTTAGTTTCACTATATTCCCATGGATGTACATTCCCATGGATGTGGGAACTTTCATTGTAAAACAAATATTTCTTGGCTGTGGATTAGTAAATTCAACCTTTGGGATGTGACATGACCATTCTATATTTGAAAATAAATTGTACTTTCTCAGGGTCTATCATATACTTTGGTAGGAGCTAAGCTATTTGCTACACACTTGTTTTTATAGAAAGAAAATATCCCAGGAGAAGGTGACTAACGGCTCTACAGAAAATAAACATTGGTGCTTCTGCGTGTAAACTAACCCCAAATTCATCTGAGCTTTCCACCTGTTTTTGTATAGTTGATTTTTATGTAAAGGCTAAATGAATAAAGGAAACGTTATTTGACCCTACACTTAATAGTGGAGCACTTGGAGCCTTTCACTTTATTAAATCAATATAAATTTACATTTATATACTGTATCGCCTTTAACGTCACGAGGATGTCTCGACAAAGCTGGCTTGGCATTTAAGCTGTGGGTGGAAGTCAGGAGGGTGGGAAGGAAAGGTTATCAACTTGTACTATTGCTGCTTTCTCCAAAAACTGGGGATTAGTAGCCCGGTGAAGTTTTATTTGCTGCTAGGATCCGTGAGATGCCAGATCCTACTGAAATAATTGTGTTTTATGGATTTTTTATGGATCACAATGTCTTCACTCCTGCTTTTCTGATTAAATGAGTCCCCAATAAAATAAAAACAGAAATCACTGGGAACACACAGCAGATCAGGCTCTCTGTGGAGAGAGGAAAATTAGTGAACATTTCAGGTTGATGATCTTTTATCAGAACGAAAGGTTCAGTTCTGACAAAAGGTCATCCATTCTCTTTCCATAGATGCTGCCTGTTCCCAGCCACATCTCTTTTATTTCAGATTTCCAGCATCTGCAGTATTTTACCTTATGCCAATGAAATCTTCCCATCTTGGATGTACATGCATCTTAAAGAGCTTAAGTGTCATCCGTGTCATTGCAAAACAAAGCATTGTGTAGCTACACTTTACAGAAGAAAACTTTTATATTTTAACCTTTAGCATCCTATTCAGTGTACTTGTTGCACTAGTTCATGTACTAAGGGTCTGGTTCAATCAGTAGGATGAAGAGAAGTTGTAGTGTTTTTTCTTTTGAACTACTCAATATTTCTTCTAAACACCTCTGTATAATGAGCAATGCACAGCATAATTAATACTGATGCTTTGGGAAATCTCTTAGTTCATTAATGACTTGTAACTGGAAGGGGGGAAATTATTTTTTAACATAGGAGTGACTGAACAACATTAAAAATTTCCTTTGTTCTGATCCAGTTCAAAAAGGAATGAACCAACAGCATCACCTTCTGGTAGTATGTTGCCATGACTGAATGTTTCTCTGTGATGTGTGTTGTGCTTGAGATATACTATGGAAGGCTCAATTCAAACTGAATTTATGCCTAGGTATTCATAGGAAAAGTTTAACACAGATTTAGTCTTGACAATTTAAATATTTAACCATCTGTTGGCAACAAACACGTTTCGTGTTGATTTTCTCCAATAACCAAGTTGAACGATATGCTAAATAATAGTTTCTCATCTTCCAATCATGAAAAAACCTGTTTCCTAATGGAAAAGATGAACCTCAACACATTAGTATAGCTTGTATATTGTAGTTACTTTCATTATAAATTTCCCATTTAAGTAATGCAGCAAAGTGCTGCATTGACGCACCTGGAGCAACAAGTATGTCTCAAGTGTGCATAAATTGGGAAATTTTATGCATAGTATTGTCACATCTGCACTGTTGCTCTGTTAGTAGAGAGAGCATGAACCGTGAACAGATGTAAATTAATTTTGCATATCCCAGTGATATTGACTTCTGGCATGTTCACCTGATCACTGTAAACACTGAATAATTTAATGGAACTCTGACATACTTGTAACTACAATTGCTATGTTTGTAATGGTAAACGTTGGGTTCTAAAACAAAATAGATATTTGCACGATTAATCACATTAGAAGGTTACTTAGTTTTTTTAAGTTTTGTCATTGTGATTTGCTTTGGTGAATACTCAGGAAAGAGAGGAGGTAAAGAAGCTGCAGATACCTGAATAGTTTCTGCCTTTTGTGAGGCAATTCACCTCACATAACCTGACACCACTTGTCAAATGGCTGGTGGATTAAAGCAAGAGGGGGCTCAAAGCAATGTACTGTCTGATCTGCTGCATTACATACTTTTTTTTAAAAGAATAAATTGATCTATTTTTTTAACATTGGAAACTCCAGCTTGTGTCATTAAAATAACTTAGTTGGGAACGATAATGCTGGTCAGAGTCTGGAGGAAGCATCCTCACAGTGCCGGAGGTTAACTATCCACTTCAGGGTTTTAATTTAATGAAAATGATTACATTTGGAAAGAAACTCTCTGGTCCTTTCAATTTCCTAGTCAAATGGGCAGCCAGATAATGCTACTTTTGAGCTTGTGTTTTTTTTTTAAATGTCCTTTGATCAGACATGAAAATTTATTGGATTAAATCTGTTAACTACAAATTGGATTTATAGAGTGCCCTTCCAGCACCCCTTTGCATAGGACGTTGAAAACCAAACTCCCTGTCCTTCCTGTGATATGTTGTACTGACCTCTAAATACACCACTATATCTTTCAGTAGCTTCACAAAGATAGCCAAGTGTCACATTGTTTCCTTCCCTGAACATTTAAATGAATATCTAAGAATGCAGTGTCATCAATTCTATTGCACCCTCATGTTGGAGTGCATTTAGCAGAGACCCAACAGGCTTGTATCTGTTTTGCTTTTTTCTCTCTCGCATGTAAAACATGATCTAAGCGCTCCGAGACACTACGCTACGTGAGGGGTTTTATATAAATGAAAGTTGTTTCTCAGTCATTTGAGATATAAATAAGGATTAGTGTCATCCCAGAGTTGGAGTGGAAGGGCTTAGAATGATGTTTCAAGAAATCCCTTCAACTACATACTGTGAATCATGGTCATGTTTTTGAGTCATTTTCTGAAAAATTTCAGAGAAGTTGTATATTTTTATATAGGTCAAAGAGACTCTTGTGCAAAATGAAATCAACATAGAAAAATTATATTACCGATATAAAGTTCCTCTATGCAAACAGGCTGTTTTATCAGATACTTGGAAGTGGAGACATTATTCACAGGATACGCTTTCTCTGGTGGATGACTAATAAGTTCTCTCCTGACACTGTATTTGGAGATTGGGTCCTTGTATCTTACGATTGAGGGTCAGATGTGAGGTTGTTTGGGCAAAAAAAAGCTATGCTGTTCACATACAAAGAATAGTAGCCACACATATAGCACAAAATATAAAATCTCACTACAGCTTCCGTTTTAGGAATTTTTCTGAAATACAAAGACCATATTTATGAACTGAAGGATTTTTTAATTGATTTGTTTTTTTTCTCTCCTTTAGTTCTGTACAGAACAGTGAACGTGGGAAGAAGCTTGGCAATGCAATGGTCTCTACCAGCCGCAGTGTGGTACAGACAGGAAAGGCAGTTGGTAAGAAGATAATAATAATAATCCTTGCTTTTGTTAGTGCCTTCACATCAAGAAGATATCCTAAAGCACTTCAAGGATGCAGTCCTACTTTAAGGATTCTTAAACCTGATATGTATTAATGGGAGTCTATTCAGGTGTCAGCTATGTTTTACAGTGGCACTTTCTACCAACCGTATCCTCCAACTCTTTTATAATTCCCTCTTCAGTGTCCTTCCTTGATGCCTTATTTCACAAGTTATTACCTACTGAGTAAAACAAAGTGATTGATTACCCTCCTTATTTCCAATTCCCAGTTTTGAACTTGCTCCTTGTATTTGAACTCTGCTGGTAAGGATCTGAATAATTCCAGCTGCTTGATTATACTGTTCTGATCCATTTATTTTTATTGGTTCCTGTTGCAGGTCAGTCTGTTGGAGAGGCATTGACTAGTGCCAAGTCAGCCATGAGTTCTTGGTTTTCAACTTTCAACCAGCAGACAGCAGCACCCCACACTGAAAGACAAACCGGAAAGCAATAGCCAATCAGAGCTGTGCTGTTTACAGTAGGCACTCTGTACCATTCTGTTTAGTGAGCTGGGACTCTTATCATTCCTTTTATTATTATTATAATTACGATTGTCTTATAATGAAATAATGGTAGCAAAAGTCAGGAGATCATCTAATTCACTGATGGCCTATTTTCAGTGCCGTTATGAAGACTACACACATCAATGTTTTATCTGTTCTCGATATACAGTCCCAAGCTGGACCAACTGAGTTCCATGTTTCCTGGGTTCTCTTCTAATGTCACTTTTATATTTTGGATCTGGAGAAATGGAAAAGAGAAGTCATTGATACTCAGCTTTGTCTAATAGCACAGCTACCACTTTTAAATTTGGAACCAGTTTGTTCTTTTTTTCCCCCACAGAATGGAACATACAACACTTTAAAGTAGTTTCCACGATTGTCTTATAATGAAATAATGGTAGCAGAAGTCAGGAGATGAGCCTGAATCACATTTTCTAGATCTCTGCTACCTAAATAACTGTAGCAGAACTGGAGGGGGGGAATTGTCTAATTGAAAGAAGCATATCACTTTTAAGTTCTGCACATGAGGAACAGCACTGACACCAAACTTTTATCATTTGGTTGTTGGCATGCCTCACTGCAGAGGCAATGGGAGACCCATTTCCAGTAAAGGTTTGCAGATATTCAATGCCTGAAAAGTTGGCCACATTTCGTTACTTGTTGCCGATGGAGGCAAACAAACCTGTAATGTAAAAGCATTGTTAGTGGGTGATGTGTAACTGTTTTCTCCTATCACTGGAAAATGCTACACCTGCACAGGTTTTTACTGTAGCCATGTTGTAGCCATGTTCTTTTTTCCCTGCTTTGTGTCAAAACATTAAATGGAACTGGTCATAGTTGCACACACTAACAAAGCCTAGATTTAACATGAATATTACACAGGGGCAGCCAGGAAATGTCACTTTTGAGCTAGTTTTTTTTGAAAAATGTCCTTTAATCAGACATGAAAATGTATTGGATTTAATTGGTTAATTACAACAAATTGAGCATCTGGTCATCATTTTTGAGTTGGGTCGTTAATATTCAAACAAATTGGTAAACGGTTTACATTTTTTACATACCTTTTAATGGCAGTCTGTCCAAAGCTTGTTTGAAATTTTGATTTCAGCAGTCAATGTATGAAACACAAGTAGCTCTTTTATAATTAAAACCTGCTCCTACTTTTGTACCATATGGGGCTTCTGCTTGAAATATAAATATGTCTTAGTTTTTATTATAAAGCCAAGTCATTACCAAAAAAACTTTGCTTGTGCAAGAAGCAGTTGTTTGCTGCATGTATTTAATTATGAACAAGTTACATTTAAATTACTGGGAATACAATAAAGGGAAAATGTCATTCTGGGCTCAGCTACTGAGAACGCTATCTTACTTCCTTCCCAGATGTTTAGCACTGCAATATAGTAAATCATGAAAACTGAAAGTGTATTATCTGAGTGTAATGCTCTCTGAATGGCTCTTTTGTTACTAACTTTAGCAAATGAACTGTTTGGTGAGATGACATTGTAAAATATTACAAATATAAAAAAATGTGCTTGATATCATTTTTACACTCACTGTTGCAGAGTGGTAGACATGGCCACAAACTCAAGTGCATTTTAAGTAGAAATATGGTTTAAAATCATGCTTCTCAACTTTAAGCATGGTTGAATTTTTACATCACCTGTTCAGGCATGTATAGCTTGTTATGGAATAAAATGTAATTGTATATTTTGAGTATTTTAGGGGAAGAACCTTTCAATCTCCCTCAAATTTCCCAACCCTAAACATTTAACTAGTTACTATTGCAGGGTCAACATTCTTCCATTCTGCTGACGGCCATCTAGATTTATTCCACTTATTAAAAATGGATAAAAGTGAAGGGGGAAAAGAATAAGGCAAACTTTACACTTTATTTGGAAATTATATTATGTTCTTAAGCTCACAGTTAATACTTTCCGGAATTAGGTGAGCAGGATGCGTCCCTCCAAGGAGCGAGTGTGCATCCCATTCCAACATATTTCTGGGATTTGCATGTGTAGGTGGGATGCATAGAATTCTCAGCTTGGGTTGGATACTCTTAAGCATGGTGATGGGTTTCTGCAGACACCCATCTGACGAAAAGAAATTCATTGATCTGTAACTAATTATAACGCTCAACCCAGATTTAGAGAAAGTCTGAATGTTTTTCTTCTATAGATTCACCTTCTGTAAATCCAGTGGGAGCACAGATTGCAGAAGCATTTTGAACGTTTTACTGCCAGACAAAAAATATATAATTTTTTATTGCAGGAATAGTTTCAACTATGAAATAGAAAATGTGAAAAGTATAGTTTTTCAGCTTGATCTATGCAGTGATTTTGCTCATACAGTCAAACACTTAATAAAGTTATTTTATTCAAAATATTTAAATTCTATGTAAAGCTAAACCTGCGAATGAGATGTACATGTTATACTGCAGTTTTGATTTGATTCTATAGAAAATATAGCTTTGCAGATGTTTAGTACAAATTCATTGCATTTCCACTCACTCAGTTTAAACATTCTATGGACTTAAGGTATGAACTTATTTGATATTTTGTGTTTTAAATAAATCTTAATCTTGTAATTATGCCAGTGAAAAATGTTTTTGCTGTTTCTAGGATCTTTGCACAGATGTACAAGTCATGTTTAGTTTAGAATTGATTAAATCTCTCAAATTCAGTTTTGTGTCAGGGTTTTATTGCTTTGAATTATGTGCATAAGTAGCAAACGGATTTGTGTTTTTTTTAAAAAGAAATGGTTTTTTTTAAAAAGAAATGCCGTGTTCTACAGAGCTCTATCCTTGGTCCCCCCCTCTTCAACAACTATATGCTCCCGCTTGGTGACATCATCCACAGACATAGGGTCAACTTCCACATGTGTATGGATGACACCCAACTGTACATCTCTGCCTCCACCCTCGACTCCAGAACCACTGCTGTCCTGACACAATGTTTGTCAGACATCGAGTCCTGGATGAGAGCTAACTTTCTACAGTTGAACATCAACAAGACCGAGGCTCTCCTGATTGGCTTCCGTCAGCACCTCCACCCCTCAGGCGCTGGCAGCATCACCATCCATGGATGCACACTCCACCTTACCAGGCCAGTCCAGAACCTTGGTGTCTTGTTTGACCCTCAACTATCCTTTCTACTCCACATCCGTGTCATGACCCACCCTGCTTTCCCCACCTCCGCCACTGTCTCAGACCGTTCGCCAAAACCCTCATACATTGCATTCATAACATCAAGGCTTGACTATGCAAATTCCTTGCTTGTCGGCCTCCCCAACTCTTCCCTCCATAGACTGCAGATCATCCAGAACTCTGCAGCCCGTGTTCTCTCCCGCACTAGGCTCCGTGACCCTATCACCCCCATCCTCACCCAACTCCACTGGCTTCCCATCACACAGAGGATACAGTTCAAGATCCTGGTCCTCACCTTCAAAGCCCACCAAGGCCTCGCCTCCCCCCTACCATCCTGCCTGCTCCCTCCACTCAGCAACCTCTGGCCTGCTTCACGTTCCCCGCCTCTCCTGCCCCACCATTGGCAGGTGGGCTTTCAGCCACTCTGTCCCTACCCTCTGGAACTCCATCCCACATTGCTTCCGCCTCGCCGCCTCCCTTGCATCCTTCAAGTCCCTCCTATTCGACTGCGCTTTGGATCACCCCGTTTTCCCGCCCGCCCACCCTCCAATCTCCCCAATCCCGACCCCAGTTCAGGTCCTTGAGCTACAGGACTCCACAATGATGGAAGAATACTAGAATACTAGCTGCAGACATTGCAGCACGGATGTCCGACTGGAGGTTACAAAATAAATGAATGGAAGAAAAGTTGAATTTGAAATGGAAATGATGAACGCCTTAAAATAACTCCCAACAACATACCCAAATTACAGAATACTTACTGCTGAACTGGTGCAAAATTTCTAAACCTCATTATGGGCTCCAATACTGAAGTCTTCCGATTAATCAAATCAGGTTCCTGGAACAGTTGGTGGGACAGAAGACCATCCGCTTTTTAGAATATATCCTTTAAAAACGAATTCCATCTCCTTGGAGAGGTAACCATTTCCTCACAAAGTTAGTACCCAGTCACACATTTAAAAAAAAACATATTTACTTATGTGAAGGTTTTTAATAAATTAAGTTCATTCAAAATACAGTGCCAAAGGAACACAATGCAGCTGAACATGCTAGTAGGGATTTCATGAAGCACCTGTGCTCATGTTAGAATGGAGAGACCAGCTACTGCTAGTGGATCCTGGCTGTCAAGCCAGAGCAGTGCTGGGGCTCTTCTGTTCTCCTGCACGTGGGGTACAGATCATTCTTGAAACATTTCACTCAAACCAACTGTATTAAAAACCTAACAACTAGAATACCTATACACAATCACACTACAGTAACGGTTGCCTTATTAAATTAATGAAATACAAAATAAAGACCTGACTGTTACTCACTAAAACTTGTCTTACAAATGAAATATCAGCAGCAGGAAGTCATAATATGGATGAGCCTATGTTACTTGTAATGTGGAGTCACATGTAAGTGATTGAAGCTCCACACAGACCCGCAATACAAGAGGCTGGCATTCAATACACAGCCTCCACTAATACACATCTGGTAAACTACCAGCTGCTTGGAAGACCTGCAACCTGGGATAAATGGGAATATTTTACGGATAATGGAGTACATGCATCTAATAAACAACCTTCGACTGGACCCGCAGTCAGCCACCTCACCCAGTCTATTTTCACTGGGAAGCTCTACAGAATTTCATATTTTCATGGTCAAATCCAGGGATATTTGTGTAAGTAAAGCAATGTTTCTTTTGTAAATTAGTCGCATTGTAACAATAATATGGTAATTTGATTAGCAGAACAGGTGGTATCTAGGAATATTAGAAGGTACAACACTTAACTGGAAGATTCTCAGTTATTTACACAATACAATGCAATCTTAATGACATGCTGGGCTGAACACAGTTACTGCCCAATCTGCTAAAATAAACCCTGTGCTGATTTGGAAGATTGCGACATACACATTGCTTTGTTATGTACATCTTAAGAATCCACGACAACTGTGCCCATATCTGGCTAACTATTTAATGGCAATGCAACCATCTCTCCATCCAACTCAAACTCATCTGCTCCATCTGGTGAGAACAGAGAAGGTGGAGGTTTCCAAAGTGATTCCTTGAGACACGAAGGGTAAAGTTTTCCCATAGTACACCGGAAATCTTTGCCGAGGTCCCAGAGGACCCGCTCTGAAACAGACTGACGCAGAATCCACTGGTCCAGTTCAAGGTTGTACTGATAGATTGCATACTTGGGTTTTTCATTGATGTGAGTCTCTCTCATAAACACACACAGGGAGCTCAAGACCACCACTGCTCTTACACAAGGGTCAGAATAGCGCTTTGCAGGGATATTGGTCGCTATCTTCCACTCATTTTTGATCACATCATAGATTTCTACAGTTACAGAGGAACCATCTATAGTGCTAGAAGGTATTCTGATGCCCGAGTTATTTCCAATATGCAGGCCGCCAATGTAGAAGATTTTGTCTCCAAAGGCTGCAGCTGAGGCAAAACACCTGCTGGTTTGACGCATAGCCATTTCAACCCAAGTACCTGTACGTGGGCAGTAGCCAAATGTTAGATTGTGGGCCATCACATAAATGTAGTCATGAACTGCAACTGCTGTGTTCCACTGCCAAGCATAAGGCAGGGGACTCACCAACGTCCACTCATCTCGTTCACAATCATACCTTTCCACAGTCCGTTTGTTCATTTCCCCACTAACACTGTCACCTCCAATTGCATAGATATACCCTCCACAGCAGACCAAGGAAGGTCGGATGCGAGCATACAACATTGGAGTTTTTGGAACCCATGTGTTCTGCTGAGCATCAAACAAATAGAAACAATTCACAGGTCTATAGGCAGCCTGAAGTTTACTTGCTTTGATATTATTGGTGATAGAATTTTTTAAAGGTATTTGTCCACCTGCGATGTAAATATCATTGTCAGGAGTAACAAGTGTCCCTACCCTCTGCAAGTCCCCTGGTGGGTTACACAGTTTGTACACTTTCTCTGCTTGGGGACTATAACAAACAGCACAAAAGGAAGAACTTGGACTTTCACCAGCTGCCTCAACGAATATCAGCATCTCTTCTTTAGTCATGCCAAGTCTTGGCTTGAAAAATTTTGGCATAGACTTGTATAGTCCCTGTACCACCACGGATTTGTCATTCGGGGGTAAGCCTTGGAACCAGGCCCTCTGAGTTACTTCAGAAAGTGCATCTATTCTGATTTGGCCAAGGACAGAAGACAGATACTGAGATCGCGACTCTGTGTCATATTCAAGCCACACCATTGCAGCTTCACGGACAGTCTCTTCCTTCTCCACATTTAAATTGTCACTGCTAAGGATATCTATCAGTAGGTCGTGCGACAGCTGTAGAAAAGCTTCCTGGTGGTAAACAGCAGTGAATTTATGCTCCACCATTCGCTTTGCACTTGCTTTTAGCTCTTCACAGCTGTATAAATCTGCAAAGCTCAGTAATCGCACGCAGTTCTCTGCATTAATTTTCTTTATTAGATATTCCCGACAACGATGCAATACATTTTCCACCTGCAAAAAGACAGAATTACTTAAGTAAGCATCAAACATCTGCACATAAACAAATTTAAAGCATACAGTAAAAGCACTATAAAAATCACCTGCAAGGTCAGCAGATGGCAGAGTATAAAGGTAAATAAAAATTCACTTAAACAACAAACACATATTTTGCTACCACTTATCGGGATAGTTTCTAAGCATAATAATCTCAAATAAATGTAGTAAATATTAATTACCAATAGCCACAGTATATTTAGGTTCAAAAGCAGTCAGAAACAGTAATAGCATGGGGGTGTATTGCAATATTTTTTTTTTAAAAAAAGCAGCACTTTCCTTGGTAACCTCCCCTTTTCTCCTCTCAGCATCTGCACATAGTCCTCTCATCATGGGGACTTCAATCTGCTCCAATTTTTCTGTTCAACACACTTACACCCCCCATTCCTCACCACCACCCTCTACCTGACCCGACCTTAAGGATCATCAAGGTGCTTAACAATTGTCTCTTCTTCAACACATTTACACACCCCTACCAATTCAGAACCATCTCTTAATTTAGCCATTTCGACTGGTAAAACAGATACTTCTAATCCCTCAGAATTAATTCAAATACAGGCAGCTAGCCTCATGGTCCATTGCCAAATTCCAGGTTGACCACCTTCAAAACTGCTGCCTCGCCCTCTTCAAGGTGAAAACCTCATTCTAATCCACATCCATCTAGGAGGCCAAGAACAGCTATTCTTTACCACCACTGATCACCTCGTCGGTCCTGCTCAAGCCCTCTACATCCTCTTCTCAGTCTCCAAACTGCGAGGTGAAATCTGCCTGGCTACATTTTCCTCCTCCATCTCTCCTCCACTGCCCTACATTTCACCTGTCCCTTGCCCACCCTCATCTCTCACATGAAACACACAACATGCTTTACACCTAGCTGCTGACTACCCAATTGTCCCTCCTATGCCAGTTGCTTGTAAATTAGTCAATCATTCTCCATCTTTCCTGCACTCTCCATCCCGTCAACAGCAACTTGAGCCATCTCCATTATGCCCCCCACTCCCTCGATCCTTTCGTCTTCAAAAGCCACCTAAAAATCCACTTCTTCAAATATGCCTACAATCTCCTCCCCTCAAGCCCCTGATTACTATCTGGCACAGTTTCTGTAAAATGCTCTCCCATTATTAAAAAANTTATTGCGATACATGTTGCTCTACATGAAGGTCATTATATAAGTGCAAGTAGTTTGCTGAGGAAGAATGCATACTGTAGTTTTTTATTCTGGCAGTACAGGTATATCATATTTTGAAAACTATTCTAAAAATTCTTGTCTAAATCACTTCAAGATTTATATATCTAGAAAAGCTATCACCAGTCAATTTGGGGGGGATTTTTTTTTTTTTGAAAAGTACACTTAAAATTAACAGGGGTTAGCCATATGTGCATTTTTCCAACAGCTTTTAGATTTGGTTGTTGATTTTGTTTCCTCAAACTACACGATCTGAGAGATGTGGATCACAATTAACAATTTATTCCAATAGTGGGAGCCAAAATATTTATAAAATATAGGCATCATCAACTAATGAGTCATTTTATGAATTGTGGTGATCAATTTTCAGTGACACAAGTTAACTACTATATGATCACACAATTAATGCAGTAAATATTTAAAAAGATAAAATAGTTGTGTAAGATTACCACAATCTATTGTTTATGACTATTAACATTTCAGTACATCCGACAAGTGTTTGTAAATTTCATATAGGCATATCAGCAGTCATTTACTTTTTGATTGCTGGATGTGATTAGATTAATAATGTAGTAAACCATTAACTAGCATGACAACTTAGCTTCACCAATTTTACCTCTGAAGATACAGCAGAAAGGGAACATATCTACAACAAATATTTGCAGTGCATTCAATAGAAGGCTTTCTAAAAAATCTCCTACTAGCAGCAGTTATGCTAACTTTTATTGTTGCAATGCACAATACGTTTATGTACAAAGCCAGTCAGTTATTTCAGTGTATTCCCAAGATAGTGTTAAAGGGTTATCAGTTTTGAAGTATAAATAAGTTTGTTGTGAAATAATAAATCTGAGAGTACAGGCTTTCAGGTTGAACAGATCATAAATAATGTTTTTTTATAAAAGTGTACACAACCAACCACAATTGATTGAACTGCAAATTAATAGAGCGGGTTTGAATAGAGTGCACAAATCTTCTGCACGTTGCACTTAGTGGATCTACATAAACATTTCCTTTATGCATTATACAACAACAACTTGCATTTATAATATAATATATTATATAATATAATATTGCATTTATATAGTGCTTCTCATGCAGTGCAGTGTCCCAGAGCGCTTGACAAGGGATGGCTGGATAAAAGTACAATGTGCTAGAATGTCCTCAACTTTTTAGCACAGACAAACAAAAAGCCATCTAGTCTGGAAACTCAATACAGCTGGCAGGTAGGTTACTGCCTCAGGTTATACCAAATAGGTTAGGCCTTTTTTCACAAAATGGGGACCTAATAGGGGTGTTTAAAATTTTAAAACAAGTTTGATTAGGTAAACATAAATAAGCTGTTTCCACTAGTTGAGGAAATCAGTAAACAGGGAACACAAGTATAAGATAGCAACCAGGATTTTAAAAGAAAAATTAGGAGGAACTACTTCACGCAGAGGGCAGTGAGATTGTGGAACTCGCTGCATGAAGCAGTGGTTGAATCCGACAGTACAAAAGCATTTAAGAGGAAGCTAGACATACACGAGGGAGAAATAAAAAGGATATGGGAAGCATTAAGGAGTGAATAGAGGCTCATGTGGAGTATATACAATGGCACAGACTGGTGAGCCAAATGTCTTGTTTCTGCGCTGTACAGTCTATGTAAATCTATGTAAAGAGTGAATTTTTAAAAAAAAATTATTGTCTGCTCCCCGTCCCCATTAAAATGTAAGATACTGATGCTGGAATTTTCAAACTTCTCTAATGGGACGTCCAGCTCAATGCAATTCTAGAGGCTAGGTCAACCTCCAATGTGAAGGACACCGATACCAAGGCCAATGCAAAAAAATTATACCGTGTTGCAAAACTACAAACTAGCTGTGACTAACAATTTTAGAATCTGCCTACACTGGGGTGGTCTTAAAATGAACTGCTACTATGGGAATGTAAGTGTTTTTTGGGGGGCGTGGGGATATCTGAAAGCCATTGGTCCTATAAAGGAAAGATCTTGTAAGGATCTACTCTAGATTTAATAATTATTATTATTACTCTAGATTTCTCCAACTTAAGGAATTCTGGCTACTAAAATTCGTCCTTGCAGCTTCTCTGGGTGTGAGTTCAAATGAGCCAGTCGTCTAAATAAGAACAGATATGCAAACACTGCAGTCTCAGAAAGGTCGCCAGCTCACTTGGGGAGGACAATTTTGCAGCGCTATAGGGATAGCGCGGGGAGTGGGATTGATTTGGATAGTTCTTTTAAAAATGTAGGCACAGACACGATGGGCCGAATGGCCTCTTTCGGAGCTTTATAAATTCTATGGTTCTATGAACCCAAAACAACTGAAGTTCATTGAAGAGGAAAATCTTGCAATCTAATGCTGCTGTACCAGACACTGAACTTCAGTATTGTTACTCTGATAACAATACACAGCTTATTTTGCCTACAAAACACTACAGTCAATCCACTTTACAATATATTCTGTGAAGCACTTTAAGACATGATTAATTGGCTGCCGCATTCGCCCACAAATATATAGTCAATTCACTTTACAGTGTGTTCTGTGAAGCGCTTTGGGACGTCCTCCCGACGTGAAAAACGCTATATCAAATGCAAGGATTATTATTATAGGATTATTATTATGATAAGGTGCAAAATCAAATGCAAGGATGATTATTATTATTCTTGGGTAAAACTACCTGAATAAATTGAGACAGTGTCCCCATTTGAGCTTTAGGTAGATATTGCTTAACTTGTAAGGGTCTGAAACTTCAAGACCCTTTAGAGACCATGATATAGGAATAGAACACCTTTTGGAAGCAACTCAAAAACTGTGTGTAGTTAACAGTAGTTTCTAAGGGTTGTTTCTGTCAATTGAGTTCTCAATCATCCAACCTTGTCTCTATCCTCTGCAACTTTCTCCTTAATTTCTCTGCTTTTCACATCACTCTTAGCATTCAAAATCCTTCTAAAAACTACCTGACTGCATTATCGTTCATTTCCCTCTTGTCATCACCGCACCTACCACCCTACTCTGCTCCAGTTCATCTCTGTAAAGCACTTCAAGATATTTAACTATATTAAAGGTACTTTATAAGTTTTAAAGGTAAACTACAGGTAGAAGCACCAAGTACAGCAAGGCTAATTTCCTTCCTTTGGTAATTCAATAACCACTTAGTGCATTAAGTTTGTATTTTAAAAACAGGGCCATTGGAAATGGAAGCGAGCCATTATTTCTCCCCAAATGCAGTGCTTCAAGGTAACTTCCATTGTACATAAATTGCACGTGTTTCACAAAGAGTAAACTTTAAAACGTGCGTTTTTATAGTGTCTTACCATACAAACATCTCACAAGCTTCATGATTACAGTCACGTGCAGTGACTATTTTTGTAGGCAAACAAGGCAGCCATTTGCACCAACAAGGTTCCATAAAGAGCCATGAGGTTAGTGACCTATTTAATCTGGAAGATCATGGGCCAGGATACCAGAAAAAAAAACTCACTTCTCATATATTTGCAAAGGGGATTCTACAGAGTGCAAACCAACAGAGTTTAAATAGATTTGTTTCAAGACCAATGAAAGTATTTGTTAAAGAAGCGCAACATTTCAACCGAGTTAATTAGGACTAAACATGTGACTGCAAGAAAGGAGTTCCAGCCACATGAAAACAAGATTTGGTTTACCAGCTATTAGAATATAATCATTAAAAGGAATTAATTTCCGGTTTGTTTCTTACTCTTACCTGCAGAAAACTGGATGTCTCATAGAGCTGCTCCACAGTCTTGTCGTTTATTGCCAGGTTACCAGTGTATGCATATCTAATGATTATCTGAAGCGTAGGTGCATCCACATTCTGTAAGTGGACATGCGTCTGCTTGCTTTCACTCAGTCCACTCATAAACATGGCCCTAAAATAGAAAACTGGCATAAGGTTACTGTCCCCAGTGAAATGTAATAATTAGAATACGTCAAGATTAGGTGGAAATCTTTGAATTTCCTCTTATAATTCTTCTACACTACTTCAAAATATGGTAAGTCAAGTTTGCCCGTTTGCCCAAAATTGGCATCAATAACTGAAGTTAAATTACACTTTTAGTGTAAATTAAGTACTGCTAGTATCACTAATGAATATTCATTAAAATGTATTACTATAACTTTAAAATAGCTCAAAGCATTGGCCAGGAAACTGGGAAACTGTGCAACTCTCAGAGATGTCAAAGATTTCTAGGGTTAGCACAAAACTTGTCATTTCAGAACCAGTCTAAAATTGGACTATTTGACATAAGTAAAATAGGAGGCAAATGTACTCCATGGATGGAATAACTGGGGGGGTGGGGGGGAGGAAAGAGTAAAAAGATACCAATGTTTGACCCGTCACTCACCATCAAGTCTTATATAGCAATAAGCAAAGCAAACAGGATACTGGGCTACATAGCAAATAAGCTGCTTTTGAACTCTCTCATAGGCCACTGGGTGAACAGATTTATTATTAATAATCCTTGCATTTGATAGTGTCTTATCACATCTTTGAAATGTCTCAAAGTGTGTCGCAGGATTTAGTGTAGTGACTGTGTATTTTGTTGGCAAATACACCAGCCAATTTGTGCAGAGCACAGACCCACAAATAAACATGAAGTTTTAATCAGAGTGGTTGCTGGAGTAGTCCTGTAGCTCAGTGATTAGAGCACTCGCCCTGCAAGCGAGAGACCCGGGTTTGATTCCCGGGAGGGCGAAACCTTGGCAAGTTTCCTTACTCCACACACCTGATAATAATCCCTCAAGAAAAAAAATAATAAATTGGTCATTTTCAATCCACGACTGTTTGTGGGACACTGCTGTGCGCAACTGGCTGCCCTATTTCACCCACAAATATAGTCAATTCACTTTACAGTCTATTCTGTGAAGTGCTTTGAGATGGCTAGAAGATGTGAAAAGTGCTATATCAAATACAAGGAATATTATTATTATTTGGTGGCCAGAACATCAGGAGAACCTTTTGAATCATGCCATGAGTTCTTTCACCTCCACTTGACACAAATAGAATATAGGTTTAAAATCTCCTTTAAAGAATAGCACCTTTACCAATGCAACACTCTTCGATTACTATATTCCCGACATGAGGCTTGAACCCACAACTTTGATTTAAGAGACAGAACTGCTACCAAATGAGCAAACCCATTTATTTTTATATGGAGGTTAAATGACAGAAAAATCTACATCTGTTATGATTGCCAATTTCTGGTGGATTTGAGTCCCCTTGAATCCAAGCAGAGATAGTTAAAGCAAGAATTATGAGAGTCAATTTCTTCAATAAAGTTATTTTAAAAGAGGCACTATACCTCTTTTGGTATTTTCTAATTTAGATAGGTATGCATTAGTATTGTGCTTGTTTAGATTTCCAAAACCCAAAAAATATTTAAACCATAGAAGCAAACCATTATCTTAAGAGAAAATTGATTTGTGTTCCTAACCACAACACAAAAGCAGTTGAAACCTCTGTCTACTCCATAGAAGATTTAAATCATTTATTAAAAAAAGGCAAAACAATATTCTTGAGAGAGAATGAAATGAAGCGGCCCTCCAGCTAAGTGGGGTTGGGGAAATAGAAAGGAATTGTGCAATTTGCCAGTCCTATGTGGTTAATCTTGTCACACGTTGTTGTTTGCTGTAGATTATTACATTGGCGGGATCATGCAGTGTTTTCCAAATGCATGCAGTTGAAATCTTCTTAAAGGCCACTTTTCTACTTTTCCAAAGGATAAAAACTTTAGTTATTGTTTAAAACAATTAATAATAATATTCAAATGAATCCAAATCTTTCAAAAGAAAAAATGAAACTCCAGTACTGAAGTTATTTGGAAACAAAGCTAGAATACTGTACAAATTAATTATCATCATGTGAAGCACTTTGAAACATTCTCACGGGATGAACGGTAAGGATAATTGTTTTTATAACTCTACAAGTCACGCTTTTTAAAAACAAAACTGCATACAGTTTAAACTTAGGTTGGAATACAGTATAGAAATAATGAACTACGTATAAAATCCCAAATTCAGTAATGCTACATTAACAAATTGCTAAACTGTTAAACAAAAGTCTAACAGTCCATTAAAGCTAGAATAAAACAGTCTAAATACTTTATAATGGTTTACAGGTGTATTCTAAACACATTTATGCCCTTTTTGAAAACTGCTTCAGGCCAAAACCAGTGATGTCATCAGTGATTGCTAAAGCCAATGGGTGAAGCAAAGAGACGGACCGATGGGGTTGGAGGGGAGACACGACAGATGGATGTGGGGGGGGTCGGGAGGGAGGGAGAGAGAGAGAGAGAGAGAGAAAGGGAAGGAGGAGTAAATGAAGGGAGTGGTTGGAGAGTGTGAATTCAGAGAGGGAGGGAAGATCAAATCTGGGGGGCAGAGAGGAAGTCCAAGAGAGAAAGACCCCCACATCGTCATCATCTTAATGTATAATGACCACTTGCTGGTGTGTTTCTAAACCAGCCCAGAACCACCACTTTTCACCTAAACAAGCTTGACTGAAGTGCTAAAAATACCTTTTTTGAAGCAAACACATAATTGAGTCTTCTACATTTTTAATGTTTCTGTTTTTAAATAAAAATAATTTTAGTTCTAAATAAACATTTTGTTTTGGTCAACCGGGCATCTGATGCTCACCATGCTTAAGAATATCCAGACCTAAACAGAGTTCCATACAATTTGCCTTGTTTGGAATGGAATGCACACTGAGAGGGATGCATCCTATTTACTTAATCCCAGATCATTAAGCACAGGTTGGCAAAGGCGAAGGCTTGGGGACAAGCCTGCTGGAGTTTAACCATCTTAGAAACTTATAGCTTGCCATTGGAAGCACCATCTGGCAAGATACTTTAATAGCATCACATCAAACTAAACTACATCACACTCACAAAATTGCAAAAATGGTAAATTTACCTGAAATAGGAGCTGCATGTAGCGAGTACCATTTTATGGCATGGGAATTCAGTGCTCTCCGCAATTAAAACTATGTCAGTCAACAACTGCTGGTCGTAGAAAAATTTCAGCTGCTCCAGTAAAGAGACAGCATATTCAGTATTGATTTGCCTCTCCTCATTAGCCATGATTACATTCCATCAATAAGAACCACCCAACGTAATTGAAGACTGCTCCGTAGGACACAGCTTGAAAGTAATGTTTATAGTTATATTTAGCAAAAGGGTATTTTGCACTGATTTTATTGATTACTCCTGAAAGCTGAGAATCTAATGGAGTCGAGTTAACAGATTATTCCAGATTTTGAAACAGTCCCAGGTCATTCCAATCGGTCAGACATCAAAATCTATATTCCAGAAGATTCTCAATTCGGGTTGCAGCATTTCTGTTAAGACGAATTCTGTCACAGCACATGACTGAATGAGGTAGTAATGATTTTGTGGGCATGGAAATGATCCCAGTGCTAGACAATGTCAGTGCCTAGAAAAGAAAGTAAACAAATTAGACAACATGAATTGTATAATACAGTATACTTAATCAGATAAAGTCACTCAAACCAGTTTCAAATTTCACCTCTTCCAATCACCTTCAGCCTTTCTTTACCCCACACCCTATCCAAAGCAGAGCTATGCTGCTTACTGCACCTCACATGAATCACCTGACTTTGACCTTGTGATTAAATTTCTCCCCTTATCTGTGCCTCTATCATGCCTTCAACTTTTAATAATAATAATAATAATAATCCTTGCATTTGATATAGCGCTTTTCACGTCGGGAGGACGTCCCAAAGCGCTTCACAGAATAGACTGTAAAGTGAATTGACTGTATATTTGTGGGCGAACGCGGCAGCCAATTGCGCACAGCAATGTCCCACAAACAGTCGTAGATTGAAAATGACCAATTTATTATTGTTTTTGTTTTTTGGAGGGATTATTATTAGGCTCTGTGTGGAGTAAGGAAACTTGCCCAAGGTTTCGCCCTGCCTGGGATTGAACTCAGGTCTCTCACTTGCAAAGCGAGTGCTCTAACCACTGAGCTACAGGACTCCAGGACTTTTAGTTGGTAAAAATGAAATTTCCTTCACCCACTGCTGGGTGATTTTAATGCATACCATCAACAGCTGCTCTGTGTCTCATTTACTCAGGTATATATGTACTCATGTTAGCCTAAACAACTGATCATTCATCTACATCTACCCACAATTACAATCCTGATCAATTTGGTAACACATTGTCCTCAATTTTATTCCAATATCCCATACAGTCAGTTTCCTTACCTGTTACTCTTCTGAATTTTCTCATATCTCACAAAACAGACTCTCTCTGTCAACAAGACCAAGTTTGTGTGGCATTACAAATCAGCTGACTTGGTAGAGTCTAGAATTCCTTGCTTTTTTTCCCCTGTTTTCAATGCTGCTTTTACTCCACTAATCCTATCATCGGTACTACTGAACTAATCAATGGTATTCTAATTTAGTGTGAAAAGGTTTACATTACATTTGTTTCTGTCAGATTGAGCACTGCATCGTGGCCCAACTCCACTGTTGCCTTTCATAAAAATTCCACCCACTGCTCATGACATCTTAATCTGAAGCGTTTTTGAGTGATTATCTCAGCTTCATTGCTGGACACTTGTCAGAAACAAGGTCCTATCTGCCTATCTTGTGGTTCAGGTGGATGCTAAAAACCCAGTGGCACGCTTTTAAAAGATAAACAAGTTCTTTCAATATCCTGGCCAATATTCTCCTTCATTCAAATTCATTAAAAAGCAATTTTGAATTGGTCATTCGTCCAAGTATTGTTTGTAGGTCACTGCTGGCACAGATAAACTGTCACAATTGTCTTCATTTCAGCGCTTTGGGACGTGCTCCCGACGTGAAAGGCGCTCTATAAATGTAATTTTGTTGTTGTTAAGGATAGTCAATACACTTCAAAATACTATTGTGTGAAATGTTCTGCGGCATTTTGGTGTGATATGGAGTTATTCAAAATGCAAGGAATTTTGTATTATAACTTTAGATCTAATTGTATTGAAAAGCAACTAATGTCTTCCTGTCCCTTTAACATATATTCTTTCTGGTTCATTGCTAAATGTACCTGAATACTTTCTTTATTGCTCCACACCAGTGATCAGTGAAACTTGACTTCTTGGGATCATTTTCCTCTAACTGTAATTTAGATGACCCTGACAAAAAAAATCTGCTCTTCATGGCTATGTTCTACTCCACTACTCCACAGAAACAGCCCTGGTCAAAGTGGCAAATGAGATTCTGTCCATCTGCGACCAGGGCTCTCTCTGCCTCCTCGTCCTTCTTGACCTCGCTGCTGCTTTCGACACCGTTGACCACTCTATCCTCATTCACACTCGCCTCTCACTTCAATCTTCACTGTCCTTGACTGGTTCAGATCGTACCTCTCACACCACCTCCACTTCATCTCCACAAACGGTTTCTCCTCTAGGCCCCGTACCATCTCATGCGGCGTTCCTCAGGGCTCTGTCTTTGGTCCCTTCCTCTTCAATATCTATAGGCTCCCTGTTGGTGACATCACCCGCAGACACGGGGTCAACTGCCACATGTATGCGGATGACACCCAATTGTATCTCTCTGCCTCCGCCCTTTACTCCAGGACTCAATGCTGTCCTGACAGAATATCTGTCAGACATCAAGTCCTGGATGAGAGGTAACTTTCTACAGTTGAACGTCAACAAGACCGAGGCTCTCCTGATTGGCTCCCGTCAGCGCCTCCACACCTCATGCGCTGACAGCATCGCCATCCAGGGATGCACACTCTGCCTTAATCCCGCATGCCAAAGCCCTAAAGAGGGTGGTCCAAGCTGAACAAGCAGCCAGAAGTTTGCTAGTGGTTGCAAACTGTTTTAGTTAGTTAAACTCAAACAGTACCCACACGAAGAAATCAAATACTCAGCTGACCAAAACAAAGCTTAAGATACTTCATTTGTTTAAAGTGACTGATTTGCCTCCATCAACTTATGGATACTTTTGAAAATCTCAAAAACTCCTTTTCCAAGGAACAGTAGTCCATCTACCTTAACCTTTTCTCAAAACTTTCCAAAACCTGAAATTAACTTGGCAATTCGACTCCATATCCTCTGACGGACAATAATATCCTTTCTATAACTAGATAACTATAGCAGAACTGCACACAACACTCCAGATGAGGTATAACTAAAACCTACAATGAAACAATATTACCTCGTAAAGGAATCCAGAACCTTATTTACATTTGAAATTTAACTGAGCACTAAGCAAATGATTACAAAGATTCATCCAGAATAATGCTAAAGATTTCTTTCTTGATTAGCGTGCTCTACAACTGCCAATGTGGAGTCCTGTAGCTCAGTGGTTAGAGCACTCGCTTTGCAAGCGAGACACCTGGGTTCAATTCCAGGCAGAGCGAAACCTTGGGCAAGTTTCCTTACTCTACACGCCTAATAATAATCCCTCCAAAGCAAAACAATAATAAATTGGTCAATTTCAATCCATGACTGGTTGTGGGACACTTCCGTGCACAATTGGCTGTCGTGTTTCGCCCACAAATATACGGTCAATTGACTTCACAATCTATTCTGTGAAGTGCTTTTGAGACGTCAAGAAGACGTGAAAAGCATTATATCAAATGCAAGGATTATTATTATTTAACATGCATTCCCTTCTTCTGGTTCTTTCCTCCTATATGGAATAAATTTATACTTTGAACTGTATCTGTCTAAATACATTAAAATAGCAAAAAAAGTTGATTGGACCTGCTGTTCAAAAATGAAAACAGCTGCTGTTTGACAGAATTACAATCCCAAAGTTGCAATAATTTACATGTTTATTGGCACATTGTAAGAGTGCATTAAATGAGTAACGCAACTTTCTAGGATCTCTCAGGAATAAACGAGCTTGCTTGCTAAATAACAACAATCCATGCAAACAGAATAAAGTGACCACAACCCAAATTAATGATATTCAATATATTCTTCCAAATTTGATATTGTACTCACAGAAAATATTTTGTACTGTGTCAAAAATACAAATAAAGGAAAATTGAACCTGAATGAGAATATTACAAATATAATTGCTTGAATTGATGTCAACAGATGGAATTTGTAATATTATTTTGTCAAAATACAGAAGTAGTTAAATACAACAGTTTATCAGAGGTGGCAATACTGTACAAACTCTTTACAGGTGAAAAACAACAATATAACTTGTGTTGCCCATGATTTACATAAATGACACTGAAACAACAGAAGTTTTCAATTATAAAGCTCATTCCACATGAGTTTTAAATATTAAATTAGTATCAGCATGTACCTGAAATAGAACTTTTTTTTCAAAAATATGAAATTGACAGGTGCGTCAGCCTGGCTCAGTGGTAGCGCTCTCGCTAGGGAGAAGGTTGTGGGTTCAAGTCCCACATCGGGAGTTGAAAGCACAGTCTAAGCTGCCGCTCCCACTGTAGCCCGGGGTGGAGGGGGGGGGGGAGAGGGGAGTTCCTTGTCAGAGTTGTCATCCTTCAGATGATACATCTACATTTTTCAGATGATACATACAAGGTCCCGTCTGCCAGTTGAGGTGGAAGTTAAAGATCCCGTGACACAATTCAAAAAGAGGAGTTCTTCCCGGTATCCTGATCAACAAATCCCTCAACTAAAATTAGTCACTCACTCCACTAGCTGTTTGTGCAAATTGGCTGCCACGGTTGTCTATAAATATACAGTCACTCTACTTCAGAGTAAAATCCCGTGAAGCACTTTAGAACATCCTCCCAACGTAAAGGGCACAAATCAAATGGAAAGGTTATCATTAAGCAAAACTCTTCACATGCAAGCATCACTCTCCATTTGTCGTTGAAGTCTTCTCTCTCTAGTTATAGGTAATTGAATCCTTATTAAAGACAGGAAAAACTACAAAAATAGATCATATGCAGCTGTACAAAGATTTACATAAATGTCTGGCTGAGTAATTGAGCACTAGATGTTTCTAACTGGAATCCAAGTTAATTGCATCTTACATGACTTTATTTGGAGAACTATAGACAGTTTTCTGTATAAAAATGATCATCCCAGAATTATGTAGAATTGTTATGCTACCAGAACTCACTGTAGTAGGACTAGAATGCTACGAAAACAAACAAGGATAAACAAATTTTTCCAGAAACTGCAAACATTCATTCTTCTTGTAGTTGTTAGTTTGACATGAATTTTTTTCTTCCCCCTTCCACATTCAATAGTTTTGTGTACTTGCTATTTATTTTGATCTATACTGTACCTACATTTTGGGCAAGATTAAGATATCTTATTTTTAAACAAAGAAGATAGACTTCCCTACCCCCACCTCCCCAAAAACCTCAGTCTGTACCTTCATCAAAACATTTATTCTCTTCAACAGGAAACGTCCAGGACCTTGGACAGTGGAACTTTAGGCTACTGAACTTTTTACCCTCAGTGCGAGACAAATGCCCTTATTTGCAGTGAGTTTCTTCCTCTCGAATTGTGTTACTTTTTTCATGCTAGAGATAATCTGGAATCCCTTCCAACAAGATTAAGGCACCTGAAGGGCCAACCAATGGCTGCAGAATCAGCATCCATGGTGCTCTCAACAGGCTAGGTCGCCTTGTTTTCCTAATCAAGTGCAGAATGCAAAGGGCATTATATATGTATGTGTAAATAATAATAATCCTTGTATTTGATGTAGCACTTCACAGGACTTACATTAAAGAGTAGTGACTGCATATATTATAGATTGGACACACCAGCCAATTGCCTGCAAATGTCACAGCAATGTCCTGCCAACAGCCAAGAAGTGAATGACCAATTTTATTTGGGGGCACCAGGACACGGGGTGAAACTCCCTTCTCTTTTCAACTAGTGCCCTGGGATCTTTATCTGAACTGGCAGTCAATACCCGAGTTTAACATCTCACCTGAAGGACTGCAATAGCAACAATGAAGCAAACATCCAGCACTGCATTACAATGTCAGCCTGGCCTATTCCTGTCCAAAGTCAAAATTTCCCAAATTTGTTAAATTGAGGTTAGGAATAAACATTTGGAATCCAGGCAGTAATTCACATATGATAAAGAGGGTGCACTAGTTTGCACAGCAAATATTGAATAGGAGATTAGGTACCTTGTAGGATAATCGACTCTCTGACTTCTTGTTGGTAGCTTGATACAGACTAAAAATTTTAGAGAAGTTCTCTCGTTCTACCAATTGTAAAGTCTGAAACACAAGTCTTGGCATCCTCAACTCAATTTCCAGAAGGGCCACAATGTGAAACTATCTACATTATATAAATTGTCAATCTTGCCACATTCAGTATTCATGATTTGAATTTAATTGCGAGAACACTGAAATCTGATACAGCTTAAATGGTAAAATAATAATAATCCTTGCATTTGGTACAGCACTCTTCATGTCAGATGACATCCCAAATCACTTCACAAGATTAACTGTGAAGTGAAGCGACTACATATTTTAGGTGAACATGGCAGCCCAATTGCGCACAGCGATGTCCCACAAACTGCCATGGAAACAAATGACCAATTTTATTTGGGAGGTTGTTGGCCAGGACAGTGGGAGAAGCTCCTTTCTGTTCCCTTCTCTTTTCAAGTAGTGCTGTGGGATCTTTCATGTCAACCTGAACAGACAAGACGAGACCTCATATAATGTCTCATCTGAAGGATAGGGAGAGGGGAGGGACAGGCAACATTCCCCTCCCCACAGTACTGCGCTGGGAATGTCATCTTAATACTATATGAGTTCAAAGTCCTGATGTAGGTTTTGAAACCACAACCTTCTGACTCAGAGGCGAGAGTGCTACAAACTGAGCCAGGCTAATACAAATTAAATGGATTAAATATTATTATTAAATGGAATTGATGAACAGAAGGACTTTGGTGCACATACAGGTCATTAAAAGTAGCAGTCCAAGTAGATAAGGCCAGAAAAACAGAATTAGTTTTAGATTAAGAGCCACAGAAATTTACCTACAAAACATAGTGTGGTCACTGTACTTATCAGAAACTTTGAGATATTTGACATCAAAGGAGCAATATCAAATGTAAGGATTATTATAGAATAAAAAAGCAAGGAAGTAATGATAAACTTGTACAGGACCTTATACTGTTTTGAGCACCCCTTTATATAAAGGATATGAAGCAATGGCAAGATGCCGCATAGCTTCACTACGACGTTACCGAGATTGAGGGGGTTCAATTACAAAGTGACACAGCTATTTTCACTACAGCTGAGAACGTTGTCATTTTGTGAATATTTTCCACAAAGATTTTTAGAACTTTCAAAGAATCTACATCTACAACTAGTCCTAACCCCCTACCAACCTGCCTGCTCCCTCCGCTCAGCGGGCTCCAGCCTGCTTTATGTCCCCCGCCTCATCATTGGCGAGTGGGCCTTCAGCCACTCTTCCCTCATCCTCTGGAATTCCATCCCACAGTCCCTCTGCCTCGCCCCTCCCTTGCCTCCTTCAAGGTCCATCTCAAGACCCTCCTCTTCAACCGTGCCTTTAGTCCCCCTTCTACCCCCCGCCCTCCCCATCCCAACCACCAGCTCCGTTCCGAAACATCGATTATCCAGCACCTTGGGATGTCCTCCCGATGTGAAAGGCCAACAACAACAACTTGCACGTATATAGGGTCCTCCACATAGGGTAGCGTCTCAGAGCACCTAACAGTGGTGGAGGCCAACTCTGAGCCAGGTGAGGAGGCGGCCGTAAGCACAACTGAAGAGGAAGGTTTTTAGGCAGGACTTGAAAAGGGGAGAGAGGGGGCAAGGCGGAGAGATTGAGGCAGTGTTCCAGTGTTTTGGGGCATAGTGGCTGAAAGCACGACTTCTGATGGTGGGGCAGAGATTGCGAGGGATGAGCAGGAGACCAGTGCCAGTCGAGGTAAGACGACTCTCACCAAGAAATTACATATAATTTAATCATTATAAGCATGCATAGTTTAATTCCATCAAGTTGGCTAATAAATGTACTCCTTCCCTCTATCCTTGATTCCTTGAGCAGTATACCTTGTAAAAGTGAAATTTATACCTCTACTCTTGAGGATTGGAGAACAGGGAATGCAACGCCAATTTACAAAAAGGGGCCAGAAAACACGTTATAAAGGCCAATACATCTGACATAGCTTGTAAGATATTGGAAAACATCCTTAAGGGAATAATAAAGCACTGAGAGAAATTTACAATTATGAGGACCTTTTATGTAAATTATAGAAATAAAATTAGCTTCACATGTATGGCAGAAGACACTAATAAACTTTCTAGATAGTGAAAGTGTTTACTGATATATATATTCTTATGTATTCTGACCCACTAAACACATTAGTTGTACAAGTTTGGGAGCATTTTAAAAAGCTCAACAACATGCTCGCTTAACCTGTCTAGCTTATCTCTAATTAGTAAAGTTTAGCAAAGAAGGTTTTCATAACCAACAGCCCCAATGACTATTCTCCCAGTGGCTTTCCAATGCATACAGGCTACCAGTCAGCCTGGCTCAGGTGGTAGCACTCTCACATTGAGTTAGAAGTTGTGGGAACCAGTTCCACACTGGAACTTTGAACTCAATATAGCCTCTGCTGACACTCCAGTGCCAGCGGTTGCTGTATGGTTGGAGGTGCCACCCTTCAGAAGAGAAATTAAACCAAGGTGACATGTGTCTGTTCAGAGTGGTGTTAAAGATCCCAGGATACTACTCGAAAACCGGGAGTTTCTCCCGGTATCCTGCCCAACAATCGCACAATTAAAATTGGTCATTCACCAATGCTCGTGGACCACTGCTGTACGCAAAAGGATGCACCATTCGCCTACAACCGCACAGTCACTGCACTTTCCGGTAATTCCTGCGAAGCACTTTGAGATGATTCCCACTGACATGAAAAGCGTTAAGACCACATGCGTGGGCTTCTCATACATATCTTTTCGGAATACCCAGCTATGCACGTTAAAACCTTTTGAACAGCAGATCATCCTACAATTTTTAAGCCCAACTCTGCAGCTTTCGCGAAGTCTCCGCCCCGAGACTCGTGCCATCTCATTACCTGGTGAAACGCGCCGAGTCCGGCTGCTCGGAGGGGTCGCCCGGCACCAACGGCACGAAGCGCAAACGAGAGCAACTTATTGCCGCCCGCAAACCCTTCCAGAAAACGGAGCCAAGCGCCGTTCGTGAAGAAAAATGAAAAGCTCGCGTTTACCTCGGATCTCGCTGCACACACACTGGAGGAGTGTGGGTGTGTGTGTGGGTGGGTGGGTGGGTGTGTGGGAGGGGGGGTGGGAGGGGGGGAATGGTGCGCGCGGAGAGGCGGCAAAACTAAAAAAAAAAGTGCATTAATTAAAAAAAAACTGCAGAGGAAATGGTCGCACCAGGACTTCCTGTAAAGCACAGGAAATAAAATGCGAGAGCGAGTTGGCTGGTAATGCAGGGCGGGCGGGCGGTGGGGGTGTGCAGCACAAATGTCACATCCCGGCCCCGCACAAACCGAGGGTCACTCTCCAGCTCGCGCCCATCACACGGCCTTCCTCCCCTCCCTCCCTCCCTCCCCTCCTCTGGGAGGAAGCGGGCAACAGACACAGAGCACTGCCGTCCCCCCCCCCCCCCCCCGGGGGGAGAGACTGAGAGGGAGGGAGAGAGGGAGGGAGGAGGAGAGGGAAAAACAAGGGGAAAGAGAGCGAGAAGGACGGACGGAGAGGGAGAAGCAGAGAGGGAAAAGGAGAGAAGGGGAAAGGGAGAGAGAGAGAGCGCGAGTGGCGCCTCCGCAGCCGCCATGAGGTGATCCAGTGAGGGAGGGAGGGAGGGAGGGAGGGAGGTGCGAATCCCGGGCTCATGGGGCGGCCCTGGGGGAGGCCGAGCCTCTCCTCCCTCTCACACTGGTGGGGGGGCGCTTCCACTGAGCCCGGGCCTGAGCAGGGAGGGCCGGGTGTGAGGGCAACCGGGAGAATCCCCCCCTCTCCCCTCTCCCCCTGGTAACAAACAGACCTACCTGTTTACCAGACCAGGCTGCCGCCGGGGCCCTTCCCTCGCTCCCTGTGTGTGCGTAAGAGCCGTGTGTGTCGGGGTGGCGGCGCTCACTGGCTGGCGGGGAGGGGCGGGGCGGGCTGTCTCGATCGCCTCTGACAGTTAAACCGGCGCCGAAACCCGCGGCCGCTCGGCCATCACTCAGCCCGCGCAGCCCCGCCCACTCACACACTCGCGAGACACCCGCGCTGACGTCGACGCCCCGCCTCCCGCAGAGCATTTCTGCGCACGCGCGGCCGCTCACTGCCTCCCTCTCTCTCTCTCTCCCCTCTCCCCCTGCCCCCCCTTCACCACCCCCCCCCTGCACCCCCCCCTGCACCGCCCCCCCATGCACCGCCCCCCCCATGCACCGCCCCCCCCCCTCACTGCCCCCCCCATGCACCGCCCCCCCCATGCACCGCCCCCCCCCCCTCACTGGCCCCCCCTCACTGGCCCTCCAATAAATCACAACAACACATTGCAATTTAATGCCTTTCGTGTCGGGAGAGCGTCCCAAGTCCCGTACCTGAGCTGGGGGTTGGGTACAAGAGTGGTCGGACCAATGGGGGTGGGAAGATGACCAAAGAGGAAGATCTTGAGATGGACCTTGAAGAAGACGAGGAAAGGGGCATTGCAATGCGACTCAGAGTAGAGGGTCAGTGATGAGGGGAGGGGGAGTGACTGAGTGGGAGGTGAGTGATTGAGTTCCAGAGAGTGGGGGCAAGAAAGCTAAAAGCATGGCCACCATGTCTGCCGAGTGGAGGGAAAGGATTGGGTTGGTAAGGTTTTAGATCAGAAAGGTAAGGTGGGGCAAGCCTGAAAGGCTTTAAAAATGAGGATAACATTGAACTCGATGCTTTGGGGATAGGGAGCCAATGTAGGTGGGTAAGGATGGGGGTGATAGGTTTACAGAGTCTGGTGCAAGAGAGGACATTAGCAGCAGAATTTTGAATAGTCAGCAGCTTGCGGAGAGAAGAGTTGAGAAGAATGGTGAGCAAAGGGTTAGCATAGCACAGCTTTGAGGTGATCAGTGCATGGCTTAAAGGTTGTCTGAGGGCAGAGGTAGTGGCGGAGGTGGGAAATGTTGAGAGAGTTGGGAAAAGCTGAACAGGTCAAGGCACAGATGTGTAGTTTATAGGACAATTGAGAATCAAACACGACACTGAAGTTCGGTACTGGATTAGTATGGTGGAGTGGGCATCTGTTTATAGCGAAGCTGTCAGCTGTCAGAGATAAAAAGGCACTGACAAGCCAAGCAGGAGAGTCTGTTTTGTTGACATTTAGTTTGAGAAAGTTAGCTTTTATCCAGGATTTAATGTTTGATAGCCAACCATTCAGGACAGTAGTGGTGTTGGAATCGAGGGTAGAGGCAGAGATATAGAATTGGGTGTCAACCAAAGTTAACCCAATGCTTGCAGATGCCATCACCAAGGAGCATGTAAATGTTAAAGAGGAGATGGCCAAAGGTAGACGCCCTGAGGAACTCAACAACAACTTGCATTTATAGAGCGCCCCTCATGCAGGTTTTAGTATCTCCACAAGTAATGGTGTGGGGGCAAGAGTAGAAACCACTGGCAGATACAAAGTGGAAACACTGGGAAGAGTAAGAATGAAACCATGTAAGGACAAAACCGTGAAGGTGAAGCTGAGAGGAAAAGTGTTGGAGAAGAATAGAGTGGTCGATAGTGTCAAAGGCAGCAGAAAGATCAAGTAAGATGAGGTAGAGAGAGCCTTCGGCACAGAAGGAAAAAATTTAATTTGTGACTTCGACCAGGACAGTCTCTGTACTATGAGCAAGAATGGCATGCTGATTTGAGGGGTTGATACAGGTACTGCAGGGAAAGGAAAGAGCGAAGCTGGGAAGCAACAGTACTTTGGAGAGGAAATGAACTGAGGAGAGGAGGAGATGGAGAGGAGAGGAGGTGTCAGTACAAAGGTCAGAGAGAGCAAAATGGATATCCTCAATTTTTGGACACAGAAAGTCCAACATCTCACATTTGGAGGATGTGTGGGATATGGGGGGGAAGATGGGCGAAGAAGTTGGTTTGTAATGGAGAAGAGGAGCCTGGGGTTGTCTTTGGCATCCAGGATGATCTTGGAATAAAAAGATGATATAGCTGAGGCAAGGGCAGTGTGCTAAATTTTGGTGCAGTCCAGCCAAATTTGGTGGTGGACAGATAGATTAGATTTGATTCAGATGTGTTGAACACACACCTGTGATTTAAGGGAGTGGAGGTGGTTGGTGTACCATGGGGACTTGCAGGAATAGTAAATGATTCAGAAGGTGATTGGGGCAAATGTGTCGAGGATATTACTGAGGGGGTCGTGAAGGAAATTGACCGAGGAAGGGAGGGCATTGCGAGAAGAGAGCCAAAGGAGCAGGAGTTCAGATGAAATTAAGCAGGAGGCGGGTAATTGCTTTCCATTCAATCATCACTCACCCTCTATTCACTCCTCCCTCACCCTCCAATCACTCTCGAAGCACTCCTCATTGACCACTCTATTCTTCTCCACTGCCTCTCCTTTCACCTCAACCTTCATGGTTCTGTCCTTGAAAAGTTCAGATCCTATCTCCCACACCACCTCCACTTTGTCTCTATAAACAGCTTCTCCTCCAGCCCCCACCCTGTATCACGTGGTGTTCCTCAGGCCTCTGTCCTCGGTCCTCTACTCTTCAACCTATACATGCTCCCTCTTGATGACATCATCTGCAGACATAATAATAATAATCCTTGCATTTGATATAGCGCTTTTCACGTCGGGAGGACGTCCCAAAGCGCTTCACAGAACACACTGTAAAGTGAATTGACTGTATATTTGTGGGCGAACGCGGCAGCCAATTGCGCACAACAATGTCTCACAAACAGTCATGGATTGAAAATGACCAATTTATTATTGTTTTTGGTTTTGGAGGGATTATTATTAGGCGTGTGGAGTAAGGAAACTTGCCCAAGGTTTCGCCCTGCCTGGAATTGAACTCAGGTCTCTCACTTGCAAAGCGAGTGCTCTAACCACTGAGCTACAGGACTCCACATGAGGTCAACTCCCACATGTATGCAGATAACACCCAATCTCTCCAACTCCAGGACCACTGCTGTCCTGACAGAATGTATGTCAGACATCAGATCCTGGATGAGAGCTAACTTTCTACAGTTGAACATCGACAAGACCGAGACACACCTGATTGGCTCCCATCAGTGCCTCCACACCTCAGGCACTGGCAGCATCACCATCCAAGGATGCACACTCCACCTCACCAAGCCAGTCCAGAACTTTGGTGTCTTATTTGACCCTCAACTGTCCTTTCTCCCCCACATCCGTGCCATGACCCACTCTCCCTGCCCTAAACTCCACAACATGCCTGGCTCTGCCACTGTCTCATCCCTCAGGCCACTAACACCATCATTGATACGTTCATCACATCTAGGCTCAACTACTCCCCAACTCCCTGTTTGTTAGTCTTCCCAACTTTTCCCACCACAAGCTGCAGATCGTCTAGAACTCTGCAGCTCGTGTCCTCTCCCACACCAGGCTCCATGATGCCATCAACCCCGCCCTCAGTGGCTCCACTGGGAGATGGAGTTCAAATTCCATGTCCTCGCCTTCAAGGCCCTCCATGGCCTTGCTCCTTCCTACCTCTTCGACCTGCTAATCCCTTATCAACCCGTCCGCTCTCTCCACTCAGCAGGTTTGGCCTGCTCCACGTCTCCCACCTGGCCAGCCCTACCATCGGTGGTTGGGCCTTCAGCCTCTCTGCCTCCACCCTTTCGAACTCCATCACACAGTCCCTTCAAGACGTGTCTCAAGACCCCCCCTCTTTGACCATGCCTTCGGCCACCCTCCTACCCTCCCTGCCTTCCATCCACCCTTACTCCAATCCACCCCACTCGGGTCCAAATCCCTGACTGTCCAGGGTCTTGGGACGTCCTCCTGACGTGAAAGGCACTATACAAATATAATTTTCTATTGAATTGTATTCACCCTCCACGCACTCACTCTTCACTCACGGGTCCGTTGTAGAATACTGGACTTGATCAACACTCTCATGAACCCTCTGGCCACGACCGATGGCAGACTTCATTGGAATGTCATCCTAATCTATGATAAATCAGAGTATTTACCAAAAGATTGGTGGTTCATTTATAGTTCACCTGTTCAATTTGTACAATTCTACATGTACATGTGAAAAGTGCTTTTCTTGTGATCAGTTGAGTAACAAATCTTAGTTCACATTTGCTGCCTAAACTACCTTACTGTGGCAGATACAAAAAAACAGACTTCTGACATGGGAGCCAAGTACCTGACCTTCCTTTAGCATTGCATGAGTGACATCTAGTCTAGACACAAAGCTATTTTACAAAAGGATAGAAAATAGACAATTTCTCTCCTCCCCTTAATCAAAACAAAAGGATGGTAACAATGTACCCAAATAATGTGGGTTCAAGCCCTATGTTGGGACTTCAAAACTCGGAGACTATGTTGATGCTCGAGTCAGTACTGAAGAGCAGTGCATTGGTAAAAGTGCCGACCTTCAGATGGGATGTTAAACCAAGATCCCGGTTGCTTGTTCGGATGGATATTAAAGATCCCATGGCACGATTTGAAACAAGAAGGGAGTATTTCCCCATGTCCTGGCCAACAATCCTCCAGATAACACTGGTCAAGCTACACTGGAAGAATCTTCTTGTTTTGAATGGTACTTCTTGGATATTTCGTTTCCTGCCTGTTTATTGAACAAATTCCCTGCTGCTTTTAAACTATAAATAGTCACTGCATTTTACAGTAAACCCCTCTGGAAGTGCTTTGAGACATTTCACAAGCATGATAGATGCTACATCAAATGTAAAGATGATTATGATAAATCAGCTATTTGTTGAGACTCTCTTATCACATTCATTTGAAATAATAATGAACTCCAGACTGAAACAGTTTTATTATATTCTTTGCGAATTGTGCCAATGTATATCAAAGTAATGATTGAGTGAAAGTTCAACTACGGTATTTGTGGAACAAGTAAACACACTGGGCCCTAAATTATGTTCAAAACATCACTTATGTAAATTAAGATGGCAGATGTAATTTGGGGAGTTAATGGGAAAACAAGGATCAATTATATGCCTTAAATTCCTGTGAGGTTTTTGCATCTGGCTACTGGAGATAAAGTGACCTCATGGAAAAAATTCAGAAGGTTTAAATTTTGCATGAATTCAACGTGGCTTTTCCATACCTTAGAAATTGAAATAAAGTGTCAGCCTGGCTTAGTTGGTTGCTTGCTTGTCTCTGAGTCAGATGGTTGTGGGTTCAAGCACCAATTGGGAACTTGAACTCACAATCTAGGCTGGCATTCAATGTCAGTATTGAGGGAGCACTGCATTTCGCAAGGTGCCATCCTTCAGATGAGACATTAACAATAATAATCCTTGCATTTGATATGCAATAATAATCCTTGCATTTGATATGCATTTGATAGAAGCTGAGGTCCCATCTGCCTGTTCACTATTGAATGTTTCAACCAACGGACAGCACGCCCAACAACGCAGTGCACACTCAGCACTGCATTGTTGTTTCAGCCTAGACCCTGATTTCAAAGTCCCAATGTAGGGCTTCAACCCACAATGCTCTGACTCAGAGGAAAGACTGCTACCAACTGAGCCAAACTGACACCTTTTTGGTTCAATTAAAATGGAAAACACACATGAATCTTGAAAGCTTCAAATGGGTAATTTTACTAGCAAGTACAAAATAAAGCAGATTCACCACCCAAAAGTCAGTAAATCTACTAACAAGGAAATAATAACTCTCAAAAGTGTTTTATATTATTTGAAGCAAGAAAATTGAATAATAATACTGAAAACAATACCGGTTGGCAGTAGTGGGATTTTATACTCTTTCAACAGCAATGCATTAAAGTGCTCAACCATGCTAACTACTGGCAGTGACTTGCACCACTTGGCCACATGACCTATTGGGACAGCTTTGGGAATGGAGCTGCAAAGGAAATGAGCATGACAGAATGCTATCTTGAAGCCACTATATAATTGCTAATAGTCTTAATAGGTTCTATATTCATATAAATAACTGACTTTTGTTTCTCTTCCTGAACTTTAAGAAAGAGATGTTGCAAATAATTATGTGTAAACAAATGCAACCCTATTCAATGCCGTACATTCCTTGTAACTTTGTTGGATAATGTTCAGTAAAATTCTGTGTGCAAGTATGTGCCTTGAGAAATAACAGTTTGCAAAGGGAAGGATCTCATCTCTAAGCCATCTAATAACTAATGTCTGCCTTTGGTGGCATTTTTGATAGATGTGATAATCATGACTTGTGATAGCATCACATGCAGCATTCCCCACCAGCATTATATAATCCACCAGCAAGATCTCATTCTCCAGAGAAACACGAACAAGTGTCTGTTTGTGTCATGTATCTGATTAATAGATGAATTTTCATAGTAGGGACAAAATAAGTGAATTTGAAGGGGGTGGTCCAGCGTAGTACTTCAGAACAGTAATGTACGATGGCATGATCTGTGTGTGGTTCTGAACCCAGCTGTGCTGCATAGACGTGATAACATTGGGAAGGAAGATAAATCAGAGGTGTATCCCCAGGCTACTGTCATATATCTCTTAGTAATGGGTTAAAGATTAGAAGTGTAACAGCAGCTCAAATTGGAGTCCTGTAGCTCAGTGGTTAGAGCACTCGCTTTGCAAGCGAGAGACCTGAGTTCAGTTCCAGGCAGGTCAGGGCGAAATCTTGGGCAAGTTTCCTTACTCCACACAGAGCCTAATAATAATCCCTCAAAAACCAAAAACAATAATAAATTGGTCATTTTCAATCCACGACTGTTTGTGGGACATTGCTGTGCGCAATTGGCTGCCGCGTTCGCCCACAAATATACAGTCAATTCACTTTACAGTGTGTTCTGTGAAGCGCTTTGGGACGTCCTCCCGAAGTGAAAAGCGCTATATCAAATGCAAGGATTATTATTATAATTATGTAGGTAGTGTATTATGTTACACACAGACCTGAAGATAGAAAATATTAAATAATGTTCAAAGAGCAACATCGTAATTTAGTTTGATATATCTGGTGGGTGGTGGGGGGGGGGGGATGTTTGGTTTTATTTAGCTATCCCTGCTTGCACTGTTGAATAATCCAAATTACATATGCTTAGTTCAGCTTCAAAGTTTAATTACAACCATTTTTAGTCCCAGTGAAAACATCTTTTTATGTGTGATTTAAATGCACCACATGATATATATGTACACAAAAAGGTTTAAGCTAAGGATCACAGATTCAGACTGTATTTAAAGCATTTGCTGACTATGTTATTTGTCTGATTAATAGATTAATCCTCAAAGTAGGACAAGCCAAAACTCCCAGCCTTTCATGCATGTTAAGTAAAGTGGAACAAGCCACATAAATACAACTATGTTAACAAGCATGCTGAAACCAGCAAGTATAGCAAGATACAATTTAATACAACCACTCCGTCTCCACTCTCTCTTCCCAGATGTGCACTCTGCTCACCTGCAGAGAATTAGATGCAAGGCGGCACGACCTGAGGCTTGGGGACCCCAGTGTGTGCATTGAGGTACCGTTGGAGTTAAACCACCTATTACCATAGATTGCCATTGAAAGCAACATCTGGCAAACTTCCCAATGCTTGTCCAGTTAGGACCATCCCATCCGTTACAGCTTTGGCTTGCAACAACAATAATAACTTGCATTTATATAGTACTCCTCACAGGAAAGCGTCTCAGAATGCTTTTTTTTGGTGGGGGGAGGAGTCAGCCAAGTGTCTGAGATATGCAAAAACCCATCCATCACCATGCTTAAGTATCCAAACTAAACTGAGAATTCCATGCATCCACCTACACATGGAAATTCCAGAGATTGACTGTCGGAATGAAATGTGCACTTTCTCCCTGGAGGGCCATATCCTGCTTACCTAATTCCAGAAAGTATTAATTGCAGGTTGACAATAACAACGGCTTGGGTATCCCAGAGTGTGTGTTGCATTACTGATGGTGTTTAACAAGCTAAAACTGCATAGCTTGGCATTGATATCGCTATCTGCCAAGCTTTCCTGCTGCTTGTACAGCTAGAATCACCCTCCATTAGGGCTTTGGCTTGTAGGGTTAAAGGGAGCTGAATGGGAAGAGTCTCTGCCCCCAATGATTGGTCTGCCCTTCCAGGTCCTGCCAGCAAGCCAGGCTGGCTGTGCTGTCATCATCACCTGGAATACTGCAGACCTGCCTGGCTCAGGAACGGACAACCGAGACCACCACAGAGAGGGCTGGTTCAACTGTGGCATTCCGTTGCCAAGCCTGGTACCTTGGAGCCATATTACCTTGGAGTTCAGCATCTCTTCCCATTGAGCGATGTTTCCATCAGTTGGAGGTGTGGAGGTTAAGTCGCAGCTGCTTTTCTCTGCAGGCCAATCATGGTGGATTCCAGGCACTGAATATACAAACATGTGTTAATGAACTTGCACTCCAGGTAACGCCTTCCAGCAGCTGTTGCCCTAAGCCTCAGAGTTTCCTCTTGAGCTATCTGAATGGATATATGCCTTCAGCGTGGTGGGAGGATGAGAGTGCTGTAAAGTGGCAGGGTTGGGAGGGTCATGTCGGGCGTCCTCCCGATGTGAAAGGTTGGGCAAGTTTCCTTACTCCACACGCCTCTGTTTACCTGGCAGTAGGTAGGAACCCGGTTAGTCGATTGGTGGATCACTTTTCTGGGGGGTAACAATCTCTTTAAAAAAATTTGATCACTCAATCCATAACTTGTTTGTGGGACACTGCTGTGCACAATTGGCTGCCGCGTTTCACCCACAAATATACAGTCAATTAATTCACTTTACAGTATATGCTGTGAAGCAGTTTGAGGCATTTTAAACATGTGATAAAATGCTATATCAAATGCAAAGATTATTATTTATCTATCAAGAAGTAATCTCCTTCAAGAGAAGATGAACTAGGGCTTGAACCCACAACCTTCTTATTCAGATCAATAAGCAGTCTCCAGGATGGAAAACAAGATTAGCTGCATGGTTTACAAAGATTATTACGTTTTAATAGAGCAGCATGGAATATTTTCTCTAAATATTCTTACCCAAAAGGTGAATTGCAGGTTGCTCTAAAAATAACCAAAACTGCAATCCAGAATTGTAAATGAATGAGATTGATGATCTGATTGAATGGAGAGAGAAGTGGCACAGCTTTAAAATTGTTATTGCTGTCAAGCCGTGCACGTCTGCACTCAGACCAGGTTTGTTGTGAATTTGAATCAGCCGCGCTCTCTGACTGGCTGCTTTCATTGGCCCTTTTTTTTTTACTAATTGATAAATGGAACCGAGGGAGAGAGTGCGGGAGTGAAGGCAGGCGGATACACGGGGGGTGTTGCAGATGTAAAGAGTAAATCAGGTAGTTTGCATGGAGGGTCTTTTTTTTAAAAAAATCGTGAGCCTTAGAGTGGGTGTGCAATTTATTTTGTGAAATGTGTACTTTTTGGGTGGTAAGGAAAGAGTTGATATTGGTCCTGTGTTATTTTTTTTGGCTGCTTTTGCTTTGCCTCAAAATAGTGCGTTTGTCGTACTTTTCGTTTGTATGTTATGCGCTCTTTAAGCTGTAACTTTCCTTCTTTTTACCCGACAGCGAGAGCGCCTATGACTATTCTACTGATACTGGACAGCTATATTTTTATTTTGACTTTTTGCTTGTTGCCAGTCGTGATGACTTCACCATCCGGCCACAGAGTACATGATGGGCACATGCCAAACTACGCTCGGCCTTTCTTCCTCCCACCTATGCAAACACAACCTATGTTTTCACCTCCAGTATCTCACTTCGTGCACCCTGCCGCCTTCCAACCGTATTTCTATCCATCACTAGGTAAGTGGATGAAAGCTTGAGGCTTTTACCGGTGAGGCGAGTATGTTATTTAGAAACGTGCTCGGGTTACAAATGTTACAACTCTCCTACACCTCTTGCTTCCAGTGTTTTTTTTTGTAGCTGTTTAGGGGCATGGCTGTTTATCTAAAATAGCCTTGAAGTAAAGTTTATTTTTAAAAAAGATAATTCGTGCCCTTTTTGAGGGGGTTCCTTGAATGGCTCATTAAAGTGGCATTGAACCACGAATGTTGCACTACATGAGGCTTTGCGTTCCTTCCCACCATCTGAAAGCAGTCTGCTGCTCCCTGTCTGCTTCAACAGGAGGAATGATCTCTTGCACTGGGGGAGGGGAAATGGGAAAATCAGGCAGTGAATGGTGACTGCAGATTTGTCGATCATTAGCTACTGGGTTCAGGAGAGAAGCTATTAGGGTGTCCCTCTCAATCTGCATTTATAGCCGGTTTTGTTTCTGGAATGGGATTGCTTTCTCGGTGTCAATGAAGCGATCTTTTATTTTGTGTGCGCTCAGGTCTGGTGACAAATGAAATCGCAACTAAGACTCGCCTTCTAATACACTTGTTACATGGAAAGCCTCGTAGCTTGAGCAAAAGTCAACTCCATTAGTCCCATTGACAAGTCCGATAGCCTACGAGTGACAATAGCCTAATCGTGTCCGTGACTTTCCCCCCCAACTAATATTTTGAAAACCACATTTTTTTGTGACTGGCTCACCTGTTCTGACAGCTTCACTGGGTATAGCTCAATCTATAGTTGTTTTCAGACTACCTGCCTAGAAGTTAAGCTTTTTTAAATCTACAATTTTTTTTTATTTTTGTCCTCCCCCCAGTGTCTTGGGAGGTGCTTCCAACGTGCAAGGCGCTATATCAATGCAGTGTTGTTGAGTGCCAGGTTGGTAAAGTCACCGCTCGGTTTGAAACGAATTTGAGGATCCAAATTTTACCCCTCACTATCATTGCGTTCAGGGGCACTATAATTGGATTCCTATCCCCAAATCATAGGGGGGGGGGGAATAAATCAATCAAACTTCCTGCTGGATGCCTGGTGGACAGTCAACGTGTTGTTTGTTGAGAAGCACCGGATTGATTGTGTAATGAACTCTCTCTCTGGTTGAATAGCCAACATTGACCACATTCACACTTGCAGAGTGGTCACTTAAGGACGGTAACTGGAACTGGCTGGTGTCCATGGGCCTCTAACCCAGCATCCCCAGCATGAAAAGGATGCCTTTAAGAGAATGAGAGAAATACTACGAGGCTGTATAATGTGTTAAAGATCTACATGTCTTCAGTGTAAAGAGTGCAATACTGCGGCAAGTGTCCAGACAAGAACAAGTCATGACAGTCAGCCATGCGTGTTGGTCTGTCCAAATCACGGTTCTTTTTCAATCTCTGTTTTGCACTAAATACTCAATGGAGATGGGTTTTATTATTTATAAAAGACAGGTCTGCTGCTGCCTATTCTCTTACCATTTTCCTTTATTAACGCCACTCTGACTTGGGACGTCCCCCATCCCCACGTGTGTGTGTGTGTATATATTTTTCACACGTGTGTGTAATTATGTTTGTGTTCCTTTGTTCGTTGGTAAGAAACATTTCCTCCCTCGTCTCCAAATAACCCGCAAGTGCCGCCTTCTTACATGTACCCCTTAAATCGAACTTAGCGAGTATCCCAGTGGTGGGAATTGTGTTGTTTGGCTTATGGCTGTGCAGACTGACTGCTGAAATGTGGGATTTGTGTTTGTTTCCATGTAGAATATGGCGGTGGTTTAGGTTTGTATTATCCAGTCTGCCCTATGCAATACACCAGGAGCTTTAGCCCACATTCACCGATGCCCCACACTGGCTACAGAAGACCTTACTTTAATTCCTCATTCATCGCTCGTCCAACGTTTTACCAAACCACCCGATTCCGGCACTACAATCCTGTTCGACGAAACGTGACCAACACCGAAGTGCAAACCGACACGAACGAGACGAATCGCGGCCAAACTAAGAGGGCCGACCCGGCGACGGAGAGCGCCCGGAGCGCCAAGCAAACCACCGAGACCAGAAGAGAGCCGAGCAGGTCCGCCGGTGCCGCACCCGCTGCGGGCGCTGCCGGTGCCGCTGCCGGGGAGGAGCGGCCATCGCCGCACGCCGACACCCGCAAAGAGCCGAGTGCGGCCGAGCAGAGCGGCGGTGCGGGGGAAGCCCGGAGCGCTCAGGCGGGAAGCTACGCCTTTCAAAAGGAAGAAATCCGCATTGAATGCAGTGAAGGCGCGCCTTCCATCAACGTGTGGCGGTCGTTTGAAGCCACGGTTCCCATATACAACGCCACGCCGAGCAAACAGGCGGAAGAGCGGATCCAGTGCGAGGTGTGGTCCGTGAGCGCCTGTGACGGCGCTGTGCCCTTCTACAGCCCCTTCGTCGAGGGGGACACCGGCACCCAGAGAGCCCAGGCTCCCGGGGAGGAGGCCGGGGGAGCGGCCGCGCCGCAAGCGCGAGTCCCGGGGCTGCTGCCCGCGCCGAGCCAATGTCCGCAAAATGGGTGCAGCGAGTGCGAAGCCAAAGGGGCCGCGGGGAGACCTCCCGCCTCGGCGGACCCGGACCCGCGCGAGACGAACGAAAGTCAGAAGCCCGCGGGGAAGGGCTCGTCCGACAAACCCGCACAACCGCGCGGCCGGGGGGAGAGGGAGAGGGAGCGGGAGAGGGGCGCGGAGACTGACGTGCGGCCACTCTGCCCCTCACCCCGACGCGAGGAGCCGACGTGCGAGGTGATGCCGAGCGACTCCCCGGGTTCCGCCGAGTCCGGGGACGAGTACGTGCCGTCCTCCAGCGTCCTGGCCTGGCTGCGCCAACACGCTCGCCAGTACCGCTGGGCGCCCCACCTGCCCCAGGCCGTGCGGGACCGGCCCGGCATCTTCAGCGGCTCTTTCGACGAGATGTCCTCCAAGGACGAGGAGTCGTCGTCCCTCGACTTCTTCGACGCCATCCCCCTGAGCAACCAAGTCTCGTACTCTCACCTGATGTACCAGCCGGCGCCGCTCCAGCTGCCCGAGGTGTCGGCCTCGGACCCCACCCTGGCGGCTGCTGGCAACCAGCTGGAGAGCCGCTGCGCCTTCGACAGGGAGAAGGTGATCTGCAGCGCTTGTCACAAGGAAGCCTACCCCGACCCCCCAAGTGAAAGCTACGCCGAGTGCAGGTATCACTCACTGAGCAGGAGCCTGGAGAGGGAAGGCTCCTTGACCCCCGGGGAGCAGGCGCCCGCCGGCAGCGCGCCGACTGGCCACAGGTCCCGCAAGAGCCGCAGGTTCTCCGTCGACTCCTTCGGCTCGAAGACCAAGAAGAAGAGCCGCCACTCGTCCGATTCCGAGCCGACCCAAGAGGAGCCTGACGAGGAGTACGGCGGCTTCGGGGCCTCCCCCGCGGAGAAAGGGCAGGGGGCAGCGATCCCGGGCTCCTCCCGCAAGGCGCTCCTCCGCAGAACATCCAAACTGACCGCAATGCAGACGTGCAAGAGGCCGGTGCAAGACAAGCTGAAAGGGAGGAAGAGGGGAGCCGAGCTGGTGGAGGGTGCAGTGGGTCGAAGAGAAGCGGCCAGGCTGGACAGCGAGCTCCAGAGAGCCTGGCAAGCCGCCAAACCAGAACGAAAACGCAAGGAGAAGAAAAAGTGTGTACAGAAGGCTATGAGCGGTAAGTGTGCGTGTGTTTGGGTGCCATACTCCTTGGCTCCTGTCAACAGCTTCACTTCTGCGGACCTGAACTCCTCAAAACTCCCTGGCTCTCCCTCAGACGCAATGAACTAGCGCGCATTTTAGGCATCCAGTTGGACCCCCAGGTGCCCTCCCTCCCCCACATCTGTTCTCTAACCAGGACCGCCCGCCTCCGACCGTACCTTTCCCCAAATGCAGCCGAAATACTCGTGCACGCGTTTGTCACCTCCCATCTGGATTATTCAAATGCACTCCCCAGCTTCAATATTCAAAAAAAAAAAAAAAATCCAGCTCATTCAGAACTCTGCTGCCCTCATACTGACCCGGACCCACATCTCACCAGTTCTGGCCAGGCTCCACTGGCCAGACTGATCGACTTCAAGATCCTCACACTCATGTTCAAATCCCTTCACTCTCCAACCTCCTCACTCCCCTCTGTTCAACTGGCACCAGCCTCTTGCTCATTGTTTTGCCCACAAATATACAGTTAATTCACTTTACAGTATATTCTGTGAAGCGCTTTGAGACGTCTAGAAGACGTGATAAGGCGCTATATCAAATGCAAGGATTATTATTATTATTATTATCCCTTGTACTCTCCGTTCCACCATCAGTCACTATGCCCCAAAACTCTAGAAAAATCTCCTTCAATCCCTCCAGCTTGCTCCCTCTCTCTCCCCTTTTCAAGTCTTGCCTGAAAACCTTCCTCTTCAACCGTGCTTATGGCTGCCACCCCCTGGCTCGGAGTCAGGCTCCGCCACTGTTAAGTGCTACCCTGCATGGATGGTGCTGTATAGGTGGTTGCTGTTGCTATTTATTTCCAGGCTAATCTCCTCACTAGTTCCCGGGGACCTGAGTAAGATTTGTTGAATCATAAAGCAGGACAAAAAGTGCCTATTTTTAGCACGTCTATTTGTATTGCCCCCAACTTTCTTTAATGTATTCATCTGTAGGAAAATAGCCACTTATAACTTGGTTTCTAAATGCAGTGAAAGCATCCATAAAACCTGTTTGATACATAGGAGCAGGAATAGGCCATTCAGCCCTTCTAGCCTGTTCTGCCATTCTATTAGACCATAGCTCAACCCTAAAAATACCCACCCTTGCCCTGTATCCCTTGATGCCCTTACCTAACAAAAATCTATCCACCTCAGTCTTAAATTTGAATGGATCCAGCATCTGCAGCCTTTTGGGAAAGAGAGTTCCAGATTTCCACTTCCCTTTGAATGAACAAATGTCTCCTGATACAACTGCTAATGGAAAGGTTACAGCATAGGATGCTATTTGCCCCATCAGCTGGTGCTAGATCCCCAATAAAGTGAGGTTTATAAATCAATTCCTGTTCCAGAACTTCCTTATCACTCTGATTATTCTCCTATCCCACTCCTCTGTTTGCCTCCTCCATTCAGCAAATTAAAGCCCAAGCTTTCAGTTTTTACTCTCCTACCATCTGGAATGCTCTTGCCCCTTTTTCTCTAACCCTCCCACCCACACCCCCACGCATAAAACCTCCCTCTTTAGCTGTACCTGTGGCCACCTCGCCCTCTTCTTACCATTGCTCAGATGTTGAGGGCACTACAGAAATGTTGCTTGTTCTGCTGTAATTCCATTCCCCTGCACTGTCCGGTTTGTCAAGTATTCCATTTCCTCTATGAATGTTACTTGAACTTGGCTCAACAACTATTTGTGATGAGGCATTCCACATTTTAACTGTGTGTGTTCTGTAATCCAGCAAGAACATTGCAACTTTCTCTCTACATAACTCACTATTGAATTCCTCCTGTGTGCTTTCATAACCTGCTGCTCAATAGTGCATCCCAAATACAATACAAAATTACATATGTATAACACCTTTCATGTTGGGAGGTCATCCTAAGGTGCTGAACAGTCAGGAATTTGGAGCTGAGTGGGGGAAGGGTTTGGGTAAGAAGAATGGAGAGTGGCCAAAGGCACGGTCGAGGAGAAGTGTCTTGAGACGCGCCTTGAAGGAGACAAGGGAGGGTGCAAGGTGAAGAGAATGTGGGATGGAGTTCCAAAGGGTGGGAGGCTGAAGGTTTGACCGTCGATCGTGGGCTGGGCGGGATGTGGAGCAGGCCGGAGCCTAAACAATGTCTTATACAAATTCAGCATACCTCCTTGCTCAGTGCTTTAGCTTGTTTTCTCTCTTGCATTTGCCTAATTGGCCTAAATTTCCTGACTTGATCCCTTCAAAACTCAATCTGCTCCTTTTTAAACAAATAAGTGTTCCTACTTGGTATATGGGTGTGACAAATTAAAAATTGATTTGAAGCTTAAATCTACTAGAATTCATTGATTTCTTTTGCATTGCAATGAATGAAGATGCATATTTAATAATAGCAAAACCACTAAATAGTAATTGAGCACAATAGGAACCAAGATAAGTATTAATTGTTGGGCAAATCCCATATCAAAAGCTATTTTGTTACTGTTTATGTCAGATCCAAACTGGTCCCTTTGTTGATGCAACAGAATATCAATCCCAGAGTTCTTAATACATTCTGTCACACTAATGTATTTCTAGCTTTGTTACTGCTGCTGGTTGCCTATATTTATTGAAAAAAATTCAGTATTATCAGCAACTTAAAAGTGCCATTTTTCGACCACAACCTTATAAAGAGAAATGTGTGTAACAATGACATTTCAAACTGAAAGTTGATGGTCTTGTATCACACTCGCAATAAGGCTCAAAATCCTAGACCAAAAGCAAATTTCTATGAATGATTGCACTGATTTGCTTTCCTGACAAATAACTTTTTACTATTATATCCCAGAGCATTATACATTTAAAAGCAACATGCACACAATTTTTATAGTTTTTTTAAAAAAGCAATTCCATTATGTTTGTAACTGGATTTGTCATAAGGGTATTGTACTAATATGTTGTGGGGTAAGTCACTATCAATTGATTGTTACTTGGCTGGCATGTTTTGTGCAAAGGTTGGTTAGCCAAAATGACCATAATGCTTTTTTAAAAAAAGTATTTAAATGTTTGTTAATACAGATGTAATTCTAATTTGTGTTTTTTCTTGGTGGACAAAGTACAAAATGAGAGTGAAGAGACAGCTGATGAGTATTGGAATAAAGTTGGTGCTAAACCCAAGTCCATTGCACATTCACTTGATGCTGAGGATTCAGTGAAAGAATATGGTAGGTGTTCACACTTGATGCATTAAGAAATTTGACAATATTTAATATACCACAAAATATAGCACCTTATCACATAAATATCAGGGCTTCACAGGATAAACTATTCTCTGGGTTAAATATTGGGAAATCTTTCTTGGTTTAAAAATGCATCCACATTGGATACACAAACATTTGTCATAACCTAAATCATCCCCCCCTTATAGAATTTATAACCATACATTGGTTTCATATCCAATTAATGTTTTGAATATTATTGTAGAATTAGTATTCAGGACAGTAAAAGGAATTTATATAATGGGTAGGAAGTGGTTGAATTGTCTGGAACATGCACCAAAAGCAAAAACTTGTGTTGCAATAGCTTGCACAATCTGCATTTGTATTAACTTTGTTAAAAGGGCTGCTTTTTGTTGCTATAAACAGCCCTTGGGGTGTCTTTGCCCCATATAAGGTTCCTTCTTTCACTTCTGATTCAGGTTGTGATGTACATGTTTTTCTACAACAATAAATTGCATTCATAACCCCTCTTGCATCAGGAGGACATCCCAAAGCGCTGGACAGTTGAGGTTTGTTTTCAAACTTGGATTTGGGATGGGTGTGAAGTTGATCGAAGGTGCGATCAATGATTATGGTTTTGAGATAGATGTTGAACAAGGCAAGGAGTAAAACAAAGGCACTCTGGAATGGAGTTCCAGAAAGGCTGATGGGCTGACTGCTGAAGGTGGGGTAGGCAGGATAGGGAATGTGAAGCAGGCCAGTGCCTGCTGAGTGGAGGGAGCAGCCAGATTGGTAAGGTTTTAGAAGATAGGATGGGGCAAGACAATTTATTTACTCCAACAGACTGAACAGGGATTTAAGCTATGGTGTGACCTCGGTTTCATGGCCTAACAACTCCAGTGACCAATATCTTAAAGTGCTGGTATAGTCTATCAATTGTTTCATGAAATGATTCTGTACTATAATTCAGACATTTCAGCCATTTGACTGATTTATCTTTTTATTACTTCGTGCCCAACTTTGTCATTCTGATTTGGCAATTACATGTTTGGAAGAAGCACTACTATGGTGACTTGGTCTGTACTAACGTCACATCATATTCAGTCCATCAAGTCTATTGTAATGTATTGTTAGCTTTGTTTTTCTAATTTTTCCTCATCTTTTTAATATCCTTACTCACCAGTACCAATCTATTGGAAATCTCATTCATTCTGTTTTTAAGTGGTTGCTAATGATGGTGAGTAAATATGAGGTAGACTGAGCATTGACTTAAAGGAACAATGTAGGGAGGGGAAGTGTTTTCCTACAACAAATATGCTGCATTAAGCAATTGTCTTATGATGTGAAGTATATTTTTTTAAATAGAGAAACCTCAACAAAAAGTTAGAACGATTTATAAATCCAACCCTCCAAAGAGAGCCACAAAAGAACCTAATGAAGCAGAGATCTGGGAGTCTGCTCGATCACATGGATTGCAAGGTCAGCATCACTAAAGATTGACTTGTAAGAATGTATTGCTAGAGGTGCTGCTTCCTTTTGAACCTTTTACATTGTTTCTGCACTTGAAAGGTGTTGGGTTTCATGCACAGATGAGTGTCTGTGTATACAAGTGGTGTGATGACCCTTAATGCATGTACACAACTTTTTATACTGCCATCTCTGCTTCTCAGATATCCAGTGGAGGCCTGGAGTTGAACCCACATGGCAAGCATCTTTGCTCCCTGCCTTTCTCCCATTTCCCTTGCTATTTCAATGATGGAGCTAACAAAAATAAACCTGACTTTTTTTGCATGTAGAAGGACATCCAATACCATTGCACTACTTGTGTGATTCAAATAAGTCTCGTATGTGTAAAATTTCATTGGTGGTCTGATCACTGTGGTACCAACCACTCTGCTATTAGTCTGATCTCCTTGACATGTAGGTAACTGACTACAGATAAATTCTCCCAAATTTGGCACTGGAAAAATGGGTTGTATTTCGATGTAAAGTAAAAGTGCTGTTAAGAATCTACTTATTTTTGAAGACAGTTAGTGTTGAAGTAATTTGGAGTTTCAAACATTTTAATTGAGCTTTGCATGGTAATGACTAGGTGTGTGAGTTCCATCTTAAAATGGAAATTGCATGGGATGTTTTAGAAAATTGGATTCTGTGGTTAATCTAGTCTTGAAGTTAATTGATTTAAAGAATTGTTAAAAGCTTGGCTCATCCACTAGGCTTGGAGGGACAATCCTGGTCACTGGGCTGGGATTCTTTCCAGTTGGCTCTTGTTAAAGCTGCAGGCCAAACCCCTAATGGGTAGGGCAGTCCGAGCTGGATAAGCAGAGAGAAGCTTGACAACCAATACTTTCAATGACTACACAAATTTAGCTGATTAAACTTCAGGAGTACCCCCTTGAACATACTGGGGTCCCCAAGCCTTGGCCCTTCCTACCTGTGTCTATTAATACTCTCCAGAATTCAGTAAGCAGAGTCCATTCTTCCAGGGAGTATCTGGTTTAGATCCTCTAAACTTATGATGGGTTCCACACCTGACTGACCAAAAGAGCCAAACTTGATCACTAAAATGTAAATGGTGTTTTTTTATTACTTTTATGTTCAAGTTCTTCAAGTAACTCTCTTGTATTCTAGGAAATGCTGTGAGGAGAGGAAGAACTAAAAAACGATATTAAGAATTTTCACATCCCAGATGCACGAGTTCAACAGAGCACATGAAACGCAACTTTAAAACTCAGTCATTTTAAATGACTTCACATTGTAGCCCACCACTCTAGTTCAACAATAAATGGGTGCAAATCTAATTCTCTGAATTTTATTGTGGTCTGACTACAGAATAGAACTTTAAAATACTAACGATTAAAGATCAACAACAAATGCCCATAAATGTGTGAAACTTTTTAAACAAAAAATTAGAGTGAAATTATTTAATGATTGGAAATGTGTTGAACCACTGCGTGTGTGGGGAGGGGTGGGTCAACTTACTTAACATAACCATTGAAATTTTAAAGAGAAAAAGTTGCTAATTCAGATATAAATTGCAATGTTAACCTTAAAGCCTGAAAGTGTTGCCCTCCCTAAACATTTTTGTCCATCTAGTTTGACTATTTTTAAGTCAACTTGACCTAAATTTCTTTTCATCCAATTCCCTGCCACTTTCCTCCAGTTTAAAGGCAGAAGCCCCGGTCAAGTGTTTAAATCTGGCTTCAATGCTTGGTCTTTGACTTTTACATGTTGAACTAGTTGAATTAATTAACACATTTCATAATAGTTGCACTTAGTATAGCACCTTTCTTGACAGAAGGATGCCTGTTTCACAAGATGTACTATAAAGTGCAGGGATTGTAATTTGTAGGTGAATTATGGTGTCCAATATTGACTTGTTCATAATTTAAAAATTCTTGCATGCCCATCCATCTACAGCATGGATGTATAGGTTGCTCATCTACACAAGACTACAAATTAGAGAATTCATGACTGAGTTGATCAGTGCTTCAAAGAATTAACTTGAGAAGTGATTTGTAAAACTTTTAAAAAAAAATCTACAATACAACAGGGCACTATTTATGCATTGCCATAAATTGCTCGAACACGTTAATGTGCCCAAATGCTTTCTGTTGTAACTTTGGGGTGAGGCAGGAGCATGCAAAGCCAAGCAATTTAATGTTCTTGACTTTCCACGAACTTTTTTTGTTACAAAGCTCTCTGTGCTCTATGTTCAGGAAAGTAACTTGCATTTTTTTAAAAAAAATCTTGATTCAAATATCCTGGGTGGCATATAACCTATTATTTTTTTAATAGGCTTTTTTTTAAAAAAAGGGTAAATGGTTAGTGGTTTGAATTCTGAAATCCTGCCACCTAAAGGTAGCGATGATAATACAATTAGTCAAACTTGTTCAAGCAACCACCTCCATTCAGCAACTACCCCTGTTATCACAGGCAGAAAACACACAAGTGATCACTTATTCAGAGCCTACCTTTACATAAAGACCACTTTAGCCCAAAACTCCGAGTGGTTGTTAAAGACTGGTTTGACTGCTGTATGCTCACTTATGCATGGATGCTAGTTTTGAGTTACTCGCATGTCGTTCTGTGCTTAGTGTTGAATTTCTATTCTGGATTCATGCGGAGAGTTCACTGGCTGCTATGGTGAACAATTGCCTGTTCCCCTGTAGAGTGGACAATAGCTGCTGAACACATTATTTGCTGCCACTCCCTTTGGTTCGCACGTGAACAATGAGTTTGCACTCGAGAAGAGGAAGTATCACAAACTCGCATCCAATAACTATCACCTAGTTGAGTCTGAACTGAAGATAACCGATTTCTAAGGCAAGCATTGGAGAATTTCGAACAGAAGCAACTAAAGGATGTACCTTCTTTGCTGCCAACAGAATAAACTGTTCTATTTACAAAAAAAAACAACCTCTATTACTGAATTGAAACTTGTAAACTCAGTGGGACTGAGTCTGCTGGTGAATCTGGGTTCTGAGTCTCAATTGATTCCTGTTCACCTCTGAGCTAAGCCCGACACAGATACAGCGAATGATACTTTTGTAAAGTATTTTAATTCAGTCTGTTTGAAAGAGAAACGTTTACCTTTTGACTCGCAGAGAGTCCAGGTTTACCAGCAGAAAGAGTTGAATGGGAGGCTGGTGAAACTCACTGAGACCAGAGTTTGACAGGAGCTAAGAGAACAGCATCTGCGAGAAGGGAGAACATTGGGGAAAAATAACTGGACAACAGTAAATTTATAAAAGGAAGGTGGATTATATAGGAGGTGATTTCCATAATCAACAAAGGTGACAGCTATAGATGGAATCTGCATGTTCACTAACCTGACCACCAATTGAAAAACAATTTCAAATGATTTAAGTTGACCCTGGGCTTCTGACAAATGGGAGATTAAAATCAGCTGCTTTACTGGTCCTGGTTACTCAGTAGTACCCTCCACTGGTAACTACGGTTAGTGCATATGATCCTCACACCAGCCATGGAGGAGAGGGGTAATGCTCTGATACTCTCTGTGGTATGAGTGATCTGCAAATGATTGCAGAGCAATGGTCACTCGGGTGGTGTAATAAAAGGCAACATGCGACTGTTGCCCAGAATGATGAGGCCAGACCAGGAGCAGTAGTCATGGGAGGGGTGGGGGGGGAATGTTGATTCATTTGATGCACTCATTTTTAAAAAAAATTCACTTTGTGGTTGTTTATGGGAAACTACTGTTATCAAATCAGTTGCTGTGTCTCACTACAAAATACATAATACCAACATTTGACAGGATTTAAGTTTTTTTTGGCAAATTCCAGCTCGCATGCAAACCCTTAACATTCAGGGCCTTGGGATGCCCTCTTGGTGTGGAAGATGCTATATAAAGCAAGTTATTGTTGGCATCATATCAAATGTAAGGGTTATTATAAATGAAAAACAGACAATATAGGTAAGGGAGGAAGGGTTCAGCAAGTATGCCTCAGAAGGGGGCAGCAATTGCTAAAGGGAGAGGAACAGATCCACTGGTGCAAGGGCTATTTTATCACAGGAAGTGGCAACCTTAGGAATATAACATCAATTAATGAGGACATATTTGAAAAATCAAAGTTTGTTACCATAAGGCAATGTAACATTAATGTATTTCCTTTGGTAAAATTACTGTTTTTTATATAAAAAAAGAAAACTAAATGTTTTTTGAAGTTGGGTTCACACAGAATGCAACTTGAAGAAACAGGAACTTGACCAGGACACACATTACATTGTGGTAAACTTACTCATCGGTATAATAACAGCTGCTATTAAGGATAAGACTCCAACCATAAGGGGTCCAATGTCAGCAAGAAAAAAGTAATAATACTTGCATTCAATGTGGCATATTGTCAGGCCAAGGGGCCAAGACTGTTTGCAAAAGATTTTTCTCCAGTTCTTACAAACAAAAAGCTTTGAAATCAAGGTTGAATTTTTCATGCTTCTGCATGAGACTACATTTCAAGACAAAATGGTCTCATAGGTTAAGATAAGCTGTACTTTCAAATATGTGCTGAGGAAATGGGAGAATTAGTTCGACAGAGTTTAAAATCCCTGTTGTGAGCACTGGTTCCTGATGACAATTACAGGCCAAATACCCCCCGGTATTCAATTCAGACAACAACAATTAGATTTATATAGCGCCCTCCACGCGGGATGGCGTCTCAGAGCGCTTTACAGTAACGGATTCTGGGACAGAGCCAGGGGGAAGGGGGGAAGGTGACCAATGGTGTGGTCGAAAAGAAAGGTCTTTAGCAGAGACCTGAAAATGGGAAGGGAGTGAGGAAGGCAATTCCAGAGCCTCGGGGCATCGTGGCTGAAGGCACGGCCGCTGAGGGTGGAGCGGAGGACTCGGGGGATGAGGAGGAGGCAAGACCCGGAGGAACGAAGGCAACGGGTACTGTTTTGAGGAGAAAGGAGGTCAGAGGTGCAGAGGAGTGCAGGGACTTGAATACAAGGGTGAGGATCTTGAAATTGATCCTCTCTGGGACAGGCAGCCAGTGCAGTCTGACAAGGACTGCGGTGATCGGGGAGTGGAGTTTCGTGCGGGTGAGAATGTGGGCAGCAGAGTTTTGAATGATTTGGATTTTATGGATAATAATAATAATCCTTGCATTTGATATAGCGCTTTTCACGTCGGGAGGACGTCCCAAAGCGCTTCACAGAACACACTGTAAAGTGAATTGACTGTATATTTGTGGGCGAACGCGGCAGCCAATTGCGCACAGCAATGTCCCACAAACAGTCGTAGATTGAAAATGACCAATTTAATATTGTTTTGGGTTTTTTGGAGGGATTATTATTAGGCTCTGTGTGGAGTAAGGAAACTTGCCCAAGGTTTCGCCCGGCCTGGAATTGAACTCAGGTCTCTCGCTTGCAAAGCGAGTGCTCTAACCACTGAGCTACAGGACTCCACAATTGGCACTGATTTCCTACATGCTGGTATTTTCCTGCACATTTAAGTTGATATTAACATCTTCATATATGTTAAAAAAAATTCTGATTTAAAAAAAATAAAATTCAAAATATATTCTTTTATAAAATATCCCTTTTAATATGTCCACTTTCTTCTACCTTCCTCTGATTGAGGTCAATGAGTGAGGCAATAATATGAATATTTTTCTACATCAGAGAAAGGACCCTCACTGTGGAGGTGGATTTTCTTCCATCTATGAGGCTGAGGAATTGAACACTGCAAGTTGCTCATTCAGTCATTTGGCTTCATACAAACATAGTTCCCTAGAGTTCAAATGGATGGTAGTGGATGGGAGACCGGCGAGGAGGGCATTAGAATAGTCCAGCCAAGAGGTGACAAAGACATAGAACAGGGTTTCAGCGGCTTTTGGGGAGAGGGATTGGCGGAGACGGGCGATGTGTCGGAGGTGGAAGAAAGCAGCGCTGGTGAGAGACCGGATGTGGGGGAGGAAGGATAATTGGGAGTCGAACCTGATGCCGAGGTTGCATACGGGTTCGGAGAATTCTAGGGGGAGGTCAGGTAGGTGGAGGAAGTGAGAGCCAAAGAGTATGGCTTCCGTCTTGTCAACGTTCAGCTGAAGGAAGTTTGCGCTCATCCAGCCCCTGAGATCTGACAGGCAGGCTGACAGAACATCAGGGGACTGAAGGTCGCAAAGAGAGGTGGAAAAATAGAGTTGGGTGTCATCTGCATACATGTAGAAATGTACCCCATGTCTGCGGATGACATTCCCAAGAGGGAGCATGTAGATCAGAAAGAGGAGGGGGCCAAGGATGGATCCTTGGGGTACCCTGCAGATGACCGGGTGAGAGCGGGAGGAGAAGCCGTTTGTGCAGATGTACTGCTGGGGGTTTGTGAGGTAGGATTCAAACCAAGTGAGTGCGGTCCCACTGAGGTGGATGACAGAGGAAAGGCTGTGGAGGAGGAGGATGGCATGATCGACTGTGACAAGGAGGCAGAGGGAGCCCTGGTCACAGATAGAGAGGATGTAGTTTGTGACTTTCACAAGCTCAGTCTCTGTACTGTGGGCAGCGCGGAAACTGGACTGGAGGGATTCGAAGAGGGAGTGGGAGGAGAAGTGTGCGCAAAGTTGGTAGGAAACAACACGTTCTAGAACTTTTGAGAGGAAGGGCAGGTTAGAAATAGGGCGGTAATGGCTGGGGTTTGAGGGATCTAGGTAGGGTTTCTTCAGGAGTGGGGTGATGACAGCAGTTTTGAGGGAGGCAGGGACCAATCCGGAGGAGAGGGACTGGTTGATGATGTCAGCCAGTAATGCGCAGAGGAGGGGGGTGCTGGCTGACCAGTATGTTGATGGGGAGGGGATCGAGAAAGCAGGTGGTGGGTTTCATGGAGGTGATGGTGGGTGAGAGGGAGGAGGGAGAGATGGGGAGGAAGGAATGTGCTGAAAGATTGAATGATTCTATGATATTCATGTTTAGTGAACCAGCACAGGACTAGAACCATAGAAATTTAAAGGAGGAAGCTAGAGCTTTATGATGGAAAGGGGAACAGAAATGAGTAAGGAATGGGCGAACATTTGTGTGACATATCACCACAAGCCCAGACGGTCAGGTTGGTCCGAGTGGCCTGTTTCCGTGCTGTACATTCTTTATAATGTAATCTACACCAGAGAAGAAGGCTATTCGACCTATTATGTCTGTGCTTGCTCTTCGAAAGAACAATCCTTCCAGTCTGATTTAGTTGCCTTTCTCCATACTCCTGCAGTTAAACCTTTTTTGAAATCTACCTAGTTCTCTTTTGAAAGCTAAATATGAGTTCTACCTCAACCACTACTCCTAGCAGACATTCCATAGTCTGTCTATCTTAAATTGATGTCCTCATGTTGCTGACCAGTGGAAATAATTTCTCCCTATTATCAAAATCCCTCATAATTTTGACATGATAAGGTATCATAAGGAACCACCCTATCTTTGAATGTTAAGAGCATACTGAAAAAAATCACCTTTAAGCAAACATCAATACCAGGATTTATTTTTAGTTCACTTGTTTCCTCCTATCATCAGTGTGAAAGCTGTGTTCCTGTTTTTAACTCAAATTTTCATTTGACCACTTGTGCAGTGTTTCTTGCAAGACGCGCATCAAACATTCTTCAGTTTTGAATCAAAATTTATATCTGAGGTAAGTCTGTTTTTTTAAAACCTTACTAATTCCAACAGTAAGTATACTCTTTAAGTATTGAAGCTATGTTTCTTTTCTTGAAAGGACTATGAATTAATGTCCAACTGAACAGGCAGACGGGACCTCAGTCTAACGTCTCATCTGAAGGATGGCAGCTCCAACAGTGCAACACACTCCTAGCACTGCATTGGAGTGTCAGCTTAGACTATGTGATTCCAAACCCGATGTGGGGCCTGAACCCATAACCTTCTGACTCAGAGGCGAGAGTACCTACTCAGCCAGGATGACACATTGAAGAATCTTCCAAAATTCTGTATGATCTTTAATTTTGAGACAGGTTAAAGCAAGGTGGGATTTTTTGCCTATTAAGTCTAAATGGAGCCCAAGTTAATAGCTTGCATGAATACTGATAAACTTAAGTAGAACTTGCAGCATAGCAGTGTGACTTTGAAAGCAATTATTTTGAGAATGAACCCTGTGTTATTTTAACAAGGTATGAATCTTAGAGCTTGTGGTTTCTGATTCTCGTTGACGTAGAAAGCATCTAAATAGCAGAGACACCTCTCATTGACATGTAAACTATATTTTGCAGTGTTTTTTGATCAGCTGGGTGTGTGATACATTTGGAAACTCATCACTGCTTAACAGTGTCAAAACCATACTGAGAGTTGCGCATATGTATATAACCTAGATATAGCAATTACTCTGTATCTAGATGGGATTGCACACTCTCTGAACACAGAAGGGTGCACTCTGTTCCCAAAATTCCAGAGAGTATTAGGCACAGCTCTTTGATCGCCAAGGCTTGGGATCAAGTGTTTTGGGGTACCGTTGGAGTTTAACCAACTAAAACCACATAGCTTGCCATTAAGAGCACTGGCTGTCAAGCTTTCTTGCTGCTTTTCTTGCTAGGATCACACTACCAGTTAGGGCTTTGGCTTGCAAGGTTGACAGATGGGTTGCTGGGTGGGTTGAATCTTTGCACCAAATGACCAGTCTGTCCTTCCAAATACTGCTGATGAGCCAGGCTGGCTGGAAAGTCATCATCAGTGCCCTGGAATACAGTGGACCAGCTTGGCTCAGGAGCCAGGCTACTAAGATTACAGAGGGATGACTTGATTCTGATATTCCGTTGCCAAGAATGTCACCCGGGTGCTAGCTGGGATCCAAGCAGACCCCGCTTGCCTTCACACCCACTCCCTCTTTTCTAGGAGGATAGTTACTGGATGATCTTTTGACATCCAACAAGTGCAGGTTTGTGCCCTCAGTAGATGGATAGAAAGTATCAGGAACTCCCTGAGAGCTTATTGGTAAGCAGCAGAGGTCAGATGAAATATATGATAGCTTTGCATTGCCACAATCCTGCCCACAGCTGACACACACCCCTCAGAATTGAGCAAAGAATCCACCAGTTGGGCGCTTCAGCAACAGTTGCTTATCTGTATGCAAAAATGTGGTTACCAAGCTCAGGAGCATTTACTAAATGTTTTGCAAAACAAAACAAGCCTAAAGAATTTCCTCCTGCTAGCAGAACAGTCTAATATTTTGTTTTCAATTATTGTTTTCTTGCAGCAAAATGGACAATTCAACAAAGAATGATACTGAAAAAACACTGGTAACAACTATGGGCGATGATTCAAATTCCAATGGAACAAGTTGTGATTCGATTCAAGTTGGTTCTGAAGTAGTTTTAATAACACTCTACAGCATTGTGTTACTGGGAGGTACTGTGGGAGCCATCATCATGACGTGGAAAATGAAAAGTGTCCAAAAATCTGTAACGTCCACCGCCATGGTCAACCTCATATTTATACACACGCTTTTTCTCTTAACTATACCATTCCGCATCTCCTATTATGCCCTTCATGAATGGAAGTTTGGCCCAATGTTTTGTAAACTGTCGAGTTCAATGATCCACGCTCACATGTACCTGGCCTTTGTGTTCTACGTGATCATCGTGGTGATCAGAATGATCAGCTTCTTTAAACAAAAGGAAACAGTGCAGTTTTACCAGCCATGGCATGCCAGTGCTGGCAGCCTGGTTATATGGTTTCTGGTGCTCTTGGGTGTTTTGCCACCATTTCTATTGCTTTATGGTAAAACCTTTGATTATAAAGCAGAAAAGTGCTTCGAGTTCCAAGCTGAAATGGCTGACCCACTAGTGAAGGTTGTGAATTATTTTGTCGTGATCTCTGTATTAATGATTATCGTTGCTTTACTCACCATCCAAGTGGGTATCATAATAAAACTCCTGGCCCAGCATGCAGTCCGTCAACAACAGCAATTTGGAGCGCAGATGAAGACTATTATTTTTATGCTAGTTATGATTGTGTGTTTCACTCCGTATCTCATGTTCAGACTGTATTATATAAACAAAGCTGCAAATGAGAAATGCTTGCATATCGTCAACGAATGCTTTTTAGCTCTGACTGCAATGAGTTGTTTTGATGTGCTTACTTTTCTGATACCTGCTCATTGAAAACTTACAATGGCCACTTCGGATTTGGCTAAATGTCATCAATTCACACACAATGAGCTGATGACATGTAGAAAAATAGTGCTGTAAATATTGACGGATACTTCTTTGCTTTCCCTCATACCTCCCTACCTATCCAATCTGCTTACCCCCCACAAGTCACCACCTGCTGCCTCCACTCGGCTGGCTCCATCCTCCTAATTTTCCCTCATGCCGTCCGCTCCATCATCATTGGTCGTGCCTTCAGCCACTACGACCTGAAACTCTGGAATTCTCTCCCTCCCCACCTTCAAATCCCGACTAAAGACTTTTCTTTTTGATTGTGCTTACAGTCATCTCCCTCTTCCCTTGGCTTGTTGTCAGATTCCGCCACTGTGCAGCAATCCAGGACTCTACCCCATGTGAAGGCCTCTATATAAATGCAAGTTGTTGTTGTTGCTTAAGGGGTGGGAAATTAGGGCATGTGAACTGGTGCTTAAATCTGGGGCCAGAACACCAGAGGGAAAGGTTCAATAGAAGGTTCATGTCCGAAACATTAACCTGTCTTTATCTTTTAGATGATAACCATTTAAATCAACCTGCAGTGCATTTTAAGCATTTTCAGCTTTACATTAAATTGTATGGCATAAGCTAGTATTTGCCATCTTGCCACTTATTTTTGTATAATGTAGTCTAAATGCAAATTATCTAATGGGGGTCTATGATATGGAATCCCAGTCATACAAATGGGGATTCCTTCTGGTCACCCTGCCCCATCGGAAATCTGCTCTTAGGAGATCCACTTCTGCAGGATGATTAGCAGGATGTGAATCAGGATCCTTTGGGGGGATTCTTCCCACTCAGTGACTATTAATCTGCAAGCTGAAGCCTCAAAAACTATTGGACAGAGAGGGTTGGGTTTGATCCTTGCTGGACAAGCAACAGGAATCTTGCCAGTGTTTCTAATGGCCACCTGCACAATTTTAGCTGCTTGAATTCCAACAATACCCCAAATACCCCTTAACCTTGGCCTCTAGCCAACCTGTAATAAACTCTCTCAGATTAGGTAAACAGGATGCATCTGCATTTCTCCCTGGAGTGAGTGCACACTGCATATCAGTTAAATAGAAATTATTGTACATATATAGAACTCTCAGCCGTTTTGATATTCTTAGCATAGTAATGGGTTTTCCCAGTGTATCAGACACCCCGCTGATCAAAAAAAGTAACAAGGTTCCTTATTTTTAAAAAATTATTTAAAGCCTTGCATTTTAGAGTCCATACTTTATTGGATCTAAGATGATACAGGCTAAAATAAATCACTGAAGTGGTTCACCGAAGGTTCTCGGAAAGTTTTGTGCTCAGTGTGATTCACTAAGTAATATAGCAGCAAGAAGAGAAAGAAAAGGGTAGAAAGCCAACGGGGGTAGTGCTGTTCAGGTACCATCAATTCAGAAGTGCTCTTTCCCACCAGGCTTTCTAAACTAGAAGAAAACCATTAAAGCCAGAGAAACCAGTAGTTAGTCCTTTATGTGTGCATTTGAGCAGAAACTGGATGAATTGCCCCATATCCCTACTCCACTGTGAGCACCATGTCGCAGCTCTCCTTGTTGCTCAGAAGTTGCTAGTATTGCACCAGATTAGACCACAGTGACAAAGAACAAACATGAGTTAAGCAAATGTTAAAATATGCATTAAGTTAAGACTGAATGTAAAAAAATTCCACAGTTCTGTACAAAATTAAATTGTAAAACAAAATGGTTTTACAGCCTAATTTTATCATTGTTAGCTGTTTATTTTTTTGCAAGTTTTCTTGAAATTGACAGTGGGAACTAAGTTTTGATATTTGCAAGCTAGATACAATGGGACAATTAGGACTTCTGATTTGCAAATATCGAATTGCAAATCCAAAAAGTCAGCGAAGTTCAAATAAAACCCAATAAAACTGTTTTTGAATGCTGCCTGCTTTTTATAGAATCATAGAATTATACAGCACAGAAGGATGCCATTCTGCCTATCGTGTCTGTGCATGGTGTCTTTTGGGAATTTACTGTTTCGCCATCTCAAAATTTGGAATTCACAAACCATAAATTGCAATTAGAGTTTGGAAATATAGCAAGATCGGCCCCGATATTAACCTTTCTGCAATCCTCCTTAAGCCTGCAACTCTTAAGACTGCAACTCTGTAGCTGATGAATGTGTGAACTGTGGTGCAAAGACAAGAAACTCACATACCAATGGCAGGCATATCATTCTCTGTGACACTGGGGCCATGAGGAAACTCTAAATGCCACAACTTAACTAGTCATCAGGAACAAGTTGATTACTGATAGGAAAAGCTAGAAAAAGAGTAGGTAGTTTTTGCACTAGTGAAAATAGTCAAAATGTTATTTGGACATCACTTGCTATTTTGTACAGCATACACTCATTTAAATACTGCTAAGGAAACTGCCTGTTTTGCCTGTTCAGTCCCAAACTATAATCATGCTGACATGTGCAACAAGCTGTTTGCTTTTCTGGCTAGCTTACTTCCAGAGTTACTGTGAAATGTATTTTAAAAAGTGCAGCTTTTTAGAATGCGGTAGGAACTGTCAGCAAGTGCCAACACATTCAATGTGCCTTTCCTGTTTTTAACATTGGTCATTTTTTAGGTTGAAGCTGACGTATTGCACAGGAAACGGGGGAGGGGAAGAGTAACAACTCCCCATGAAAAGGGAAGAATTAACAGTTTTAAAACAGTAAAAATAACTAATTTGCATGTTGTTAATACCATATATATTTAATTATAATCTCCATTGGAATTAAGAATACATTGGTTTTACATCTATATCAATGGCTATTATTCTTTCAATTTTTTTGAAGTTCTTGATTAAACCGTGATGTATTCATTTCCATTTGTGTGTGGATTTTTTTTATTTGAAATCCCTTTAAAATGTAGATCTTCATCTTATTGGATCACTTTGTATAACAGTAAATCACTTTAGAACTCAACAATGCTTGTATAATGCACTTGTACAATAGTGCATTGTAATGATAGTTGTCTGTAAATCTCAGAATTTCTATAAAGTGTATGTATATTAATCCTTGCATTTGATATAGTGCCTTATCGCGTCTTCGAGACGTATCAAAGATTGAGTGACCAAATGATTAGTATTTTTTTTAAGGGATTATTACCCCCGATCAGCCAATCGACGAACAACTGGGTTCCTACTTACTGCTAGGTAAACAGAGGCTTTGGAGTAAGGAAACTTGCCTAAGGTTTTACCGTGCCCAGGAATCAAAACCAGATCCTCTCGCTTGCAAGGCAAGTGCTACAGGACTCCACACTGTTACTATCACAGGCAATCATTTTATGCACTTTATAATAGGAAATACCAATATAAATAAATATAAAATTGATCACTCACTCAAAGTGATCAATTAGTGTGACCATCAGCACGAGTTAGAACCCACCAACTAGACGTTTTACTCAACCTATATAGTGCTCTGGGCAGGCAATACCTAGAATAGTCGGGACTTGAACTTACATAATTTAAGATGACACTCCAATGCATTGCTGTCATTCGGATGAGACGTTAAACCGAGGTCACGTCTGCCGGTTCAGGTGGAAGTTATGGATCTCAAAAAGAGAAAGGAGTTTCTCCCAGTGCCCTGGTCAACAATTCCCAAATAAAATTGATCACTCACTCAATGACTGTTTGTGAGATATTTCTGTGTGCAATTGTGCTGCTGCATTTGCCTACAAATACACAGTCATTCCATTTCACAGTAATTTCTATGAAGAACTTTGAAACATCCTTCTGACGTGAGAAGGTGCTATACCAAATGCAAGGATGCTGATAATGATTACTATTATTATTTTATACACTGCTGGTTCACATAACATAAGGACAGTACAGAGGAGAGCAAGAATGCAAGAATGATCCCCAATGTTAAAGGACTGAGAACATAAGAACATAAGAATTAGGAGCAGGAGTAGGCCATTCGGCCCCTCGAGACTGCCCCGCCATTCAATAAGATCATGGCTGATCTATTCTAACTCTACCTACCCGCTTATCCCCCTACCCCTTAATCTACAATACATGAGCCATGACAAGCTGGGCCTCCTCAGTTTTGAAAAGAAAAAGCGCAGAGAGGACATTATAGAAATAATAATATAATAGATAAATAATAATAGAAAAAGTAAAAGTGAAACTAGAAATAAAAATGGAATTGAGAAAGTAAACCCATTACAATATTTCAGATGCACCAATGCAGCAGAACAAGAGGGTAAAGGTTTAGAGTTGCAGAGAGCAATATCAGGATGTATACCAAGTATTTCTTTACCTAGATGATAACTAACAACTGGAAAGGTTACTAGGAAGGGCGGTTGAGGCCAGGACATAGATTTCAAGTACTTATAATTGTACATTGTCACAATTGCTATAATTAGCAGCACACAGAAAATCTCAACCGAAATTCAAAGTAATAATAATTCTTGCATTTGATACCAATTTTATTTGGAAATTCTTTTGTCCAGGAGATTGGAAGAAATTATTTTCTCTTTTCCAATAGTGCCAATGGGATCTTTAACGTCCACCTGAACCTTAATTTGAATAACATCTTATCTGAAGGATGGTACTTCTCTACACTGTGTGAAGGGCGCTCTATAATGCAAGCTGTTATTATTGGCACCACCTAACAATTCTGCACTCCTCCATCAGTGGAGGGGTGGTAGCCTAGTCCATGAGCTCAAAGTCCCAACACGGAGCTTGAATCGCAACTCTCAACCTGACGTAGTGGCAAGCATGCTACCAACCTGAGTTAACTTGATACCTTTGATTGTGGGATATTGTACAGGTATTAATAGTCCTTATATTTGATATAACATCTTTGAAATAAGGAGGATGTCTCAAAGATCTTAACAGGATTTACTGTAAAGTGTTTAGTGTAAAGTGTTGTAGGCCAAAACTGAAGCCAATTTGCACACAGCAATATCCGACAAACAGCAATAACATGAATTACCTATTTTATTTGAGGGTTGTTGGTCAGGCGATAAAACGCACTTCCCTTATAATTTATACCTTAAGTTAAAGTAACTTGGCAAGTTAGCCGCTATTACTTCACATGCATCAGGAAAGTCCCTTTACGTATAATACTAGAAATGAGCAAAGAAGTTGTGGTGGTGGTTTGTAAAGTAGTTCTGTTCTCACAGGAATCCTGAAATGGTGTGCAAGTTAACATTAAAATAATCATCTTTGAACTTTTCCCTGCAGCTCACTGCTTGTCTGAGCGAAACTGAGGCAATAAGTTTAAAACCAGATGATCCACCATGTTTTTTTTACTTCTTCAGTACAGAAAGCTAAAAGGAGACCGAGTTGACAACTTACAAAAAATTTTGAGGACATAATTGTTTCCTCAGCAGGAAGCTGTCTGCTTAGCTGTCTACTTACATGATAAGTGTTTGGGGGTGGGCAGTAGATGGTGATACTGGTTTCAATCGTTGTGCTGTTCGAACTCCCTCACCTGGACGACAATGTCTGTACTGTTCTAAGCTGAGGAGTTCTACTAATAATGTCACCTTACAGAGCACCAAAGGTTGTGAGAAAATCATAGCACCAAAAAACGACTTGAAGATTACCTAATGATCTTTCGTCAGGACACTGAAATCATATAGTCAAAGCCCTCGGACTAATGCACAACTCAAATTTATATAATTTTCACTTATTAAAACTGCACATTAAAAGTCCTCAGCTATAAAGTTTTACTCCCAAGAACATTTTTAACCGGCACTGATGTGCTTCATTTTGTACTGTCACGCTCAAGGAAGTAAGCCAAAAATAGCCTGGTGCCCGAAGGATTTCATGATTAGTCTTGTATATAATTTATTGATAAAAGTGTATTATTGTTTTAAATTTGTAAAAAAATTTACATTGCCTATTTAAAGTTTGCATTGTAACTAAAATATAGTGGAATTAAGTAATACAGTTATACAATTTAAAACAGGATTTCTATATGATTCCTACAGGTTATGTTTCTAGAACGGAAACACAAAAATATTGTTTATCTGTCCAGTCTCAAATACGACATCTGGCCCTCAGCAGCTAAAAGGTTGGACCACCCTGCTGTATATCCTGTGAAGCGCTTTGGGATGTTCTCCTGACAAGAAAGGTGCTATAAGAAATGGAAGGATTATTACTATGAAGTTGAAGATTTCATGGCACTGTTCAAAAAGAAAAGCTTTTCCCAGTGTCCTGGCCAACAATCCTCTAAATAAAATAAATTGTTTGCCCACAAAATACACACAAACACAATACTTTTCAGTAACAACAACAAGAACTTGGATTTATATAGCGCCCTCCACGCCGGACGGCATCTCAGAGCTCTTAAAGGACATCTTGGGGGATTGATGGCTTGGACACTGTGAAACATGAAGTGAGAAAACATAAATCAAATAGCTTTCTTCATCCGAACCTCTGTGGTAATTTTTTTTCTAATGAATGTGTCAATATGGTAATTCTGATGTGATCCAAAAGCAAACGTATTGTCACAATTTCCTCTTGCAAAATTAGGAAGTACTGATCTAGTGCCTAGAGAATGTTTTAGTGTACTCAAAACAAAATCAGAAGTTCAGATTACTTCCATCCTTTACAGTACAAATGGTAAGACGCTGGACCATTCTTCTGCTTTCATACATTTAGAATCTACAATAAAGATTGATATTGCTTTGAACACAGTAATCTTTTTTAAAAAGAAAGATAACATGGAACACATCACTGCTGCTTGGAGATGACTGCAGGTTAGTTGTATTTTATTTCTTGGTTATCAGTTGCTCTGTGGTTAATCATTCTGATTCCAAGATTCAGAGTTCAGTTTTGTTACCTCCTGCACACATATAGTATGTAACCTCTTTCTTTTTGATGACTGAGCTCAGGTATGCTTTGAATTTGTTGTTTGCTTTTAGCTTTATAGAATTGCCAGTTTCCAGGGTGTGTGATTCATCCTGGAGCCCCCAGCTCTCTCCCCTTCCCTTACTTATTTAACGACCCGTGTCCAGACCTTCCTCTTAGATCATGCCTTCAGTCATCTTCCCACCCCCACCCTCTGTGCTCTCCACCTTCCTGATCCCAGTACCCAGCTCAGGTGCAAATCCTTCACTGTACAGAAATGCAAAAGGGAAAATCAATATGGCAATTGGAACCTAACTCCAGAAATACACTGAGTGACATTCCCTCATTCGAGACATATATTTCTTAATTTGAAGCAAAATAATAGTTCAAATTAGCTCATCATCAATCTACAATATGTTTTACATCTTTGAAATGTACTGGAGTTTGACAATTACCTTATTTAAAAACTATTCTTTTCCTGAAGGTTTGGCAGACATTAACCATATCAGCTTATTTTCAATCTACAGTATATACAGAATCTGCAATTTATTTCACTTTTTTGAAAGTTAGTAACTCTTTACAGATCTCTTAATTAAGAAATTTCTTTTAAAAACGCTGCAAAAAAAAAGCTCACTTGGTAACACACTCATCTCTTAATTAGAAGGTTGTGGATTCAGGCCAAATGTCAGACTTTAAATTCACTTTCTAGGTTGACACTCCAGAGTAGGACTGTCTGAGCTGTAGAGATATGATGCCGTTCTTTGGACGAGATTTTAAACTACAGTCCCGTTTGCCTGTTCAGGTTAAATATCCCATGGCACTTCTGGAAAACAGAAGTGAGTTTCTCCCAGTGTCCTAGTCAACATTTGCCCCATATAATATTAGTCATTAAATGTTTCTTCGAAATGTTCTGGACCTTGACAATGACCTTTTTAATACTATTCCTTTCCTGAAGGTTTTGTGGCAGTTCGTGACCATTTCAACAATGAATAATACCAAAGCACCTTTCAGCAGTAATTGCACTTCCAATGGATCAGTTACTCAATGGAACACAACCTGTGATCTGAATGGAACTGGTTACAGACCAGCATTAATAACATTCTACAGCATCGTGTTAGTAGGAGGTACTATAGGAGCCATCGTCATAACATGGAAAATAAAAAATTACCGAAAATCTGTGACGTCCACTGCCATGGTCAACCTCATATTTATACACGTGATTTTTCTCGTAACTGTGCCATTCCGCATCTCCTATTATGGCCTTGGTGAATGGAAGTTTGGCTTAATCTTTTGTAAACTGGTGGATGCAACGATCCACGCTCATATGTACCTGTCCTTTGTGTTCTACGTGATCATTGTGGTGATCAGAATGATCAGCTTTTTTAACGAAAAGAAAACAGTGCAGTTTTACCAGCCATGGCACGCCAGTGCAGTTAGCCTGGTTATATGGTTCCTGGTGCTCATGGGCGTTTTCTCATCATTTCAATCAAATTACGATAATTCAACACAAAATAATACAACAAGGTGCTTTCTGGTGCACAATAACCCTTACAAAGCACATAACAAGATCCAAAATTATCTTTGTGTTATTGTGGTGTTAGGAGTATTTGGTGTTTTACTTGTCATCCAGACGGGTGTGCTGATAAAATTGACAATCCAACATCAAGGTACTCTACGTAAACAACATCAGTTTGGAGCTCAGATGAAGACATTGTTCTTTGTGCTGATTATGATATGGTTTGTTCCATTTCTTGGATTCAGGATACTTTACATAAACCAAATTAAATGTTGTTCATCAGTTTTACATGTCATAAATGAAGTCTTTCTAGCATTGAGTGCATTGTGCTGTTTTGATGCACTTGTACTCCTTGTGGCTTCTCATTGAAAACTTACAATAGAATTTCAATCACCAGCAAGTGCCATTTCTTAATGTAGCATTGATGAACTGATAACTAGAAAAATAACAGTCCTGTGAAGTGGAATATTGGTTTCAGTAAAGGCTGTGAATGTTGATAATAATGATAATTATAATAATCCTTGCATTTGATATAGTGCTTTTCATGTCTTCTAGACGTCTCAAAGTGCTTCACAGAATATACTGTAAAGTGAATTGACGATATATTTGTGGGCAAAACATGGCAGCCAATTGCGCACAGCAGTGTCCCACAAACAGTCATGGATTGAAGTGACCAATTTATTATTGGGTTTTTTTCTCGAGGGATTATTATCAGGTGTGTGGAGTAAGGAAACTTGCCCAAGGACCCCCCACCCCCCCCATGGACACTTTATCACCTCAAGGCTGGACTATGGGAACTCTCTCCTCGCCGGCCTTCCCGGCACCTCCCTCCACAAGCTGCAGGTCATTCAGAACTCTGCAGCTCGTGTACTGTCCCGCACCAGGACCACATCACTCCCACCCTCGTTCGCCTCCACTGGCTCCCCATCCCCCAGAGGATCGAATTCAAGATCCTCACCCTCACCTACAAGGCCATTCACGGCCTCGCTCCCTCCTACCTACTATCCCCCTACCTACCCGCCCGTACCCTCCGTTCCTCTGGCTCCGGTCTGCTCCACATCCCCCGCCCCAACCGCCCTAGTAGTGGTGGCCGGGCCTTCAGCCTCTCAGCCCCTAGGCTCTGGAACTCTATCCCCCAGTGCCTTCGCCGCCTCCTCCCTTTCCTCCTTCAAGGCCGATCTCAAGACCTTTCTCTTTGACCGTGCCTTCAGCTCCCCTCTCGACTCTCTACCCCCTCCTCGCCCCCTCCCTTCCCTCCCCTCACCCTGACCATTTCCCCCCTGCTCCGGTCCTGACCCAACTGTACAGCGCCTTGGGACGTCCTCCCGACGTGAAAGGCGCTCAATAAATGGAATCTTGTTGTTGTTGATGTTTTACTTGGAGCGATGGACAATACTAGTCAATCAAAACTAGGGCATAAGGTTTCTCCCACTAGTTTAATCCATTTTCATACAAGTGGACACCAAACTGGTATGGCGTGTTTTTTCATTGGTTTGCTTTAAAGTAAAAGCTTGTAATACTTGTCGTGTCACTGGTGAATAGCTTAGTGCACACCCTCAATATATAGTCAATCTGTGTGGGCAATGACTGTTCCATAGTGGGACGAAGGAGACAGAGAGATAGTTCATTCGCTAGTTTATTCAAAATAAAGGTTTTGAATTGAATTGATGCGTAAATGTGCCTTCATTAGATGTTACACCATCCCCTCCTTCTACCATGGTCCCTACCACTCATCTCTCCCTGCACTTCAATGCACCAATTACTCCCACCTCTCCTCTCCACACAATTGCTAGTCTCCCAACTCCCACTCCTCTCAACCCTGCTGGCCGACACAGTCAACCAGTTGCTCTCCTCAGGTTCTGTTCTAATCCCCCTTAAAACCAGGGTCATCACTCCCCTCCTCAAAATAAGCACCCTTGACCCCGACAACCTTACAAATTACCGACCCATTTCCAACCTGCCCTTCCTTGCCAAATCTCTGGAATGAATTGTCGCTAACCAGCTTTGTTCTCACCTCTCCCTCCACTCCCTCCTCGAGCCCCTCCAGTCTTGTTTTCGCCCTGTCCATGGGGATGGCACTTGTGAAGGTCACAAACAACATCCTCTCTCTCTGTGACCAGGGACCCCTCTGCCTCCTCATCCTCCTGGACTTTTCCACCAGGTTTGACACCGCCTCTCCTCCCTCATCCATCTCAGTGGGACTGCACTAGCCTAGTTCAAGTCCTACCTAACAAACTGTCTTCAGTTTGTCTTTTCAAACTGTTTCTTCTCCCACCTCCACCCGGTCACCTGTGGTATACCCCAGAGCTCCATTCCCCTCCTCTTCCTCATCCATATGCTCCCTCTTGGTGATGTCATCTGCAGATATGGGGTAAACTTCCACATGTATGTGGATGACACACAAATCTATTAGTCCTCCTCCAGTTGTGACTCCAGGTCCGCCGATGGTCTCTCAGCTTGTCTGGCAGACATCAGGGCCTGGATGAGCAAAAACTTCCTACGACTAAATGTTGACAAGATGGAAGCCATATTCATTGGCTCATGTCAACATATTCTATCCTGCAGCCCTGACCTCCTCAACCTCCCCGGCCTATCCTTCAGAATTATTGAACCAGTGCGCAACCTAGGCATCAGGTTTGATCCACAGTTGGTTCCTGACCAGGACCACCTCCCTCCACCTCTGCCACATTGCCTGCCTCCGACCGTACCTTACTGCAGGTGCAGTCGAAACACTCCAAGCGTTTGTCACCTCCTGACTCAATTTCTCAAATGCCCTCTTTGACGGTCTTCTCAGCTCCACCATGCACAGGATCCAGCTGATCCAAAACTCCACATACTCACCCTTACTAAACTCCATACCCCCATTACACCAATTCTAGCCAGGCTCCACTGGCTCCCTATTGCCGAATGGATTGATTTCAAGATCCTCACTCTTGTTTTCAAGCCCCTTCATGCCCTGGCACCTCCTTACTTCTCCAACCTGCTTACTCCCCAACCCACTACCTCTGTTTGATTGGCTCTGGTCTTTTGCATGTCTCTCGTGCCCTCCATTCTATCAGTGGTGGCCGCGCATTCAGCTACTAGGCCCGAAACTCTGGAACACTCTTCCTGTATCTCTCCGCCTTGACCCTTCCTTCCCCATCTTCAGGTCATGCCTGAAGACCATTCTATTGTATCACCACCTCCCTCCGGCTGGCTCAACGTCGTGGTCTGCCACTGTCAAGTGCCCTGTGTGAGGGGCACTTATATAAATGCAAGTCTCAAGATTTTTTTAAGCCAAATACATATTCATTGAGAATATATACATTGTCACAATTATCCCCATTTCTATGCAACAAACACGGAAAATACATCACACAATATATACACATGGAACCCCCAAAATCTTCTCTGGCTGGGATTTTCACAGATGTCCCCAGATACCATTTGCAAATGTAATGTTCATCAAGTCAGATCTATGGGGTTGGGTATCTGGCTTTTGACTACTGGTTATTTGCCCAATTATCAAATATCAACATGTCACAATTCTTCTCCAAGCAGTTTGAAGTTCAAACACCAAAACAAGTAATTAGGAAACAGTAGTATGAAGCATCGAATGGAGTGGACAGCTCACAGGATTATCAACGCTTACAAACATACTCATTCAGACAGAAGGCTCACCCTGTGGAGATGGCTACCAGGCAGTATTTTTTTTTGTCTCAGTGTCTGACACACTTGTCACCAATTCAAACTATTGAGAATTCCACTTAAGCAATAGAAAATAGTCTTTTGTCTGAAATGGAGTGTGCACTCACCCCACAAAGAGATGCGCCCTGCTCACCTATTTCAAAAAATTATTAAGCGAGAGTTGGCAAAAGCTAAGTTTGAGAAGCCATGATTCACTGCTTCTACTTGAAGTGGTCAGTGCATCAGTGACTAGAAGATGTAAATTTGAGGTATTTAGGAAATTAGCAAATAGGGAAGTTGAGATTTTTTCTTGCACAGAATTAGGATATGGAATGCCATCCCGAGACCAGTAGTTGAGGCAGAATCCCTATTAGCCTTCAAAAAAGAGCAGATAAATAGCTAAAAAAGAGTAAACTGCAGGGGTATGGGGAAATAACAGGTAAATGGGACTGAAAGGATTGCTCTTCAAAGAGCCAGTACAGACACAATGGGCTTCTGTGCTGTACATTTCTATGATTCTATGATTCCTCAGTACTCTGGAATATAAAAACATTACATATCCCCCTATCTGCCTTTGTGCATTGCACCCATTAACATTATTTAGCATGTGAAAAGTATAGAGATATTCAAGAGTATGTTAGACCTTCACATGAGGGAGAAAAAATGTAAGGGTATGGGAGGGAGTAAGGTATGGATGAAGACTCATGTGGAATACAAATACTCGCACGGACTGGTTGGGCCACGTGTCCTGTTTTGATTCATCTGAGCTGTTTTGAGCTGTTTTGGCATGAAACTCCGCTGAAGTACTGCATTCCACAATCGAAACCTAGAATGGTAGTGGCAAAAATTTGGGCCCAACCATTATGATGTTGGGAAGAGATTCACACTAGCAGCCAGTTTTTAGCCATTGTTTTATAACAGATTCGATTAAACATCCCATACACATTTGGAACCCATTCTTAAATATTGTATTTTTCTCCCTTTTACTAAAAATAAAAAGGTCTCTTCAGAGGTGAGCTGGCTCCAAAAATGATGTGTTTGGCAAAGGAATGTCCGAGTTGAGTCGACCTTCTGTGGTGGTCTCGGTAGTGCGGTTTCTGAGTCAGGCAAGTCTGCGGTACTCCAGGGCACTGCTGATGGGGGCAGGGACTCTTTCCACCCAGCTCCTGTTAACTCCATGAGCCAAAGCCTTAATGGGTAGAATAGGCCTAGCTGGACCAGCTGATGTAAGTTTGCCAAACAGTGTTCTTAATGGCCTGCTATACGGTTTCAGTTACTAAACGAGTGTCTTTCCTCAGCTTTCCATTTCTTTGCCCCACTGAAGTCCAGGACTATCTCCAGACCAATCCACTCCCCCTGGAATAACAGACACCTCCACTCCCTTAAATCCAAAATCCAGATGCTTGAGCGCAGATTGCACAAACTGACCTCACGGTTTACCCCCAAATATGGCTCGAACAGCTTAGTACCTACCACCCTCCCCCTCTCACAGACCAAAATTGCTTCCTATTCCCAGGCCATTCCAGAAGCTAAAATAACCCCAAAGTGCTATTCTCCATCACCCACTACTTCCTCCACATACTCCCTCAAGCATCCTCGATCTTCACATCTAAAGCCTAGTGTGAAGAGGTCCTGGACTTCTTCATATCTAAGGTAGATAACATCTGCCTGGCTCCCTCCTCCTCCCCCATGTCCCTCAGCAC